GTATGTTATCTCACTTAATCCTCCCAACATTCCTTTAAGGTGGGTTCTATTTTTATTTCTATTTTACAGATAAGGAAACTATGGTTAGAGAAGTTAAATAGTTTGTCTAGGGTCTCACAGCAGTGAGTTGCATGGCTAGGATGGAGCCCCATATTTCTGACTCTTGCTCTAATTACTATATTTTACTGCCTCCAAAATGAGGTAGTTCAGGACTAAGTCAGTTACGAGAACATGAGAAGAAGCAGATCTGGTGTCTTGGTTGACACCTAGCTGGGTAAACACAGCCATGTACTACTCCCTTTAAAACAAAACAAAAAGAGGAGCCAGGTGCAGTGGGGTGCTCCTGTAATCCCAGCTACTTGGGAGGTTGAGGCAGGAGGATTGAAAGTCCGAGGCCAGCCTGGGCAACTTAGCAAGACCTTGTCTTGAAATAAAATAAAAGAGCTGGAACATAGCTCAATGACTGAGCACTTGCCTAGCATGCACAAGGCCCTGGGCTCAATTGCAATACTGTAATAAATAAATAAATTTTTTTAAAAGGAGGAAAAAGAAGCCCACATGACATGCTAGTAAAAGGAGCAGGGAAATTATAGCCAGCAAGTCACTCACTCTCCTCTGAAGTCCATCTCTGCCAGCCCTCAGTAGGGATGGAGATTAGTATGGGGGTTATAAGGGGCACCAGTACCACACTGCTTGGGCTTGAATCCCAGCTCTCCCTCTCAACCGCTCTGTGGGTGTGGACAAATCACTTGATCCTTCTGGACTTCCATTTCATTGTCTGTAAGATAGGATTGTTATAGTACCTTCCTCTATATTCTTGTAAAGAGCAAATAATATATGGAAAGGCTTGGAATGGTGCCTAACACAATGTAATCATGTTGAGAATGTCATTGATGGGCCTCTCTAACCAGGCTCCAGCTCTGCCCCCACCCCTGCTCACCCCAGCTCCCTTCCCCCTCCCAGGAGATCCTGCTGGGCCGTGGCTTTACCTTTTGGCAGTGGTTCGATGGTGTTCTGGACCTCACCAAACGCTGTCTCCGGAGCTACTGGTCAGACCGGTGAGTATCTGCCCCAGGTGGTCTGAGCAACTATACCTCTGGCTCCCTCTCCACATCCAGTACCCACACCCCATCTTTTCCTTCATTCTGGCCAGGCTGATCATTGGCTTCATCAGCAAACAATATGTCACTAGCCTTCTTCTCAATGAGCCTGATGGAACCTTCCTCCTGCGCTTCAGTGACTCAGAGATTGGGGGCATCACCATTGCCCATGTCATCCGGGGCCAGGATGGTGAGGTCACCCCAACCCTAGCTAGTCCTCTGCCTCTGTACCTATGCCCTCTGGGGTTTCTACTGGGAAGGAAATGTTTTGGCTTTCCTTGATGCCAACCTGATCTTCAAGAACTTCTTCCTTGGGTCCAACTTCTCTTCCTCCTCTGTGGTCTTAATTTCTACCTCTTGCTGTGAGCTCATGGCAATGGAGACTAGTGGATTTCCCTCCCTCAGATCTAAGTTCACTCTCCCTTGCCTTGGTGGAATGAGAATGGGTCCTGTGCCAGGGGTAGGGAAGGGGGAGACTGGACAGAGGAAACCCAAGGTCTCATTCCTGTCATAGGTTCCCCACAGATAGAGAACATCCAACCGTTCTCTGCCAAAGACTTGTCCATTCGTTCACTGGGAGACCGAATCCGGGACCTTGCTCAGCTCAGAAACCTCTACCCCAAGAAACCCAAGGACGAGGCTTTCCGGAGCCACTATAAGCGTAAGCTGCAGCTGGCAGCATTGATGCCCTCTTGTTGCCCACCACTTCCCTGATCCCAGCCGCACCCCTCTCCCTGTCTGCTATGTATCATCCCTAACTTCCCTTCCCCTTTTTAGTCCCACTTCTACCTGCCCATCAGTCTTCCCTGCTTTTCTACCGCCCTTTCTCCCTACCCCTGGAGCATTTATAACTCTCCTTTCCTTCCCACAACAGCTGAACAGATGGGGAAGGATGGCAGGGGTTATGTCCCAGCTATCATCAAGATGACTGTAGAAAGGTTAGTGTGGGGCCATGGATGGTGGGTGGCAGCTAGGGGCTGGTATTGACCTGCAGGAAGGAGTGGCAGCCTCATGCCTTCATCAGTCACCTGTGCCTTCCTCTCTCCTCCAGGGACCAGCCTATTCTCACTCCAGAGCCCCAGGTGACTACCATGGTGCCACCTTATGATCTTGGAATGCCCCCTGATTCTTCCATGAGCATGCAGCTTGGCCCAGATATGGCGTAAGGAACTGGATAAATGGGGAGGGATGTGGTCTGTGCAGATGGGCCTTCAGCTTGGGTGGCTGGGAGAGTTGGTATGGGGGCTGAAGCAGAGAATTTTCTCTCCCATGAAGGGAATTCCCCCTCCTAAGGTAGGGAGGGCTGACTTCAGGGATCTGTTTTCTTTCCCCAGGCCCCAGGTGTACCCCCCACACTCTCACTCCATCCCCTCGTATCAGAACCTCCCTACAGAAGAGTCGGTCAATGTGCTGCCGGCTTTCCAAGAGTAAGTTAGGATTTGGGGGGATGGAGTGGGGACAACATCCTACTGCAAGGTGTGGGCATTTGCCTCTACTAGTAAAGGCTGTTTGTGGAAATGGGCAGCAAATGCTAACACCCTTTCTTCTCCTCTGTTTACTGATGGTGCTGATGGGTAAGATCCCAGTTGCCTGCTCTGCCACTTACTGACTGGAAATGAGACCTAACCTCCTTCTGGCTATAAAGTGGGACATAATAATAAGAATAATGCCTCATGGGATTGTCATGAAGGTTGAATGAGTTCATAATACATGTAGAGCTGAGCTTTATGCCTATCTTATGGCAAGGACCATTTTAATATTTCCTCTTATGCACCTGAAATCTACTGTCACTTATTGGCTATTATTGATTGATGGAATGATTGAGGTGCTAGGGATAACCCAGGGCCTCATGCATGCGAAGAACACACTTCATCACTAACTTATACCCCCAGCTGCTGTGTTGATTTTTAGTTATTCATTTTTACTTTACTTCAATCTTGAAATACCCTAGACATTTTTCTTCCCCAAGTATCACTCAGGTGTACATTAGCTCTTCATTAAGATACAACATCTGCCCTGCTCTGAGCTGAGGTGAAGGATGGGGAATGTGGGGATTTAAAGCCACCCCAATTCAGAGTCCAAAGAAACATTAGAAATGGGCTAAGCCACCCCTATCTCTCACCCTATCACATTTTATAGGTGAGGAAACTGCTCAGAGTATAAAAATGGCCTGCTCAAGGTCAAACACTCAGTGAGCAGCTAATTCAGAAAGCTGTGCTAGAGCTCACTTAGTGGTCTTGACTTTGCAATACCCTGCTTTTGTCCAGCCTTCCTTTCTTTGTTTCTTTTCTGCTTTTAGGCCACACCTGCACATGCCCCCCAGCCTGAGCCAGATGAGTCTGCCCTTTGACCAGCCTCACCCCCAGTGAGTGACAAAGCCCCTCCTGACCCCATGCTTCCCCTTTTTCCCTGACTTCACTCCATTCCTTTCTTCTTATTTCCTTTTCTGGTTCCCTGCAGGGGCCTACTGCAGTGCCAGCCTCAAGAGCATGCTGTGTCTAGTCCTGAGCCCCTACTTTGCCCAGATGTGACCATGGCAGAAGACAACTGCCTAAACCAGACAGTGGCAGGGTTCCCCCAGAGCACCTGGTGAGTGGCAGCCTGGGGCAGAAGCTGGGTGGGAGCAGGGGAGCGGGTGCTATGCCTATTCCACTGCTTCACCCTTTCTTTTTTCTCGCAGGGTTGGTGAGGACATGTTCCCTCCCCTGCTGCCCCCCACTGAACAGGACCTCACCAAGCTTCTCCTGGAAGGTCAAGGAGAGGCAGGGGGAGGGTCCTTGGGAGCCCAGCCCCTCCTGCAGTCCACTCCTTACGGGCAGTCTGGGATCTCAATGTCCCACCTGGACTTGAGGGCTAACCCCAGTTGGTGATCCCAACCAGAGGAGGAGGAGCCCAGAGAGAGCTCTTCTATTGTCTCCATGGACCTGCCTTGGATACCTGCTCATGCAGGTGCCTTCCATCTCCAGCCACTCCTCCATTAGGAGGAAAAGACTGCCTGGAGAATGCATGGTGGAGGGAGCCACTCAACTCCTTCCTTCCCACTGCACATCGCTGTCCCCCCTCTTCCAGCACTGAGAGACAAGCCCCAATACGCCTGCACCTGTAGAATACACACAGCTCTCTGGGGAGAATGGGGCTGGGAGGGATCACAGATTAGGGTATAGAGGGCTTCTCTTACTCACTCTAAGCCAGGGCCAGGGGCATGTGCAGAAACAGACTTGCACACATTTGCACTAGAGGCCAGAGACTGAGGGCATGGGTCTGGGTCTCAACTTTGGGATCCTGTAGTAGTAATCCAGGAGACCCTTGGTGGGAAGAGAGGAGGGACCTGGACACATGACTACTTATACGGATTTTGCTAGACTGAAAAATAAATTCCCCTGAATTCTTGCCTGTTAGTTAGGTTTTTGGTACACAGATAAGATTATACAGTACAGGAGCCAAACCTCTGTATGGCTGTGTGAAATTATGTGTACCCGGGACATGTTACCGTACTATGTCATGACATATATATTCATTACATGATCACATATAACTTGTGTCTATCTGCTTTTGCTTTTGTGACAACACAAATTTGGAAGTATAAGACACCAGGGAGTATGCTGGCCTCTGGTATGCTAACCCAACATCATTTTAAGGTGACATTGCCTGGGTGGGTCTGTGTGGCTGTGACATCTACATATAGGCTATAGCTTCAGTGTCTCCACACCCTCAATGTTGCCTGCAGCCAGAGGATGACAAGGACCCAGACCTTGCTGAGAGGAGCCCAGGCCTTGCTGAGTGGCTCTCCAGAGTGTTGGGGGCCATGCCCACTGCTTGTCTTGTATTTCCCCATCCACTGCCCACTTCCCTCCACTGCCCCACCCCATGCCACCCTTTTTTCCCCTCAGGGGTCATGGATCCTAAGCCATAAAATAAATTTTATTTCAAAATAACAAAATAAATAATCTACTGTACACAATCTGAAAAGAAAGACGCTCTAAGTGTTTGGACAGATGCTGCAGTCTGGCCTTGCCTGGGGAGACCCTGAATCCAACCCAGGCCTCCCAGGGGCAGGTGGAGGGAGTCTCCATCTACCTCCCTCAGAGGGCATGAGGGAAGAACTGCTGAGGACTCAGAGGGGAGAGGGATGGACCGGCAAACTGCAGCTCTCATTAAATTAAAGAAACAAACTAGAAGCACAAAAATGAGGACAGGGAGGGGAGGAGGAAAGGTCCAGTGTTCTCAGGCCCCCCTTTCTGAGAGGAAATGTTGCCATTTTTAGCTGCTGGACCTTCCCACGGAAGTCCCCCTTATCCCATGTCCAAACTCAGTCCGGACTGTTCACACCACTGGTGGCCACCTAGAGAGAATGGGAGTGTGTTTTGTGAGGGAGAGGAGAGCCCCAGCTGCCCTGGAGGCAGAGTCCTTGCCCCTTGCTTTGGGCTCTGGGCAGGGGTGAGGGGGCACCACGCACCCTCCATGTGTCCTCTCGCCAGGCCCCCGCTCATTATTGCTTGAAGCCCCATAGTCCTGTGCCCATGGAGCAGGTGGGGAGGCAGGAGGAGGGCAGCGGAAGGATTGGGGTGGTGACTTGGTTCCAAGGATGGAAAGTGAGGGTCTGTTTGAGCCAGAAGTTGGGGTCCTGGGTCCTCCTTCACTGCCGGCTGGCCTCAGCCTCCACTTTCACACTGCTCCTGCGACCCTCCACCAGTGCGGGATGGGGTCCTGGGGCTGGGCATCGGTCCAGCAGTCCCTCTTCAAACTCTGCAAGGAAAAAGCATAGGTTAGAAAACAGTGAGGCAGAAGCTGAGGACAGAGAAGCTAGGGACAGAGGCAAGGGCAGAGAAAGCTGTGAGACGTACTTAGTTTATTGAAATGCTATCTAATACCCTCTGCCTGTGCCCGGGGAGGGGAAGGTTCTGTACCCAAGTATGTGCAGCCCCCCTCTCCTTTCTGGCCGTGTGTAGCTGTCTCTGTGTGTGTCTCTGTCTCTGCCGCCTCTGCTCTGCTGGAATTTCTGGTTCTGTCAGGAGCCGCGGGGGCGGTTTGGCTCTGACCTCTCCCTCTCCCCCCTTTCCTGGCTGTGCCACCCCCACTAATCTCTGGCCCCCACCCAGGCCCCACCCACCCTACCATTGCTCCCCCAAGTTTTCTGGTAGCCAAATCAAGGGGATCACAGGAAGCCAGCCTCCCAGTTCTTCCCTCAAGAAGAGCCCCCCTTCTAGTCCCCGCCCCCACTTCCCACCCACGCAGAGTTTAAAAATACCAAGCCAGGGTTGGTGGCTTTGTCTGCTGCGTCACTCTCAGCCCAGCCGCTGCCCAGCCCTCTGCTGGCCCACTCCCTCTTCCCCTGTCCACAAAGCAACCCTCTTTGGGCTCCCCTGCTTCCAGGCTGGGCAACCCATCCCCACAAATCCTAGTCTGCTCCACCCCCTGAATCAGTGGAAGTTCTAGACACGCTACCCTTATTAATGATACTCCTTTCTGCTGCCTTCGTCCTCCATTCTCTACACCCGCTGGCCCCTCTTCTCAGATCTTTACCAGGGTCCAACCCCCCCCAATGGGAACAGCAGCACCCTCAACTCCACAAAAGGCCTGATTAGCTGGAACCCCCTCCTACTGTCCCCTCTTCCTCCCCCCAGGTCCCAGGATACCAGGATTGTTGTTTGGGGCCTGGGTGACTGGGGTGATTGGGGACAGCACTGCTGGCTGCCTCACCTGCGAGAGGTGGCTTCGCAGGCACACAGGGGCTGAGGCGGCCCACGCGGTCATGGGAGACGAGGCGGGCGAGCCGCAGCCCCTCATCCATCAGTGTCTGCTGCAGGATGTGGCGGCTCCATAGCCCATGGGCTGGCAATGCCACGGGCAGGTCAGCAGGGGGCGGCGTCAGCCTTGGGCACGACCCCACAGCTGTGGGCATGGGCACTTGTCAGGTAAGGGGCTGCAGCCAATGGAACCCCACCCTCATCCACACAGCCAGACCCATAGGCCCTCTGTTCCCATCCAGCCAGGCGTCCCAACCCTGTTCCAGGCAGTGGCTCCTGGCTCAATCCTCCCACCCACCCACCCATCCCTGTCTTCCCACAATGAAGAGAGAAGTGCTCTAATGCATACTCACCCTGCAAGTGTCCATCTAGACTCTCCCCAGACAGGCTAGCACTGTCCTCTTCCAGACTGGGACGATATGTGGATGCATAGGACTCAGGGCCTGGCGGAGGCTGCTGGATTTCAGAGTGACTCTGTTCTCCAACCTGTGGATACCCCAAATGGGAAAATGAAAACATGGCAAGGTAGGAGGCTGGGGCAGGCTTTCCTACCCCTACAACATCCCATAAAACATTACCTCCTGTTTGAGCTTCTTTAGAGGGGGACCTCCTAATTCTTCAGAGTGGAGCCTATAAAGATGAAAAGATTAAAGGAGATGAAGGGGAGGGCCACATGATGGTCAGGGTATAGAATCTGGTCAGGGACATGCATTACTTGAAAACTCTGAAAAGCTGCTAACTGAGTAGGAGTCTCCAGCTCAATAGCTGCTGCGGGGGGGGGGGGGGGTTGGGAGGAGCCAAGGCAGATGGGAGGAGGAACCAGACCTCAGACAAGTTAACTTGGCCAAAAGCAAAGCATGCAGGTGGGTGGGAAGCAGGTCTAGAGCTGCCTGAACTGGAAGTCAGGACGTGATCCAACTCCTTGGCAGCATTCCAATCTAGGAAGAACCCAGGGAAGGGGTCTCACCTGGAGCCCTTCAAGGATGACAGGTAGGTGCTCTCTCGGGCCACTTGGCGAGACAGAGAGAAGAGCTCCACCCTCCGAAGTAAGAGTGTATTGTCCCTCATGCAGAACTGGGCAGCAGCCTCATTGATGGTCAGCTGTGGAGGAGGCACAGACAGAATCCTAACTCCCCCATTGCTTTACCCAGACCACCTCACCCCACTTTACCATCAAAGAGACCTATCCACAGGAGGCTTGCTTTGTTTGGACAATACACAGGAATTTTCTAAGGGAGGAAGACAGGAGAGCAGCACCCACTGCTTCCTAGTAATGCTCAGGGCCTCCTCCACTCCTGTGGGGTCTTGAGTGAATACTACTGAGCAGCGGGGCTCTTGCCTATTATCTCTGCTCTCCTCGCTAAGAATGAAGGCATTGCAGCAGCCAGGGTGGGTGTGGGAAGGAGGGGGTCCAAGACAAGGGTCCTGGTCAAGGGGCAATGAAGCAGAGCTGGAGAACATAGAAATTCTCAAGAGGCAAGCAGACTGAAACCTAGGAATCAATGACAGTACTGAGAGGACCTGGGTCCTCACCTCATGCAGGCTGAGCTGCTTGCCCTCCCGCCGTTTGGAGTCAAAGCGGCCATAGATGATGCTGTACTTGCGGATCTCCTCTTCCTTCTGGCTATCATTATCATCCATCTCAAATATGTGCCCCACACTCCGTGCCAGCTTCTTATTCAGCTTCAGCAGTGATGTGACCTCCCCAGCATCGCCCCTTGGGAAGCTCCGGAAGATCCTCTCCACACTCTCCACCACCATCCGTACCATCTCTGGCTCCAGCCGGTCTGGACCACCCCCAGCACCACCTGCTGCCATCCCCCCAGCCCCAGTCCCCTCAGGGACTCCTCCCCCTGCAGGTGGGGAGAAGGGGGGTGAACCAGACTCCTCTTCTCCTCCTGCTCCAACGTCCGACTCTGGAGTGCTCCGGCCTGGCCAGATCCTGGGGTCCCCAGCCCCAGGTCCCCCAGGCAGTGGTGACAGTTTTTCTCCAAGTTCAAGGGGGCTCTTGGGGCTAAAACTACGGGTACTACCCGCCTTTTCCCCTGGGCTGCCATGCCCATTGCTCATGCTCCCTTTCCGGGTACCCGCAGTCTCAGAGATCTTGAAAAGCGGAATGCTAGAGACAGGCACAGCAGGGACTGGTTGGCTGAAGAGCCCTGGATTGGTGGCCCACTCTCTCAGTGCCTTTTGCAGGCGTCGGACATGGAGAGGCTTGGTGGCCATGCCCACAAGTGCCATGATCTCCAGGAACTCCTCCTCACCAGCCTCACACAGCTGCTGCACATCATCCCCTCCTTGCTGGATGAAAGTCTCATAGTAGGAAAGGAGATTGGCGCGCTGCAGGACCCGGTACAGCTGCAGCTCCCCCAGTGTCCGAGGCAGTGCCATGGCTCGGGCACTGGCCCTGAGGAGGGTACAAAAAAGAGGCAGTCAGTGCAAATGCCCCTTCTGGGTACCAAACCACACTAACAATTGACCTCTCTTTCTTGCCTCCTCTTCTTCCCCTCCCTCCTTTGAATACTCTTTCTGCCCAATGTCCAGAGCTGAACACAGACTATGAGAATGTGGCACTCTTGGAGCAATAACCATGATAGAGCCATCACAGGCTACCCTTATGCACCAAAAGCCAGTGCTGTCTATATAAGTCAGACTCTTACCCTTCATCTTCATCTTCGACCTTTTTGGTCTGGGACAAAAAGACCTGGAATGCTGAGGCCCATTATCGCACCCTGAGATGGCTGGACCTTTTTTCTCCCTCAAAACAATCCTCACCTTTTACTCTAAACACTGAACAGTCTTAATACCACTTAACATAACTTCCCAAAGAAAAGAGAATATAGGAGTCTCTCCTACTCACAGTGGGACCCACTGCTGGCCAGATAGCATCCCTGCCCAGGTGGCTGAGGGAGGGGTGTGGCCCCTTCCCTGGCTTTCCTACTCAGTGAGGCAGGTGGACCCTTCTCCTCTACCCTCAGCTTTCCCACAAATTAGGCGGTCCCCCTTGCTTTCTCCCTCCAAGACCTCTCCTGCCTTCCAGCCTGCCCAGTACCCCTCAGTTGTGACCTCCCCTGGTGTGGCCTTCCCCACTCCCTCGGTGTCCTGTCCCTTCAGCTCAGGCAATGGGGGAGGGGAGGGGCGCCTCAATTGTTCTGCTCCGGGGCTGTTCCACCCACACACTCCCACAGTGGTAGCGTCTGTAGGCGAAAACCGCCTGGGGGCTCCCGCCTACTCTCCTCTCCCTTATTTTCCACCCACATCTTTAAGGAGAGTGGGGAGTCGCTGAAGGCCTCTTCAGCGGGAGGCTGCACACCGAAACTCCCCTCCCCACGCTGTGAAGGAACGGTCAAATACAGGAAGGGACGCCTCAGGCATCCCCTGCTTCAAGCCGGCTGATGCGCCTTTAACTCAAAGGCGCTAGCTTCTCCGGACCCGGGGACCACGCTCTGTGCCTACAACACACTGATACAGCTGTGCGTCCCCCACCCTCCGTACGGTCGCCAGCTCAAGCTTCTGGGCTTTCCCCAGGCACTTAGGGGCTCCCGCATTCTTTACAGGGGGTTCTCATGCTAGGTCATGCCCATAGAGTAAATCTGGAATGGAGAACGAGATAGTACTCTTTTGTATTCAGCTTCATCAGCTCCTTGTCTTTTCCCAAGGTCCCCTAATTCGAAGACTCACCCCCTTTTCCATCAGTCTCCACCCCCCACCCCCGTCCCACTTCCCCACGTCCTCTCCTCGACCTCCACCCTCCGGACCCCATTCCTGAGTCCAGCTCCACCCATCTCCACTCCTCACCGCCTCCCTTTGCCCACTAACTTGAGTCTAGGCTGCTGAGTCCGGCGGGCGCTGTCCCCTCCGCCCGGCGGCTGCTCGGCTGTGGGGGAGGGCGCTCTGTGCATGGACGGTCGAAGACCACCCGGGCTGCCTTCTCGATGCCCGGCGCTCCGTGCCTGCTGCACGCTTTGCTTTGCCCGGCGCGATGCTGTGTCCACCGCTGTCCAGGCTCAGTCCCTCCCTCCACGTCTTCTCTCTCCGAGCCTCCGCGCCTCTGTCTATGCCTCTGCCCCCCCTCCCCGGCTGCGCTTGCCGCCTCTCCGCGCCTCCACCCCCGCAGGACGCACGGGGAGCGAGGCCCGGCGCTGCGCTGGCTGCTGGGCTGGCGGGAGGAGGGCGTGGGCACAGCCGGGGGCTGGGGCCAGGGGTTGGGGGTGGGCGCCCGGGTCTTTGGGCTGCCGGAGACGCCGCAGCAAAGACAGAAAGGAGAAGACTGGGGGCAAGAGGTAGGGGGCGGGGGCGGGGGCTCGGAGTCAGGGACTGAGGTGACCGAGGCCGGCTGTGGAGGGCGAGCTTGGGGACCCAGCGGGCGGGGCGAGGTCGCTCTTTGCCGCCCACGCCGGATGCACAGCCAGCCCTCTCTGCGCCCACGTACCCACGTGAGCGCCCCGCCGGCTACATTCCTACTCCCCCACCCCCCACCCCTGGCCCTCCAAGCTGAGAGTGCTGTTTCACAACCACGCACAGGTACACAAAGACACAGAGAAGCGCACGTACGTGCACACTCGTCTAAACAACTATACGAAAGTCCGCTGCCCACACTCCGGCCTCGTGGTGCTTGCTGTTCGTGTGAATGTTAGAGGAGAGTGTGGGGAAAAGTTGGTGAAGGCTTTGGGGTGCGCGGCTTTTTCTTGTGCGTGCATCTGACTCCCAGGGAGTGGTACTTAGGGCAAGTGTGAGCGCGGACTTCTGTAGGAATCCCAGCGCCCTTCTCCAGCCCCAAAAGGAGTTCTTAAGATAACTCTCAGAAACGCAGGCTTTCTACACCCCTGCCTCCAGTCAGCGCCGGAGTTTGGGGACTAGGGATGGGCGGGTTAAGCGAGAAGTCATCAGATAGGTGCGTGTTGATTAGGTGCTAGGCGTTTTGTTAGTGATCAGGCAGGGACGGGGGATGACACCCTATGTGCTGAGGTTGGGGACCTCTTGAGGAGTAGATGGCAAAGCTGGGATAAGGAGAACACCTCTTCTAGGACTGTCTATTAGAGGACTCGCTGCAGAGAGTGTTGTGAAAGATGAGCAAGAGGTCCGGAGCGTCCGACGTGATTCCCAGTGGAAGAGCTAGAGGGAGGAGCTCCTTCAAGGAGCCTAGCCCCACTTCGCAACCCACCGCCCCTCCCCCCTTGCTTTCTCCTAGCCCCATCTGGTTCCCATTACACTCCCGCCCACGACTAGGAGGGCTGGTGGGGGGGCGGGCAAGTGGGGGTTTTAGGCTGCGGGGAAAGGAGGTAGGGGAAAGCTAGAGGACTAGCCACTGGCCAGGGTCCCCTTAGGTGCAAACGTCAGCCCCGCCCGCCCATTCCGCCCTTCTGAGTGGCTCGGTCAGGCAGGGCGTGGGTGGCGTGGGTCCCGCCTGGTTCTACATTCCAGCCTGGCCAGGGGACCTTTTTCTGGTGGGGGTAGGGGAGAAGGGGTGCGTTATTGGTTGGGAGGATCTCAGTAGCTCAGACTTTTGTCTTCATTCTCTTAAACACCACATATAATGTGGGTGGTAGGAACCAGTAAGGCCCCCCCAATCCCAAACCCCATCCTGCAAGGAAGGAGCTTTCCTAGAGGGGCTCCCTCCGGGGGCACCTCCCAACACCCTTGGAGGAGTGTTAGTGCCCCTCCCCCACCCCCACTCGGGTTATTTTGGAGTCCGGGCTGCCAGCCGCTGGCCCCGGGTTTCCACGTGCCCCCGCCCTCCCCCGCCCACGCTCCCCGTGACGCACATCCTCCGCCCACGCAGCCTCTGCTCCAGGCGCCCCCTCCCTCCCACTGGCCCCCCTGGGGCGGTGCTGAGTCCTGGGATCTGCTGGGCTACGCCCGTCGGTGGAAACAAGCGGAGTAGGGCGTGAATGAAGGGGGCGGCAACTTGCTGGGTGATGGGCTCCTGGGTCTGCGTCCAGGAAAGAAGAGGAGGGAGGAGCAATTTTGAGGGCTCCGGTCCGCGTCCTGCGGCGGATGGCTTGGCGGGAGAGGAAGGAGAGGAGTAAAATCCCGCGGAAGGGGCTTGTCCACTCTTTGAAACGCAGTCAGAAAGGGTCCGGGTGCGAACCTCTGTGTGGGAGAGTGAAACTACCGGGTATTTGTATCTCAACATTGTCATAAGGTTCAAATAGAAACTATGTGACAAACTCTGCAAATTGTAGAATGCAAAGCAAATTTAAGACGCTATTGTCTTAAATAAATAAGCTCAGTGCCCTGAGTTTATGTATTTATGTTTCTTTATATCTACTTGTATATCTGTGTCTCTGTCTATCTAGGTTTGTATTGGGGCCCATCTATGTGTGGATTTAAAAATATATACATTTTAAAAATCATTGACTTGTCAGGCCCCGCCAGAGGCCCAGAGCGCCCCCGCAGCCCGCGCCGGAGCTGCTGAGATGTCTGTTCTTCGTTTCCCTCCCACTCCTACCACCCCCACTCCCCTCCTACTCCCTTCCGTTGAGAACAAGGAATTTCCAGCCTTTAGCAAAGGGAGAGAGAGGTAGGAGAGACTAAGACCAGGAGAAACTATAAGAAAAACATAAAGAGGGTGTGTGTGTATGTGTGTGTGTTGGGGGAGAGACAAAAAGGGAATGAGAAAAAAACAACAAAAATTTTCATTGCTTTTTCTGCATGGGCCCCATTCTCCTTAGTGTCCCACTTGTTCATTTAGGACCACATCGGTACCTGCTCCCCCCCCCCCATCAGTGTTCTCAAATGCACACAGCAGATCAACTGATCTCATTTAATCAAAGTTTAATATTCTTTTTATTGTCTACACTGGTCTCTTCCAGGAAAGGAGACAGCATCCTTGGACCTAGTTCTCCAGGAAAAGGGGGAAAAGATTGTGAAGAAAAGGGAGAAAGTGGGTGGAAGAGGAGTGAGGATACTGCAAACCAGTCACTGCGAACCAGAAGGATTGTTGTTCCCAGGCACGTGTAGATTTTCATCTAGCAGATTGCACCGCTCACTCCTCCTCCCCACTTTGTCACAGTGCCAAATGCTTGAAGACTCACTCACTATGGCTCAAACTCACCTTCCTGGACCCTCTCCTTCCTGGACCACCTCCATGCCTCCAGGCAAAATTAATTCCTCCCACCTCTCCAAGGAGGTCTTTATACACTATTTCAATATAGTTGTATTACCCTCAGCTCAGGACCTCTTTAGAGGCCTGATACCTGGTTTGCCCTCTAAAATGAATGAATTGATGATGCTATTTACAGGCCTGAGCAACTAAGAAGAGGACAATTAACACAAAATTCAGAGCAAAAGGGGCTGAGCCTGGACAAAATTGTTTTTAAGTGAAGACATTTGTTTTTATGTCTCTCCTCCTCTTAGTTTCCAGTGAGTCCCGCAAGTCTGGCTCATTGGCATTCTTAAATGTCCACTACTCTGGTAAATTAATTCACACCCTGGTACTATACATAGAAAGCTGAAATCCTTGCTGGTAATAGAAAAAAATGAATATAGGGCTGGGGTTGTAGCTCAGTGGTAAAAGCTTTTGCCTTGTACGCGTGAGGCCCTGGGTTCGGATCCTTAGCACCACATAGAAATAAATATAAAAAAATAGAGATATATAAAAAAAAGAAAAAAATGAATATAAAGTAGTGATTCTCCTTTTTCTTTTCCTCTCCTCTAATAACATCAGAATTTATGGTCTATGAAGTGTTATCCTTCAATTTAGTCCATGAAGTGTCATCCTTCAATTTCATGTGAGAGTGTGTGTGTGTGTGTGTGTGTGTGTACTAAAGGTTGCTAAAGGTCAAACCTAGGATCTTAGGTTTGCTAAATTGCTGAGGCTGGTCTTGAACTTGTGATCCTTCTGCCTCAACCTCCTTAGTAGCTGGAATAATAAGGGTGTATCTGCACTCATGACTCAGTTCTTTTACAAGAAGTGCTTCACTTCTTAAAGACAAATGTTCCTAACTTCTTTCTATGTAGAACTCAGACTAGTAGGGGAATAACCATACAAACAAATTATTACAACATACTGTAATAATAAGGGTACAGACTATGACAGAAGTGTTAAAGGGCAAGTTACCTATTCTGCCTGTTGTGAGGGACTGATTTAGACAGGGATCCAAGAGAGGCGATGAGGCAGTCCAGAATTTTGAGGTATGAAGAGATTTCTGAGAAGAAAGGAAGTCAAATCAGACCGGAGCGTGTGCTTGTGTGGAGTCATGAAACAGAACTCCATGCTTGGAAAACTAGGCATTATTGTTTATTATTGCTGGGTAGAGGGTTAAGGTGGGTGGGGTGGTTAGAAATGAGCCCTGGGAGGTGTACAATCATGGTATTAAGGATGTTATACACCAGTATATCTCAAACTGTTGTTAAGGACTGGACTAATCTTTTTCTTTTTTTAAAAAAAAGAAATTCTAACCTAATGTTGCCCACTAATTTTATAAAATACAACAAAAGTGGATTAGAAAAATGAGAAAAAAATCACCCCATTTTAAAAATTAGAGTTCATAAATATTGTTTCTCCCTCAGATTGCTAGTAAACTTCTTAAGCGTACTTCTGCAATAGTTTCATTGCAGATTAGTATCAAAATATCAAACAGTATCAAACTTTGAATAGCAATTTGTAGTTTCTTTATACCTATATTTTGGGTTTCATCCTACAGAGATAGATAATGTGGAACCATAAAGACTGCATCTTAGTAATGGCAGGGTCAGATCTGCATTAAGGAGCAAAGTAGAGGAAGGATTTATAACTGCAAAAACCAGGGAAGCCAGATGAAGGAAACCAAAGGATGTTGTCGCTTCAAGGTCCTCCCAGTGAGAAATTACAAAGTGCTGGGTGCATTTAGTGGCATGAAATGGAGAGGAAAGGACAGATCTAAAAGATAGAAAATAAAATCTATAGGACTTGGTGATGGCTGAATTGGTTTTCATAAAATATTCACAATCTGCAATCCTTTATTTATAATAATAAATTTTGAAATTAGGCAAACCAAAAGTTTTTTTCATAACTTATTTGACACATTAAAACCTATTCTGGGGGCTGGGATGTAGTTCAGTGATAGATCACTTGTTAAGTGCCAGGTCCTCCATCACTGAAAACAATAACAAAGCCTTCAACCAAATCTGAATTGTGCTTATTTTGTGGCAAAGTATATGACCTAAACTTACATGAGATTATTTATGGTTTTCATTTATACCTCTTTCATTTATCTTAGTATCATTATTCATATGTCATTGCAGAAATATTAATTTGGTTAACAGGTGTTGTCCTAGATGCCATTGTTGCCTTGTATAGTGCATATGTGCCATTTTATTTTTCTAAAATTCAAAAAGTTCTGAACACACATTTACATCCAGATTTCCCACCCTATTTACTCATCAGCCTTGGCCTAAGTTTTTTTTTTGGCTATTTGCATAAATCACATCCACCTGCAGATAATGAATATTCATTGCAGCTTGTGCTACATAGATTTTGAAGGTGAATCTCAAAGTGTTTTGAGTGGTGTCCTCGTTATTAAAATAAGGGAAAAAACTTCTTAAATTACTCCTTTTTTTTCTTTGTCTTTTGGTACTGGGAATGAAGTGCTTTGCCACTGAGTGACACCCTCAACCCTTTTTATTTTACTTTTTAAATTTTGAGATGGAGGTGTATACGTGTGGGGGGTATCCCTAAGTTGCCTCCAGAGCTGCTGGAATTACTGGCCTTGAACCTGAGATCCTCTTGGCTCAGCTTTTGGAGTCACTGGTATTATAAGCATTGAAGTACTATATTGAACCAACAGCAGTCATTTGTTTGATAAGGTGTGATATGTTTGTGGACCACTAATATCATTACTGTATACCTCATTTACACATTTTAATAATCAGTAGTTAATGATCTTTTGGAATTAGTTCCTAAACCTGAAATTAATTTGCCTTTAGTCAAAACCAAAAAGCAAGCTCTGAATGGTGTGGAAGAAAAAATGGAGTGTGTGTGCGTTTATGTAAGTGTATGTGAATTATATATTTGTACATAATAGTATTCTGAAATATATATAAAATATACATATATACACATGCGTTTTACTAGACTTTAAGACTTACAGAAACATTGAAAAGAGTGCAGAGAGTTCCCGTGGGGGGGGGTTGGCGGGCCGGTAACCGTTGATTGAACTCAGGAGCACTCAACCACTAAGTCATATCCCCATCCTATTTTGTATTTCATTTAGACAGGGTCTCACTGAGTTGCTTAGTCTTACTTGCTGAGGCTAGCTTTGAACTCAGTGATCTTCCTGCCTCAGCCTCTGGAGCTGCTGTGATTACAGGCTTGCGCCACCTCGAGGGGAGGGTTCCCATTATTTACCCTATTACTATTCAACATTAGCATGGTATATTTTCCACCATTAGTAAAATATTATTCATTTACTATTATTATTATTATAATACTGAGGATTGAACCCAGGGGCACTGTAACACTAAGCTATATCCCCAGTCCTTTTTAAAAAATTTGATACTTGGGATTGAATCCATAGGAACTCTAGCGCTGAGCCACATTCACAGCCCATTTTATTTTTTGAGACAGGGTCTTGCTAAGTTGCCCAGACTGGTTTTGAACTTGCTATTCTACCGCCTCAGTCTTCTGAGTAACTGGGATTACAGGTGAACATCACCATAGTCAGTTATTCATATATTATTACTGACTGAAGTTTGTAGTTTGTTCATATTTCCTTAGTTTTATTTTTACCTTTCTTTTTTTCTGGTCCAAAAATCTTACCCATAATACCACATTAAGTTTTTTTTTTTAAGTTTTATAACTTTTTTATTCTTATCATTTATTTATTTTTTTAGAGAGAGAATTTTAATATTTATTTTTTAGTTTTGGCAGACACAACATCTTTGTTTGTATGTGGTGCTGAGGATGGAACCCAGGCGGCACACATGCCAGGCCAACGCGCTACCGCTTGGGCCACATCCCCAGCCCTTATTTTTATTTTTTAACGTAGTGCTGAGGATAGAACCCAGTGCGTCACATGTGCTAGGCAAGACCTCTACCATAGAGCCACAAACCCAACCTCCCCACATTACTTTTAATTCTAATTCTCTTCGGGCTCCTCTTGTCTTGAACAGTTTCTCAAGACTCCCTGTTTTTGATGATCTTGATATTTTTTTAAATATTTCTTTTTTTTAGGTGTTGGGGATGTGGCTCAAGCGGTAGCGCGCTCGCCTGGCATGCGTGCGGCCCGGGTTCGATCCTCAGCACCACATACAAACAAAGATGTTGTGTCCGCTGAAAACTAAAAAATAAATATTAAAAAAAATTCTCTCTCTCTCTCTGTCTCTCACTCTCTCTTTAAAAAAATATTTTTTTAAGTTATACATGGCACAATATCTTTATTTTATTTATTTTTTTATGTGGTGCTGAGGATCGAACCCAGGGTCTCACACGTAAGAGGCAAGTGCTTTACCGCTGAGCCACAACCCCAGCCCCTTGATATTTTTTTTCATATTTTATTTTTTGGTTATAGTGGGACACAATACCTTTATTTTATTTATTTGTTTTTATGTGGTGCTGAGGATTAAACCCAGCACCTCGCATGTGCTACGCGGGCACTCTACCGCTGAGCTACAACATCAGCCCATGGTCTTGATAGTTTTGAAGAGCATTTTTGATTACTGTCCTTCTGGAATTTGTGCAATATTTTTCTTTTGATTAAGACTGGTATTAACTAGTTTTTATTATTTGTTTTTGCAATGCTGGGGATTGAACCCAGGGCCTCATTCATGCTAGGCAAGCAATCTAACACTGAGTGACATCCCTAACCCTGTTATGAGTTTTGAAGAGGAATACCACAGAAGTAAATTACCATTTTCATCAGATGATAGCAAGGGTACATGTAAATATAAGTGTGATTTATTGCTTTTGATATTGACCTCTCTTGGTCATCTGTTGTGTGTTTCTATGAGACAGGATGAACATTGCAGTATGGTTGGCCTAAACGTTTTATGAGAATGTAATTTCTTTTCTTGTCCATAGCTCAGGACATTTGGAATTTTTAAAACTTCCTTGTTTTGATGGGCTGGGATGTAGTTTAGTGGCAAAGAACTTTCTTTGTATACCCGAAGCCCTGGGTTCAATCCCAGTTCCAAAAAAAGAAAAGACAGAAAAAAAAACAACAACAACAACAACCCAAAAAACCTTCCTGTTTTGAAAGCTTGAATCTTCTTCAGAAGTTATCCCTGTCCTTGAATTTCTGAACTCATTTGGCTCCTTTGTGTCCAGTTTTATTATCTACAACTATTAGATCCTATGGGATTCCTTGCCTCTTGTCCTGGACTGCTGCTGTTTTTTTTTCCTTTCTATGCTTTTTAAATTGGTGAGTTGTAGTTGTGTATTATAGAGGGATTTGCTGTCGCATATTTGTACATGCTATCTTTGGCTTAAATAGCAATAGTAAAGAGACCTTTTCTTAATTCTCAAATTAATTTTGTTTTGAATTAAACATTATTTTAAAAAAATCCCTATGACATTTTTGTGTTGGTGGGGACCAAATCAACGCTTTGCATATACTAAGATGGTATTCCACTACTGAACTACATCCCCAGACATATGGCCACATTTTTTTTAATATTTATTTTTTATTTGTACACAATACCTCTGTTTTATTTATTTATTTTTATGTGGTGCTGAGGATCGAACCCACAGCCTTGCACATTCTAGGCGAGCGTTCTACCGCTGAGCCACAACCCCAGCCCCACACTTTTAAACTCTAACATTTATGCCTGACAACACAAAATTTTTGTGATTTCTGTTTTAAATCATTTAGGCCTTTAGAAGACCACACTTCGCCAAATCGTTTTATTTTAAAACATGAATAGACTCTATTCATAAAGAGATCTTGATTATAGGCTTCCTATAACAAAAAGATTATGGTTAAAAAAAGAAGAAGAAGAAAAAGAAAAAGAAAGCAGAAGGAACTTGAGACAGTTTCGATGGAAATACCAAGTTTTGTCCAGGAGGTTTCGCCAATTCTGATTTTTCATTGGCTAAACTTGCCATCAATTGCGCTTGTAAATAAACTGGGGAACGGAAGCATGTTGTTAAGGGGTGGGATCTTCCTGTTGTCATTGCTAAGGTGAGGCGAGAATCGGTTTTCTAATAGGCTAAAGCTGCTTCTCCCGCCCTCTTTCATCAGTTGCTAAGGGGCGGGACTCCTAGGGTCCTGGGAGGAATTAGAGCTCGAAGCTCCGCCCTCCAAGTTAGTGACTAGGAGAGGGCCTTGTAGCTGACTGGCTGTTGGGACTGCCTGTTAGGGGCTAATAGCAGGGGAGAGGCAAGAGAGGAGGAGGCGGCTTAAGGCAACCATGGCGGGAGGAATCAAAGTAGCGGTGTCGCCGGCTGATGGTCCCGGGTCCTGGGTCTGGGGGGCCGGGGATGGTGGGGCAGTGCGGCTGTTCTTGGTCCTTTCCGGCTGCTTGGTCTGCGGCTCAGGTACCACCCGGGCAGCAGCTGCTTTGGGGGTGGGGGCGGAAGGGTTTATTTTTGGAAAAGTGGGTCTTGCCCTGAAGGCGTGGGCCGTTACTCTGCAGAGGGGCGGTGGCTCTGCGGAGTAGCCCTGGGTGCGGGGGAAGCCGCTTCGGGACTGATGGGTTAGGGCCCTTGGGAGGTCTTGGGGAGCTCCCCAAGAGTGGAGGATCCTGGAATCTTTTGGCGAACACTGGAAAAAGAGGCCTGCGCTGAGAATTGGCCGTGGGGGCTTTGCCACGCTGCTGGGGTCCTCTCGAGATTCTAGGTTAAAAGGAATAAGATCCCGGGACCTTTCGAGGATGGGGGAGAGGCCTCATGAAAGGGAGGATCACATTTATTTAGCAAATTAGCAAACACCTTCTCAGCCAGTGCGGTCAGGAGGCGGAGCAAGGGCGGTTGAATAGGTCCTTAGAGTTTACAGAAATACATTGTACTTTAACATCTGCTCTTTTAAGACCCTGTCCCCTAACTGCCCTATTTAACGGACCTGAGGTCATTATACTTCAGTTTCCCAAAAAAGATACTAGTGCTATTTAACATCAATGGGTTTGTTTTGGGAAATTTATGGATTCCTTCAAACACATGTGTTTGATATCTGCTAACTGGACTGTTAGTTTGGGATTGGGAAGGAACCTTTTCGCTTGAATCCAGAAATCTTAAAGTATGTTTTTTAGAAACTTCCTTTAACCCTTGTTAAATTCATGATAGAAAAATAAGTGGGGTTTCCAAGCTTCCCCTGGAGGGAGTGGAAACGACGGAGGAGAGTAAAAATAATCTTATCTTGTAAACACATGCAATGCACTCTCATTTTTCCTTTTAGGTTCATGTCTATCTTCAGCTGTCATTTAGGATTAAGGCGTCATATCAGCACTCAAAGATCTAGTTCCAAACTGCAGCATCTTTCTGAAAACTTTTCCCCCTAGGGAGAGGGGAATAAGTATCCAGGAATGTACTTTTACAGAGGCAGGGCCTACAATGACATTTGAAGGCTATTATCAGATTGAACTTCTAAAATGAAATTGTGGATTGTAGAAAGGAGAAAATATTAAGCACTCAGTCAGAAGTTTCTTTCTCTTTGAAGTTTCTTTTTTTTTTTTCCCTTTGGGGTGCTGGCAATTGAGCCCTGCAGATTTGTTGAGAGGAACAGGAACTTCTTGGCTTGGAGAAAAGTAAACTTGGGGATGATATTTTTTCTGTACAGCCTGATATATTATGTGGGTGGCAGCTACAAAGAGCAATCATGTAATAGAGAATGAAGTATTATTGCAAAAGATAGGTAGTAGTGGTGTACTGGTGGCACATGCCTGTAATCCCAGCTACTGGGAGACTGAGGCAGAAGGATAGCAAGTTCAAGTCCAGCCTGGGCAATTTAGCAAGTTACTCTCTTAAAATAAAAAGGGCTAGGGATGTAGCTCAGTGGTAGAATACCCTGGGTTCGATCCATAATGCCCCCCCCCCCAACCAAAAAAAAAAAAAAGAGCTAGTTTCTTCTCATTGGATTTTTAAAAATATATTTTTTTAGTTGTAGACAGACACAACACCTTTATTTTATTTTATTTATTTATTTATTTATTTAATGTGGTCCTGAGGATCGAACCCAGTGCCTCACGCGTGCAAGGCAAATGCTATACCAACTGAGCTACAACCCCAGCCCTCATTGGATATTAAATATTTTTTTAGTTGTAGATGGACACAATATCTTTATTTTATTTATTTTTATGTGGTGCTGAGGATTGAACCCAGTGTCATACATGCCCTAGGCAAGTGCTCTACCACTGAGCCACAACCCCAGCCCTCACTGGATGTTTTTGAAATGTTTGATTATAAAGGTAATACATATTTGTTCTAAATATTTGGCAAGTACAATTAAGCATAAAGAAGTAATCAAAACTCTCATTGTTCATTCCATTTAGATGTAATCCATTTTATCACATTCTCTTCTGGTCTTTTTACATGATTTTATTATTTTTTGTTTTTTTGCAGAACTGGGATTGAACCCAGGCCTTGTGCAGGCTAGCTAAGCACCCTGCTACCTGGTGCTACTACCTGTCTTTTGAAATAGTACTCCATTCTCTTTGGATACTTGAGCCCAGCCCCTAATTATTAATCTTTGAATAGGTACTTTATAGGTAACACAGTTAGCAATTTATTATTCAGTAAATTCTGGGAGGTTCAGAAGGTGTTTTCCTGAATGTTTAATTTGCTCTGCTCTTTCATGTTTGTTAGTTTTTATTTTTATCATTTTACAGTCCTTGAAATCTAACCCAGGGCCTCATACATGCTAGACAAGTGCTCTACTGAATTATACGCCTGACTTTAATTTATTCTGCTTTTTAACATGCTCGCTAACTCACTTTGAGGAGGGAAGGAAAAGTGATGTATGTTATTTTACTATGGGAAACACAAGGTACTAATATATTTAAGGTCATTTGGTTTAGTTGTATATTTCTAAACTTAATCTGTATCTGGAGTCCCTGCTTGTTTCTGCAGATTATTCCCTAAGGCCGAATTGTCATATTGTCCCCCTCAGTTCATTTCCAAGGATATGGCTAGCCAAGGTGCTGATTTCTCTTGGAGGTTACTATGGAAGAGGTTTATTTATTTATTCATTTTTTCCCCCTTGAATAGTATGTGACTCAGGAAAAGAAAAAACTAGATTTTATTAATTCTGGCATTGGGTCTTATAGGACAGTTTTATTTCTTTAGGAATATGGCTTTGGAAAACTTTAACGTTACTGTTAAAATGATGGTGCTGGGCGTGGTGCCATGTGCCTATAATCCCAGCGCTTGGGAGGCTGAGGCAGGAGGATCCCTTCAAAGCCAGCCTCAGCAACCTGGAGAAGCTGTAAGCAATTTAGCAAGACCCTGTCTCTGAGTAAAATACAAAAAAGGGCTGGGGATATGGCTCAGTGGTTAAGCGCCCCAGGTTTAATCCCTGGCACCAAAACAATCAAACACAAGAAAAACAGTGATGTTTTTTCTCGACATTAAGTTTTTCAAATGCCCTGTGGTACTGATGCATTATTTGTATCTACCTACCCTTTTGAAAGTAATAATAGACTTAGAAAGGTGTTATGTCATATTACTTGGTGCTGTGGGAGAGAAAGAATTAATAAGTGTGTTTTTTTTCTTTTTCTGCACAGGTGCATGTTTTTGCTTAGGGATTTGTAAATAGACTGTATATTATTTTAACAAAGTAATCAGTTCTTGTTTAACTTTGCAGTGTTTTTGCAGGCCTCAACACATTTGTAAATACAGTATGTTTAACGTTTTATGTAACCTTACTCTTCACTCTTCATAAGAAAATTAACTTGATCTATATTTGTGACTGGGTATTTTTTTAGTATATTTGTAGGCTTGTTAGGGAGATAAGTGTCAACAGGCCTTTGAAAAGGCTTCATTTTAGGAAAGACTTGGAGGAAATCCAAATTACTATTGAATAACCCTAGTGAGAAATTGATAGTTTATAAAGACCTAACTTTTTTAAAAAATTGAGATATAAATTTACACACCATAAGATTCTCTCTTCAGTGGTTTTTAATGTTTCACTAGGTTTTGCCAACATCACCACTGTCTAATTACATTAAATTTTAGTCACTCTAAAATGGAACTCCATATACTACCCATTCCCCTCTCCTTCTAGCCCCTGGCAACTACTAATCTATTTCCTGTCACTGTGGATTTGCTTCTTCTAGACATTTTGTATCAACAGAATTGTACAATATGTGGCTTTCTGTGGCGGCTGTGTGTGTGTGTGTGTGTGTGTGTGTGTGTGTGTGTGTGTCTGATTCCTTTTATGCAGTGTAATGTTTTCCATAGTCCTCTATCTTTTCTTTTGGTACTGGGAATTGAACCCAGAAGTGCTGAGCTACATCCACAGTCCTTTTTAATTTTTTTTTTTTTTTTTTTGAGATAGAGTCTTGTTAAGTTGCTGAGGGTCTCACTAAGTTGCTGAGGCTGGCCTTGAATGTATGAGCCTCTTGCTTCAGCCTCCCAAGTCACTGGGATTGTAGGCATATGCTACCATGCCCAACAAATTCATCTGTCTGGTAACATATATCTTCATTTCTTTTTATGGCTGAATAATATCCATTGTATGGATATACTACATTTTGCTTATCTGTTTGTTCGTTGGTGGACATTTGGGTTGTTTCTACTTTTTGGTTGTTTTGGATAATGGTGCTGTGAACATTCATTCATATGTTTTCATGTGAATACATTTCTTCAGTTCTCTTGAGTATATACTTAGCAGTGGAATTGTATGATAACTTTTTGAGGAACTACCAAACTTTTTCAATTACCAACTACCAAACTTCTCCATTACCATTAGCAATATATGGAGGTTCCAATTTTTCCATATCATCAACCAACACTTGTTATTGATCTCTTTTTTAATATAACCATTCTGATGGGTGTGAAATAGTACTTCATCGTGGTTTTGATTTGCATTTCCCTAATGACTAATGATGTTGAATCTCTTTTCATGTGTTTATTGGACATTTGTGTATTTTCTTTGGAAAAATGTATACACATCCTTTGCTTATTTAAAAAATTGGGTTGTTGTTGAGTTGTAATAGTTATTTTTGTATTCTGGATACTAAACCATACACGATTGCAAATATTTTCTCCGATTTTGTGTGTTAGTCTTTTTGCTTTCTTGATAGTGTCCTTTGAAGCAATATTTTGTTGTTGTTGGTTTTATTTTTTGGTGCTGGGTGAAGCACAAAAGTTTTTAGTTTTATGAGATCAGTTTACCTAGTTTTTCTTTAGTTGCTTATACTTTAGAGTTATATCTAAGAAACCGTTACCTAATCTGAGGTCGTAAAGATGTACACCTATGTTTTCTTCTGAGTTTTGTAGTTTTTTTGCTAAAAGACTAAATGTGAAATCAAAATTGGTCTTAGCTTCACCCCAAAACCATTTGGACTCAGTGGTAGGCATCAGTGCTTTTTGTGTGTGTGTAATTTTGACTTTCTAAGGTTTGGTCAAGATCTTTGTATTATTTATTTATTTATTTTCTAGCTTATTTGAATTTCCCCACCTTTATACTATATCAAGAACCAAAGTGATAATTAAATTTCCAGTTGATAGCATTTGATAAACTGGTATGCAAAACATAGAACTTTAGGAAGAAGTTACAGGGTAGGGATGCAGCTCAGTGGGAGAGGATTTTACTCCAGGTGTGAGGCTCTAGATTGAATCTCCAGCACTGGGAAAAAAAAAAAAAAATCAAATGCATGTGTTTACAACAGGAATGTGAACAAAATTGGATGGGAAAGTATAGGAAACTGGTCATTCCCCCCTCTGACCCCTGTAGTGGGGATTAAGCCCAGGGCCTTGCACATGCTAGGCAAGCTGTCTACTACTGAACTACATCCCCAACCCTTTTTTAAAAATTCTATTTTTGAGGCAAGGTTTCACTAAATTTGCCCAGGTTGGCCTAGAACTTGCCATCCTCCTGCCTCAGCCTCCCAAGTAGCTGGAATTACAGATGTGCCACCACACCTAGCTGAGTGGTCACTCTTAAACCTTGAATTAGCTAAGGGTGAATACAAACTGAGGGGAGAATCTTCCATTTTGATAAATCAGAGGGACTGCATATTGGCTGCTCTTAAAACTTGAAACAGCTAGAATAAACAGCAACTTTGCAATCTTTTAGTTTCTTCTTAAAGACTTATTAAAAACAAAAACAAAAAACTTCTGTTAGTTTGTCCTATTCAGGGAATCTAGAAAAATCAACATATGGGGTTACTTTAGCTTACTTTAGTTATCCCATTACAGGAAAAGCAGGATACATATGGTTAAAGCTGTAGTCAGACCTGGTTGTGACTCTCACCATTAGGCTGTTTACTAGCTGTCTAACTTTGGACAAATTACTTAACCTTTCTTCAATATTAGTTTCCTCATTTGTAAATTAGGCATTATGAAAATATAGCACTGTTAAGAGGGTTAAATGAAACAGCACTCTATGTTAATAAACACTTAATAGTAGTTAATACTTATTCTGAGTTAATGACTATTTGTAATATTTAAATAATAAAATTTTGGGGTTGAGTGGTAGATTGTGTGCTTAGCATGCTTGAGGCCCTGGGTTTAATCCAGAGTGCACGCAGTCATGCACACAATTAAATGGAACAGAAATAAGATTCTGCCTTATTCTTTCATTTTAGTTTTGTTTCGGTCTGGCTGATATTTCAGCTCCAAGTTTAAGAAAGTGGTTAGTTTAGTTCTTCTTATGAAATGAGTTGCAGTTATTAGGTTGTTCTGTTATACTTAATTTTTGTTTCCTTTCTTTGCATAAAGCTGGAATTGATGTAAATGTGATCATGCTTCAGGAATCCCGAGTTTATAGTATGAGTACCAGCCAACAGTTCTGTTATAAAAATGTGCTTGTCCCAAAGTGGCATGATATATGGACACGGATACAGGTAATAATTTGGAAGCCCCTCGCAGGGGCATCTCAGCTCCCTTAAGAAGCTTACAGTACTATGACTTTGAGGTAAACTTCCTTTCTTCTTTTCCCAAAGAAGCTTCCTCCCCTTTCTTCCTTTTGGCAGTATGCACATAAACACACCTCTCTCTTTTTAAAGCCCTTATGCCTTCTTTGGGCTGGAAACTGGCATGCCTGTCAGGACGTAAACTCTTGCCTTGCTGCCCCTGTTCTATTTTGATTCTACAAAAGATGTTTTATAAACCACCTGAGCTGAAGTTTCCCCTTGGTAAAATGACTTTGGTCTTATTTATTTCATAACACTGTTAAGTCACCTGGCAAGCAAGAGTGTCTGGCTGTAATAGTGATTGAACAAAATGAGTCCTTTTGAAAATGTTGCTGCTACTACAAGTATAGTTACTGATAAGGGTATTTGTTGTTCACCTCAAAAACCTATGAGTGGGCTTGTGGTTTTTGTTTTCTTTTTTAAATTCTCTTTTTTTAATGTCTCTTATAAAAATCATACTCCATCTGGGGTACATTATAATCAGCATTTACACATAATCAGTGATTTGCAACAATAGGTTGAACTTCTCAGCCTGTCATTATGGGAAACATTTTTAGTTTTCTGGGGCTGTTTATGACTGGTAATTTTCTTAATATTCTAGATCCTTTCTTTGTATGATCTCTTATAAATAGTTGTATTGATAACTCAGCTTGAGAGTCTTTCACCCCACTATGTTCTGGTCTAATAGTAGATTCAGATCATGTTAGCAAGAAGACATTCTAACAGCTTCCTTTCTGTGCCATGTGCAGTGTTATTTGCCCAACTATGTTTTAGCTGCTGTATCTCTATATTTCTGATAAGCCTTGTAGAAAACTGACCACTACTGATTTATTTACCTAAGGGTTTTTAAAAATTTTATTTGTGAAAATTTTAAAAACCTACTTCCTTCTTTCTCATCCTGATTTACTTGTGTTACAGATCCGGGTAAATAGTTCCACATTGGTCCGAGTCACCCAGGTGGACAATGAGGAGAAATTGAAGGAGCTCGAGCAGTTCAGTATCTGGAACTTTTTTTCCTCTTTTTTAAAAGAGAAATTGAATGACACCTATATCAACGTGGGTCTATACAGCACAAAAACCTGCCTCAAAGTTGAAATTATAGAGGACGCCAAGTACAGTATCATTGTGACCAGGAGTAAGTCTCACCCGTGTTTTTCTGATGGATTCTAGATTGAGAAGGGAGTGAGTTCTGGAGGGTGTAATTAGTGAGACAGACAAGTCCACCCAAGATGGCTCCCTTTTGGTTCTGATTATAGCCTTGAGTATACCATAGCTCCAAACAGTTCACAAAGACTCCACCCACATAAGACTCTTTAGACCTAGAATCGAAACACTACCTCAGGCCGTTCTGAGTACTTCCTTCCTAAAATTGTGAAGTCTTGCGTTTTCTAATACTGCCAATGGCCCTGAGCTGATATGCATAGTACTCTTATAGTGAGTCAGTTATGTTTATGCCTTCTAGACACTTCTAGACAAAGGTAGCTGTCCTGTATTTGAAGATTCTAGTGGTTAAATAATAAAAACCAAAGAAAGATAAAATTGATTATTAATAATTCACAAATAAAAAGAGTGGAACTGTAAGTAAAGACCATTGCAGTTATAGAGTGGAGCTGGGAGATGTTTTTCCTTCTCTGAAGATAACTGAGAAAATTTTAGAGGAGATGGATTTTGTTGAGTTCTTTCCAACTTGGGTTTTCCCTGGTTATTACCTGGGATCCTGGCATATTGTGAGTAGTAGACATGTTTCTAGGTTTTTGCTACAAAAATAGATTGTGCCCTTCCAAAGTCCTAGAGTTCCATGGTGGTATAGCTGTTTTTCGGTGTACCCTTCTACATTTACTAAGCCCTCTGGCTCTGTTTGTGGGCCTCCCGTAGATTTAGAGCTCTTGAATGTAAAAGCTGTAGGAGTCTCTAGTATGCCATTAAAGGGTCTTTGCTTGGGCTCTCTGGTCTTGGGCAAGATGTATTTGACAGGTAGCTTTTTCCAGCACAGTGCTATGTAGCAAAGAAAAGAAGGAGATTGGGCAAGACAAGCAGTCAGAAACATGAGGCTCAGACCCAGAGTTCTAGGCACATTTACTAACTTCTGTGCTGTAACTTAAGGGTATAAAGAGTGGTAGAGACCTCTCGTGGGCATTGCTTGAAGTGCTATGTCACTGTATCTAATTTGGTCCAAAGTGAAGCTTAGCCTCTTTGAGCCTTAGTGCAGGTAGCTTTAAGTAGGTATATACTTAAATATAAGTAGGATCTTCAGAAAAGTAGATTAAGCAGAAACCTAATTATATTCTCTCTTTGAAAGAGTGCCCAGGCTTTGTGTGGAATTTACAATGCTGTTTAAGTGGGCTATTTGTATTTATTTTATTGTAGCTGACCAATAATGTTAAAACTGCCTTTTATTCTATAATGCCTTAAACTGTTTGGCTCCCCTTTTAAGAAAAAAATCTTTATTTATTTCAGAATTTGACCCCAAACTCTTCCTCATTTTCCTCCTTGGACTTATGTTGTTTTTTTGTGGAGACTTATTGAGCAGGTAGGTTTGAAGGCTAATGTACAGCTTGAAAAGGTCTTACTTTTATCATAAAAGCCAAAAGTACTGCCATCCCCCCTTCAGGCCTATATGTTTTAGATGTTGCCTGCTTGTATATTTTTAAAATAACATGTGTTGTGATTTTTGTTGTTTTCTGATTTGAATAGCAATGTTAATAATGACATTCTCCCATTGAGTAGACTCATGGAGGGCTAATAGGAGTTAGACAGTTACTATAAAGGTGACCGTCATTATCCTTTTTACTGTTAGAATTAATACTTCAAGGTCTCATATTTACAGGGTCATATGTTGATGAGTTTCATACTGTTCACATGTAAGGAGACAAACATAAGCTGCTGTACATTGCTTTTCTTTTTTACCTACTGAGAGAGGTGAAACTGTTATGTATAGATGCAAAGAAAATATGGATAACTAAGAAAACATTGGATAAAGGTAGAATCATCATTATGTTTATATGAAGTAAAAAATATTTGTGGAATAGTGAATGAAAGATTAAAAATTAAAATTTGAAGTTGGAATGAAGTGGAGTTGGTGGAAATTTTTCCTTACTTTGGGGGATCCTAAGAGAAACTCACAGAGAGCGGAAAATAATTGAAGAAAGAACCTGGAATGGAAGTAGGACCTTTCTGTTCTAGGACCTATGAAAGGTTAATTTATCTTTCTGGATAGTCAGTTTGGTTTTAGTTTTTACTGTCTACTTGGGCAGTATTCTTGTTCCTTCCTTCTCCCCAGAGAAGCTGAGTTGTTCCTCAGAAGAGAGATTCTTAATAAGAATTGGGTTGGGGGCTAGGGTTGTGGCTCAGCAGTAGAGCGCTCGCCTAGCATCTGGGAGCCTTGGGTTCAATCTTCAGCACCACATATAAATAAATAAAACAAAGGTATTGTGTCCATCTACAACTAAAAATAAAAATTAAAAAAAAAAAAAGAATTGGGTTGGGAGAGAGATTGGGGATGTGAGTGGAAGATCAAGCAGAGTTATTTATTGTGGGGATATATTTGAGAGGACCTCATTGAAAATTATTTTCATAATCTCCCAGCAACTATATTGTATCAGTCTTTATAATTCTCTGACCTCAAGTTTTTGGTAAATACCTACTCTAATCTCATACCTTAAAAAAAAAAAAAAATCCTTTGGCTAGTTAGTTGCCCTGGCTTCAATAATGCTGTGTACACAGTATATACCAACAGTCATGAAATAAATTTTTTCTCTGCAGGAGTCAAGTTTTCTACTATTCCACAGGGATGAGTGTGGGAATTGTGGCTTCTCTACTAATTATCATTTTTATACTATCCAAATTCATGCCCAGGGTAAGTAGCAGAATCTTCATACGCAGTTAGGATGAACTCAGAATAGCTGAAGGCCTGTTTTCTTAGGTAATCTTAGAACATTGAAAATTTGCATTGATGACAGAGTGAATGCCCTACTCTTTCCTTGATTCTGAAAGGTACTTTCCTTGATGAAACTTGAAGCCTGATTATATACAAAACTCTCTTTATTTAAAATCCTGTGCTCAGTGGGAGTGTAAAGTCACTTTTCTGTTTTCTAATTGCATAGCCAGGCTTTTAAGTTATTTAGCATCTCATTTTCCTAGTGTTCCTTGCAGACTGTACCTTTTAGATATAAAGGACATCTTTTTAAGAGATGTGTTTTTTGTGCATTTTGAGTAGGTTGAATTTTAAGAAAAAAAATCATAATTCCATTTTGCTTCTTTTATGTATGGAAAGTCTGTTTAACTTTTGCTTTCACTTTTACTCTCTTAGAAAAGTCCCATTTACGTCATCCTGGTGGGAGGCTGGTCCTTTTCTCTGTACCTCATTCAGCTAGTTTTTAAGAATTTACAAGAGATCTGGAGGTGTTACTGGCAGTATCTTTTAAGTAAGTGTTGTTGGTTTTGCTTCTCTTTTTGCATGTTTGTAGGCTATTTTAGTTAATTTGATCATTAAAAGATGTTGCCTGCTTACAAAGAGTTAATAGTTTGTGTCATTTGATTAATTTGAAAAATCATAGTTTTCCATTTATTTTAAACATCTCCACCATTACTACCTTATTTTAAATTAAAATGCAGGTATTATGGAGAAGATTTTAATTTGTTGGTATTTATAAATGCACTTCTCTTTGCACAAAAAGTGTCTTTCTGACAAGTGATAAAATTGACTTTGTTAATATAATTATATTTTAAGTACATGAAGACCTAACTCATTAAGTTCCAAGTTTTCAACTCTGTATATTTCAAAGAAATTGACAAAAGTATGGTAAAATAATCTAGAGCTCATATATTTTGCATATATTTTCATATATATGAAATATCTTTTGGAATACTCTAATTATTCACCTATTTTCTCAAAAGAATAGAACTGTAAAAACTTAACATTCATTTCAAAAGTTACCATAAATGGTATATTTCTTGCACAATTTAAGGATTTTTTTTTTTTTTAATGGGTACTAGGGATTGAACTCAGGAGCACTCATCCCCAGCCCTATTTTGTATTTTATTTATTTACAGGGTCTCACACAGTTGCTTAGCACCTTGCCGTTGCTGAGGCTGGCTTGTGATCCTCCTGTCTCAGCCTCCTGAGCCTCTGGGATTATAGGCATGTGCCACCATGCCACCCGGCCAATTTAAGTTTCTTAGGTGTCTCATTTGGAACAATGGGACTTAAAGGGTTTAAGAAATAAAAGACTACAGGGGCTGCTGGTCATGGTGTCCTATGCCTATAATCCCAGTGACTCAGGAAGCTAAGGCAAAAGGATTGCAAGTTCAAGTCCAGCCTGAGGAAGTTAGTGAGACTGTGTCTCAAAGTAAAAAATAAAAGGGCTAGAGATGTATGTAGTTCAGTGATAGAGTGCCCCTGGACTCAATCCTCGGTACCCCCAGTTTCCTCAAAAGAAGACTGCAGTGAATCTTGTCCATAAAATGAGAATTTTTTGGTTATGCTGATAGAAACCCTCAGTCTATCATTTGAGAAATTATGTGGTCATTAATCTATATTTTCATATTTTAGGTTTTTAAAAGTAAACTCAGAATTTTTCAACATGTAGCTTTATTGTTCATTTGAACCAAATAGTACAACAGAAAAAGGATAGAAAATTAAAGATATAAGTGTGTGTTTATATGTGTGGGTGAGTGTATATTTATATTTTCTAATAGTGAAAAATGAAAAATTCAATAAAGATCACATCCAGTTTCCTGCTTCTGTAGATGCTATATAGTGAATTTAGTACTGCTCCCATATATATTATCTTTATCAGGTATAGATGAAAAAGAATTTCTTCTGATAACTTTTCTCATAGGCTACATCCTCACAGTTGGATTCATGAGTTTTGCAGTATGTTACAAGTATGGGCCCTTGGAGAATGAACGAAGTATCAACCTGCTGACCTGGACCTTGCAACTGATGGGCCTGGGTTTCATGTATTCCGGCATCCAGATACCTCACATTGCCCTTGCCATTATCATCATTGCACTGTGTACTAAGAACCTGGAGTACCCTATTCAGTGGCTGTACATCACCTACAGGTGACTGGAAGGCAGTATAACTTTGTATTGACACAGTGCAGTGTGGGATACAGTTTGTAGCAAAAGAGGCGTTGCCCTGTGAGAGCCTCTTTGTTAATGAGAAGTCACTGTGTTATTCTCTGACATTGTTTCTTCCTGAGACTATGTTTTTAGACTCTGTTAGGCTTTAAAAATTTTTATTCTAATCATTTTATATAAAAGCATCCAGTAAATTGTTATGTGTTCCTGTTACCACTAGATGGTGCAAATTATATCACTTTTATACCATAGACCTCAGGTTACCTTATTTCAGGTTATTTCATACTGGGGATCAAATTGCTCTGGAAGTCCTAATCTTATTTTAAGATGTAATTCATAGCATGTTATCACTTTGCATAGTGAATATGAAATGGTCATGGATTCTGAGATTATCAGTGGTTGTTCTATTTCAGATAGTCAGAGTGATACCTTCAGTTTGAGGAATGAAGTTAACAGACCACAATATTATAACATTGTTTTCTTGCTGTTTTTCTATTTATCAGGAAATAAATACTTTGTTTATTATTTATTGGAAGATAAATGAATTTGTTCACATTAGTGAATAATAATGACTACTCTGACTTTTCATTTGTAATTTAATATGTCAGGATCCATCATAACTAAGGATGTCTATGGAAGAAAAGTGGGAGTGATGACTCTTATTAAAATGTTCAGATTGTCTGCTGTATGCTTGGTCTGCTGAAGGGCTCTAGAAGTAAGGATGAATATAGGTTACTGATTAATGATTCATGATATTATTTTGGTGAGCACAGAAAGATGTGTAAGGCAACAGAAAAGCCTGTCCCCCCTCGTCTCCTGACAGAAGAAGAATATAGGATACAAGGAGAGGTAGAGACCCGAAGGGCTTTAGAGGAGCTCCGAGAATTTTGTAACAGTCCAGACTGTTCTGCTTGGAAGACTATTTCTCGAATCCAGTCTCCAAAAAGGTAAACTCTTAGCCAGATAAGCCAGGGTAATTGTGACCTTGAGTTCTAACAGAGATCATACTCTATAGATAGTCATGTTGTATTTATGGCCTTTGTTTATTGTTAATCTAAGGGTAGTCAAGAGAAAGATACCTATATCAGTAACCTGTTTCCTCTTTCCCCACTTTCCCCAAGGAACTACCTGCCTTACCTTTTATTTATAACACTGAGGTGGGATGATTCCATATTATGTCTGTCCTATGAAAGTTTTACATTGTTCCCTGAGTTGGTTTTTCTTTTTTCTTTTTCTTTTTCCTTTTCCTTTTTGTCTGGGAGTAGTTATACCAATGAGTATGCGAAGCTTCAATTTGGAATCCTCACAGCATGAAGTTTATAGGGCCATAAACAAAAATAACTGTGTAATGCCCCTAATCATCTCTTATCAGGAATATGGTGACTCAAGGAACCTTAGCACTTCCGTGACTAAAAAGGATAGGCTAGTGCTTATTAAGCAGAATAGGGTTGCAGGGAAGGTTGGCCTATGATCCCAGCCTTCCTTTCTCTCTTTGAAAGTTGATTTGATCATGACATTTCTGTCACTGGCTTTACTCCATTTACCTGTCAGAGTAAAGACAGGGATATTGACTAGACTCATTATAATTTGAGTTGTGAACATAACAGGTGTTGTGATTTGTTCTTATTGAAAGACAATCTGAAAGGACAGAAGGCTGGGCTGCAGTTGTGGCTCAGTGGTAGAGCACTTGCCTAGCATGTGTGAGGCACTTGGTCCGATCCTTAGCACCACATAAAAAAATAAATAAATAAGTAAAATAAAGTATTGTGTCCATTTACAACTAAAACACATAAATAATATATATTTATTTATTTATTTATTTATTTATTTATTTTAAAAGGACAGAAGGCAGATTCCTAATGAATATTACCTTCTCTTTTCCAGATTTGCTGACTTTGTAGAAGGTTCTTTCCACCTCACACCAAATGAAGTTTCCGTCCATGAACAGGAATATGGATTAGGGAGCATTATTTCCCAGGATGAGGAAGCAACTTCTGAGGAGGAGGAGGAGGACTCAGGTTCTCAGCACCTCATTGCCACACAGAACAATTTCCTGACTTAAGTGTGGTGGTTATTTATTTTCATGTAGACTGATTTGGTGCCTCAGTGGTTGTGTTGCAAGCACTGTGCATTTCTTATAGGCCTTTATAGCAGGTTGAAGGGTAGTGCAGAAATTAAATGAGAGGCCTGAGTAGATCTCTCTGGGAATGATTGTGGTAGTCTCTGTGGGATCCCTAAGGAGGGAGAGTGGACAAAGTGAATGCTGTGGTAGTGTGCTTTCCACCTGTTAAGTTATTAGCCCACTCTTCTGTTTCTAAAAAAACTGGAAGGTCACAGCCAGCATGGCATTCTAGCTCCTCTTTGAAAGTTGATTTGATCATTTCTGTCACTGGCTGGTCCTCTAAAATGAGAATTGTAAGTAGGGCTTTCAGACTAGAGGCTGCATCTTCCAGAGAGAAATCCATAAGTCTGAGCATCCTTCGCTTTCTGCTTTTATTACAGTGACTTTAGAATAATCTTTGATTTAACTGTTTTGAGAGGAAAATGGATTTTTGTCTGTCTTGTTTTTTTATTTTTTTATAGTTGTAGATGGGCAGCATGCCTTTATTTTGTTTTATTTTTATGTGGTGCTAAGGATTGAACCCAGTGCCTCACACATGCTAGGCAAGTGCTCTGCCACTGAGCTATAGTCACAGCGCCTGTCTTGTCTTTCAAACAAATGTGTTTTTTAAAATATATCAAACTCATGTTCCTGAACCAGCAAATGCTCCAGAGTGATAAGCCCAGTTGGCCCCTAGATAGTTTTATGGATTATTCATTAAAGCCCTAGGAGCTGTTGTGTTGAGCTTTGAATTAGTTCTCACACATGATATTCTGAGTCCTGCTTGCTTTTAGTAACATGCCTATAGGTTCTTCTATAGTTAAGAGCTCTTGAACTTTTTATTTTATTCAACATTTAATTCCATTTTTAAAATATATTTGCCTTTTTCTCTTCCTATTCCTCCTTGCACTCTTTTTCCCTTTGAGGAAGGGTCTATTTCATACAGTTGAGAGTTTGTCTCATTTCTTCCCCTTGGTTTTTAGCATTATTCCTGCTGGCCAGGAGAAATGATGATGTTTACCCCATTTTTTTTCTCTCATGTGTTACATATCATTGAGTTGCTATGGAACCAAGAAATTATCTCCTTTCCCTTTTTCTTCCTTTGTATACCCATTTTATCTATTTCTTTCAGTCTTTCCTTACTCCTTGCACTCTCCCATTCTGGCTAATTTGTTGATTCAGGCTAATTTGTAAGCCCTAAAACCATCTGTGAAGTTTCTTGATGCCTTGCCAGGAAATAGGTCTCCAGGTTATCTTTATGCCTCTGATGCCTATTTAGCCATCAGGAGAAGACACATTTTCCTAAGAATACCATACTTATTTGTAATTCCATTTCTCATCAGAGGTTCATGCTGCCTTTTGTTATATATAAATCTATTACTTTCAGATTCTTTTGCCATTGGAAAGTACCCTTAGGCCAGCAATGTCATTTATGAAGGAGCAAATTCCCAAGTATCTGTCATTTGCTTGGTTCTTTGTTATCCTCATCCTTGAACCTTGGAAAAAGCTGTAATTCCTTTACCCAGGAGGATAGAAACTCATGGAGGGTACACAACATTGGATTTCCTGACTTATCTTGATCTTGGAAAAGAAAGATGTTTTTTTAAAAAGCTTTTACAATTTTTTTCAGACCAGCTATTAGCATGTAGTTTTGAAAGGCCCCAGGCTCCATTGCTAACTTCTAAAATATCAGCTCTGAGTCTCCCCTCCAGGTGGCCAGTCGATTATTTCCATCAGGGTTCCCTGGAGCCTTAAACTATCCTAAAGTGACAACTACCTCAGTTGGCAGAAAGAGACAAATAATAGAAAGTGAAAAATGAGCAATATTTGGGCAGATGTCTTAAAGTCACAGAGTACAAGTAACTTTATATTGGGAAACTTTTATGTCTTTGTAAATTGTGTACATGGTAAAATTTTATTCCTCTAAAGTACTACTAAAACCTCCAAGGGGCTGGACATGTACCTCAATGGTAGAGTAATTGCCTAGCATGTATGAAGCTCTGGGTTCAATCCCCAGCATTAAACACACACACACACACACACACACACACACACACACACACACACACACCCTCTGAAGTGTTCTCTTACCTTATTTATAGATTTTGAGATCTAGCATATGGATCATAAGTTGATTTGAAGAAGTAATTCTAACTGTATGGATGGTCTCAGGACTCTATGGGGATTTTGGTGCCTTCCCCAAAACAACTCCTAAGGAGGTGGTAGCTTTCCTCTAAGGTGACTTTTCCTGACTCATGTCTTTATTTTCATGAGAAAGGCATTGTGAAGTTAGGAAATGCTCTCCCTTTTCTGTATAGTAACTCCTTGTGAACTATAGTTTCCATACCAAGACCAATTTTTCACTGTGCTTGAATTTGAGATGAATAAAATCAAACTATTTTATTTCTCCCTGTCTGGTAGTTGAGAACTGAGTTGCAGGAAATGACAGTTGCCCTGCAGCATGAGAGTTGCTCTCAGACAGTGAAGGACGGTGCTTTTTTGGTGTGGAGCATGTCCTTGCCCTGCCTGCTTGTGTGACTATACTTCAGAGCCCTGCCTGGAGATTGCTTGACTCTGTAAACCTTCTTTAGGAACTGTTCTTGTCTCCCTCATGGCCACTTAGTCTGCTGGCTCAGTCACTACTTGAAGCCCCTATTTAATTTTCTCTGGCAGTTATATAGCTCTTGCAATTTCAGCACAGTCTCATCTCTCAGACCAATCTCATCAAGAAGGATTGAAGGGATAACTGTGGGGTGAGATGGACATTGGAGCCATGTCTGCTGCCACGTCAGCGTCTTGCTGGCCAAATATCAAGCTGTAAATTGGCTCTGGGGCTCAGGGTCTCATCAGCATTGGAAATCTATTGCCTCTAATCGGTCTGACAAAGTTGTGTAGAGCATGACTCCCATTACTGGGAACACAGAGAGGCAACTAGCCTAAAATGTTTTCCTTTCACTTCCTCACTCATTGTTTTTGTGAGAGCAACAGAACACATTACCAAAACCAAGAAAAACTTACCCATTCCGGGACCTTCTAATAAGAAATTCCTATCAGTCTTCATCACACAAAAGTACTTTGTTTCTCCCCTCAAATTTGTGATTTTTAAGTTTTTTGCAAAGAGAATTCTGCTAATGATAGCTTTTTGGGTCCCACATGTACCATTCTGTGAGAGTACATCCCATTCTAGGGGCCAGACCTCTCTTTGTCCACTAAGTTTCCTTTAACTCAGTCTCCACTGGGTATATCTGATAGAGGTTTGATGAATTAAAGGATCCAGATAGACCAGATAGTCCCCCCAGGTCCTGATATCCAAAAAATAAGAGGCTTAGGAATGGATTATTTAATTGGCCCTCAGATCTTTTTATTGTTACACACACACACACACACACACACACAAAGATGGGCTCAGATGGATGCCTGCATAAAAATGGTTCCTAACTTTTTTTGAATTGAGTGGTGAAAGTTGAAGTAGGAGGGAAGAAAATTAAATGTCCTAGTATTCCTTTGGACTCAGGTCTGACATGTTAGATAATAACCTATATTGAAATGCTAAGAATTTTATATGAACCAAGGAAAGGACAGTGGAACAGACTTATTGTGCCCTAACATTATGTAGGAACTGAAACCAAGTAAATAACCATTGCATTAGACAAATGCACCCAAAAGTGTTATTTCTCTTTCTATGTAGCGGAAACTATTATTATTTTCTCCTCTTTAGAGAAATCTATGCAATTATGGTGACCCGATGGTATGTTAGTGATGTATGGATTCAGGTTGCTATTGAGTTGGATTCTAGACAGTTACTAGCTGTAAAAGGGTGTTTGGTGCCTTACCTTGCAAAAGCCAGAGCTTGCTGGGAATAAAATTAAAAAACGAACAAACAAACAAACAAAAAAAAAACAGATTCATGCCAATGTTGACCTGCATCTTTAGCAGGAATGGGAGTGGTCACACAGAATTCCTAAATGTGTAGCTTTGGTGTCCCTTTTCCCATGTCCATGTATATCATCCTCCTCTTTCACATTCTTGATGATGACTTGAAAATGTTGAAATCACTTTTTTTGTACCTTCCTATAGCATGAACAGCATTCTTATGTTAACGAATAGCTCATAATGTGAATTTTAGAAACTGCTAACAGTGTGCAGTTGCTAGTTTCCCATATTTATGGAATTAGTGTTGAGATAACAGGGCTAAGAAATCACTGTGTGAATTTTAGCCTACAGGTAATGCCTTAGTATTACTTAGAGAAAAGATTTGTCATTTATATTTAAAATAAATGTTAATGAATGTTTGAAAGAAAAAAAATCAGGGATGGCTCTTTGCCGTGGGTCTCATTTTGCCCACTTTTCTGTAAGAAAAAATAATGATGTCTTATGTATTTTTTCATTTGTATTATATGGTTTGTAAGTAATCCCAATTTTAATAAAGTTTTATAGACTATATAGTGGTCTCTCTTAATGAACTTACAGTCTTCTTATTTGGATTTGATGTTTCCACATAATCAGCAATTTACTCCTCAGTGTTCATACCATTAATTTCCCATTGCTTTTTAACCATCCTCCCCCATCCTGAGTCTTTCTGCTTCCATCATTGTCACCCTTCCCAGGTGACAGATCTCTAAGGGACATTTTTTAAAAAATTTTAGTTGTCAATGGACCTTTATTTATATGCGGTGCTGAGGATCGAACCCAGTGCCTCGCACATGGTAGGCAAGCAAGCGCTCTGCCACTGAGTTACAAAGAACATTCTTGTGTAAGTAGCAGGTTGTACTACTGTGCAGTCTCATAAAGAACCAAAGTAAAGGTTACTCCTTGTCCAGAGAACTACTCTGTGCTTTAGTTCTTTATTTATATTATAAAATATCTCTTGTTTTTCCACTAGGATTATTGGGGAGACCTGTGGGTTCAGTGGATCCAGCTATGGGATGCCTGCCAAGAGATGTGTGTAGGATAAAAGAGGAGGCAGCGCTGTTGTAATAGGGGCCATGGAATAAAAACTTCAGTTATGTCTAGGCCCAGCTTCTGTAATAGGAGTCTGGGGCCTTCCATTTTCTTTTTGGTATTGTCTATTTTCTTCATTCTGGAAATTCTTTATGGCATTTGTATTAATTTTGTACTTATCTTCTCTCTTTTTCCTTAGACTACATGAAAATCCATTGTCCATATTTTTTAAAAGACAAAATTGGCAAAATAAGAAAATAGGATACAGACTAAATTTATGTAGATGAATGCACACTGATGACACCCTTTCTCCTTTCCCTTCCATACTAACTGGGTAACTAAGAGACGTAAGTGATCATTAATGGTTTAGTTAATAAAAATTTGAAGCATAATTGCTAGATGGCTACATCACAGAGCTTTAGTGAAGACAGAAAAAGACCAGGATGCATAAAGCAGCCCTTAAACTTTTGACATGCATAGGAATCATTTGGGGAAACTTATTAAAATGCAAATTCTGATTCACTATGTTTGTCTGAATTCACTATGTTTATCTGTGCCCAAAATTCTGCATTTCTAATCAGGTTCTGGGTGATCTAGATGCTGCTGGCTTGTGGACCTCATTTTGTATAGCAAGGATGTTAAGTACTTGGCTTGATGCCCGACACAAAACAAGTATTACTAATTGACATCAGATAACTTATGAGAACCAAAATATTTTGCCAATCATATCTTAAAACTTTAGGTATTTTTATTGCATAACTGCTACCAAATATTTTGCCCATCATATCTTCAAACTTAAGGTATTTTTATTGTATAGCATTTTTGAAAAATTTATATCTCAGAATTATTGAGTGAATTGGTTTAAATCAGATTGCTACCCTCCCAGCTTTATTAGAAATCCACAAGATAGGGTTTGGAATTGTTTCTTCTTTGTTTGCTTTTTTTTTTTTTTTTGCCAGCTTTATTGAAGTATAATTTATTATACAACAAAATTTATCTGTTTCAGGTACGGTTTTGCTGAATTTTGACAGGGTCAGTTGTATAACAACTACCACAATCATGATATAGAATGTTCCACCACTCCAAAAAGTTTCCTCATGCCTATTACATGGACCAGACCTTTTTTCCCCTGGTGCTAGGAGAACCTAGGGCCTACCAAATGCTAAGGGAGCACTCTACCAATGAGATATTCCAGATTGGACATTTTAATAGGGCCAAGTAAGGTGGTTTAGGACTCAGTAGAAGAATAAGCTAATAAGTTCCATTTGCTTCAGTTTTGTCTAGAAAGAGATTACAATGCTATATCCCTCTGTACCTCCCACCTTAGGACGTGTTTTGATAGATGGATAGATCTTGAAATCCCTGCAGACTTGGGTGTGTTTCTTTGTACCTTGCTAATTTAGGGTGACCTACATGTTCCATTTTACCCAGGACTTTGATACCCAAATTCATACCTCCAGGTGGGTGGGACCTATCATGTGTCCTAGGCAGACTAGCATAGTTGGTTGCTATGGTTGTGGTATTCATACCATTGTTTTAAAACCCAAGGTTGCCATTTCATTTTATAGTCACTTCTCTCCTAAGATCACATAGTAAACACTCAAATAAATGAATGGGTAGACACACAGATACATCCCAAGTGACTGTAGATTCCTGGCCAAGAGAACATGAGATCTGGGTTCTAGTACTTTGTCAGATTTGCAGTGGTGTGGCTCTGGAAAAATATTTTTCTCACTCTAGGTTTGTTTCCTCCACTAAAAAATGGGGTCTGTAGTCACTTCTGCCTCCGATCCTGTGGTAATGCTCCACTTTAACAGCGATAATGTTTTTAACTCACTTCCACTCAGCTTTCTCTTTCTTTTTTCCTTGCTTTCCCCCCACTTCAAATAGATACAGTGGATCAATAAATTATGTAAGGGCAGGTTGATAATGGAACTGCTGATGGCCCAGGCTTCTGCAGAGTGTTTCTGTGAGAGCAATAGAATTTGGACCTTGAACCAAGCAGCCATGGCTGGGAGTTGGAGAATCAAGTCTCTATCTTTAGTTAAGTGTGTGTAATTACCTAATTTGCTCTTTGTGCATGCCTGGGAGAGAGGATGGCAAGCAGAAGAGGCCTACTGTTTAGGAATTTTCTGGTAGATGAGAGGGTGCTTGGGAAACTGGATTTGATAGGCTTTTTATCTATCAGAGGGAGCTACTTTCTGCTAGGCTAATGCGCAGGCAACACCATCTCAGAGTCTTATTCAGTTCTTAGATCTGAAGAAGGATTAAAATTACAAACATCATGGGCTGGGGCTCCAGCTCAGTGGCAGAGCACTTGCCTAGCATGTATGAGGAACTGGGTTTGATCCTTAGCACCACATGAAAATAAACAAAGGCATTCTGTCCATTTACAAGTAAAAAAAAAAAATCACAAACATCAGAATGTGAACTATACCTTGGGATAGATTTAGGATGGTGCATTCTGTTCCTGGTTCTGACATGTGTAGCTGTGGACTAATATTTCTGAGCTCGGTGTTTGCCTTTTGAATGGAGAGTCTGCATTGCCTATATCACAGGGTGGGGCTACTCAGAAGAGATAGTTGGGAGTTCAGTGAAACTGTGATGTCCATACAAATGTGAGGTATTACTACTGTGAATTTTAATATTTGAATCTTTGTGACGAGTTCTGATTCACAGGCAGAGGGAACTAGAGAAAGATTTGGGAATTTTGTCTGCCTAACTCCCCAAATAATATCATGAATAACCTATGACTCCCAATAAGATAGGAAAGGGAGGCTGGGAGGGAAGTACTTTCTTTGCTAGGAAGATATTCCAGCCTGCCTTCCTCCTTGGCACAATTCCTGACTTCTCCTTGGAAAACCTTTCCCTTGGCTATGAATTTCATTTTTCCTACTTTCACTTCCAAATTTTGGAGACAGTGGATGGAGCAAGAACTCTCAGTGAAATCCAGCCAGGTGAGACTGAGCATGGCAGACCTGCAAGGGTTAAGTGAGCCACACCCTAAGCAGGAAAAGCCTCGGACTTTGTGCTGAGCAGCCATCTCTCCCAGCCCCTCCTGGCTTGACTGGCATAGGGAACCTGGACTGAAGGAAGCAGCACAAAGGAAGGTCAGAAGAGTGGACATTAGAAAAAGATCAACCTCTTTCCTGGCTTCCCGACACCATGGACAGCTCCTGTTAATTGAGATACCTCTCCACCCTTGGCACCTGGGACTCCTGCCTGTTTCTTGTCAAATTGGGATTTCATTCACCATTCTCCAAGGGACGCTGAATTACACCAGTGTGGTAAGTCCTGCCTTGACTCGTCACTGCTCCTCTTTCACACCTTGGGGTGCTCCACTTGAGGCCTTCTTCCTTTTCCCTTTTCTATCTCCAACTAATTACATTCCCACTCCTCTCAAATTCAAACCCAAAGAAAATGCCTCTTTCTAACCCACCTTCTGCTTCTCACCCTTCCATGTTACTCCAAAGATTCAGCGTTTTTTGTTTTTGTTTTGTTGTTGTTGTTGCAGTACTGGGGATTGAACCCAGGGCTTTGTGTGTGGTAGGCAAGTTCTCTACCACTGATCTACACCGTAGCCCAGCCCTTTTTTTTTTTTTAATCTGGAAAATCTGAGATAACCATAGTATCTATTTCATCAGGATACTCTAAGCACCAAATCAATTAGTATTTGCATAGTGTTTAGAGCCCAGCCTGGCCCATGGTAAATGCTGCATGATTTCTGGAGACTGCTTTTATCAGTATTCTTATTGCCTCCTTAGGTGTGTCTAGGAAGTTACTGGAGCTTAGGGGAAGCAGGTTGAGGAAAGAAGAAAGCCCCGTCCCTTCTTGCCCCACCTTTCATTTCTCTCCCTCTCCTCCCCTCCCCCATTCAGGTTCTAAGATACAGGAGAGTGGGAGAATGTGTCTCTCTTATTCCTATTTGGGAGTGGCATTGACCATTGTACAAACACTGCTGTCCTGTACAAGGCCACCCCGCCTACTCAGTTCCACAGGAAAGACTGAAGAGGGCTGGGCTTCCTCCTGAGAGAATACCTGTCATGCCATGTGTCTACTGCATGGGGGCCCAGCCCCCACTCTCCCTGTAGCTTACCTCCTTGCCCACCTACCAGCTACTAAAAAGCTGGGTGTGTCCTTCTGGACAAAGTCCATGCCAGAAGTTTACAGGAATGGGTGTAAAAGCTGGAGATGGAAAAATAGAGGACATCCAGAGGCCTGACAGCTATTTATTAATTGGGGAAGCAAACTCCACTCTCATTTTTTTATGGGGAATTCCAGTTTGTTTGATTTTGGTACTGGGGATTGACCCAGGAGCTTTTATTTTTTATTTTGAGATAGTGTCTTGCTAAGTTGCTGAGGCTGGCCTTGAATTTGAGATCCTCCTACTGTAGCCTCCTGAATTGCTGGTATTAGAGGCCTGTGCTACTGTACCTGCAGGAATTCCAATATTTTTCAGAGTACTCCTGCCTCTGTTCTCTAATTCATTGCCTCCTTGACTCGCCATTTAAAGTTGAAGCTCAGTGAGGCATAGTGGCACATGCCTGTAATCCCAGCAACTCAGGATGGTTGAGGCAGGAGCATTGCAAGTTTGAAGCCAGCCTGGGAAATTCATGGAGACCCTATGTCAAAGTAAAATTTAAAAAAGGGGTTGGGGATGAGGTTCAGTGATAAACTGCTTGCCCAACATGTGTGAGGCCCTAGATTCAATCCCTAGTACCACAAAAAATATAATAAGAAATAAAAATGAAGGTGGTTGTAACAATGGCAGGGGAGGAGAGACCTCTGGAAGAGCTCCTGAATTAGTTATATGGGGTTGGCTGACTGGAATAGGGGCTTGGAGAAGTAGGGGATTGAGCAGAGTCTGGGTGCTGGCCAGGGCCTCAGAGCAGGAGGGAGGGAGCTTTCTCACCTGGCTGTGGCTTAACCCTCTCCTCCTCAGCCCTCTCTCCTTCCAGCACAACTCTGCTCCCTCATTGCTGGCAGTTCTTCCCCAGGTGGTCAGAGGCGGGTTGTTCTGTCCTTTCCACCTCAGGAGCAGAGGGTTCCCCCTACATCCCACAGAGAATGTTGGCCTTTTTGGTTGGTCCAAAAGCCCTTTTAGGTAGGTATTCTCCTGGACAGGGGGAAAGGAAAGCTCCCAGGTCCTTCTGCCCTCTTCCCTTCATGTGGCCTCTTAAGCTAAGCAGACATCAACAAATTGCCCTTTTATTCCTAGGATCCACAGCCCCTCCGGACATGCCTATCCTAGAAGGTACCATTGGCGTGGAGGACCTTGTCCTCCTGGAACCCCTGGAGGAGGAGTCTCTGCTCAAGAACCTTCAGCTTCGTTATGAAAACAAGGAGATTTATGTTAGTTTACTGTGGGTGCCCCTGGCTGTGGGTGTGTTGGAGAGTTCATGCTCATTCCCTTCGCCTTCTTCCTGGTTCCAGACCTACATTGGGAACGTGGTGATCTCAGTGAACCCCTACCAACAGCTGCCCATCTATGGCCCGGAGTTCATTGCCAAATACCAGGACTATACCTTCTATGAGTTAAAGCCCCATATGTGAGTAGAGGGACCCAGGCTGACAAGTTCCCAGCTTTGTAACAATCCCCTAAAGAGGATTCACCAGCTGCCCCCTTCTCCCTTGGCCCTCTGGAGGCCCCTTCCTAGGCCTATTGTTTCTTATCTGATCTGACCCATTTGGGGAGGGTGAATAAGCATAGTGCTAGGGACCAGTGAAATTGGTGTCTTGGGTTGGCCTCCCATTAGTCATAGCCCACTTCCTCCCTACCAGCTATGCTTTGGCAAATGTGGCATACCAATCACTGAGGGACCGGGACCTAGACCAGTGTATCCTCATCACAGGCGAGAGTGGAGCTGGGAAGACTGGTGAGGCACCTGGCCAGGAAGCCTTGGAGTCACCTCTGGAACCTCCTCCCTACCTCTTTCCAAGCCAAACCCAGCCCTGTTCCTTCCAACCCAGATTTTGTTCCCACTCTTTCTGATTCCAAGGGGGTGTGAGGTGCTAGGGTGAGGGAAGTTAAGGAGGAAGGTGGGAGGATGGGTTAGTCTTGGGTGGACCCCTGAGTAAGAGTTTCTTCTGGACAGAGGCTAGCAAGCTGGTGATGTCTTATGTGGCTGCCGTCTGTGGGAAAGGGGAGCAGGTGAACTCTGTGAAGGAACAGCTACTTCAGTCAAACCCAGTGCTGGAGGGTGAGCATTCTGGTCTCTGCCCTCTTCATTCCCCCCATTTCCCCAGTCCCCAGCCCCAGAATCCCTCAGACCTAGACCCACTTCCCCAGTGCTCCAAGACCACTTTTCTCCTGTTTAGCCTGAAAACTGAGATTGGCATGAGGATTTCTCCTTCCCTTCTCTGGAGTTTTCTCTCCCCTCAGCCACCTCACTTGCCCTCTCTTATCCCTGCAGCATTTGGCAATGCCAAGACCATTCGCAACAACAACTCCTCTCGATTTGTGAGTGAATGTGGCCAGCCTGGGAGGAGCAGGTGGGGAATTAAGACAGGGTGGTGAGAGGGGGAGAAGCAAAGTCATTCTCTGGTCTCTTTCTGAAGGGAAAATACATGGATATTGAGTTTGACTTCAAAGGATATCCTCTTGGCGGCGTCATCACAAACTGTACGTGTCTTCCCCATGTTGTTCACCAACTCTCCTGCCCCTGCCCTGCAGCATCCCTTTCTGTTCATCTACTTCTGTAGGAAGGAAGAACATTAGACTTCTGGAAACTTCCCAACCACTAGGAGCACCAGGGCTGAGGGCAGAATGAGATGGATGCCGAGGTATTTCCCAGGCCCTCAGGAGGTTTTTTCCTAATTTTCTGCCAGATCTGCTTGAGAAATCCCGAGTGGTGAAGCAGCTCAAAGGGGAAAGGAACTTCCACATTTTCTATCAGCTGCTGGCTGGAGCAGATGCACAACTGTTGAGTAGGTGCCTTCCCCGGACACATGGCAAAGCCAGATCCCCAGGCCCCTGTGAACCCAGTGGTGCCCATCCCTTGAGGCCCCAGACCTCTCCTTGTCTGAATTCCCCAGCTTGAACCTTTCCACTCATTGTTGGGAACAAATCCCATGACCCCACTGTTCTCTTCCTTTGCTGAGGATTGATTGCCAGGGATATGCTTCTTGCCTTTTCACTACTCTCATCCCTCTGTCCTGCCTGATTCCTCTTTCCCCAAGCTGGCCTTAAATATGGAACAATCACCCCCATCTACCTTCCTTCCTACCTCCAACTTCACGGGCTTTATTTATAGTTGGAAAGAAGCTAAAATGTTGTAAGTGTTCAAGAACTTTCAAGGAACTCTAGTTGAAGCTGTCCTGGGCCTACATCAGCCTCACCTAGGACTCTGTCACTGATTTTCTCTTCTTAGATAGTTTAAAGTGGTTTTATACATTCATTCATTCATTCATTCATTCTTCAGATAACTCTTGAACACCTACTATGATCAGGCATTATGTTAGCCTCTAGGGATACAAAGTTTAGTAAGACATGGGCCCTGTCCTTAAAGAACTTAGTCTTCTAGTTATAGCACGCATGTAAACAGATACATTGCAGTACACTGTGACTGGTGTCAATAGACCTGTATGAATGGCTTTAGGGGATTAAGGTGTAGAGTCCCTTGCTTTGTCCTGGGGGAGAGCCTGGATGCTGGACTGGATGGAGGTGGCTCTGGATGGGCATCACTGTGGGCTCTGGTGGGACTTTGACCCTGCTAGAATTTACCTCCTAATTTCCTCTCTTGCTAGGAGAACCATGAGTTTCTGATCCCCAGACATCTGTCCCTTTGGTTTCTTGTTATTCTCTGCTGGTCCTATGCCTGACTACATTTCCCCTCCTGGAGATCTCTATGGTTCAAGAGTCTTCACAGGTCTTATCCTCCTGCTTGGCTTAATAGTCTCAGCCATGTTCGGTTTGTCTGAATCATAGGCACTGGAGTCTTGTTCTAGCTTGTTTCCTCACCTCTTAGTTTAAGCTGAGTCTAGATGGAGTCTCCCTGGTGTCATTATCCCTAGGTTTTTTGACTCATTCTTCCTCCAGATGCCCTTCCTTAGCAGGCTCTTGTTTCAAAATTTGTGTGCTAGAGGGAGCTGCCATTAAACTCTAGTTTAAGGCATACTCCCTGATTCTCAGCTTATTTGCAAAAGAGATAATTGACACCTCTCAAGCTTCCTGATTAGAATATCTTAGGTATGCAGCTTTGAACATTTAGGTATACACATTTTAACATTTCCTTGATTCATTTGTTAAAAGAAAAAAGTTCCTACCTGTCAGCTAGGCATATAGAATATGGAGATGAAAAACACAGTCCAAATACACAGGTTGCTCATTTGTGGGAGAGAGAGAAAGAAACCAAAATGCAGCCCATGTGATGTGGGCTAGGATAGAGATTCACTGCAGGGGAACATAAGAGAGCCATTTAACTCAACTCCTCAGCCTCAGAATAAATCTTCTAGAAGAGGTGTCATAGTCAGGGAACACACTATCTGCCACTTTGTTGGTGCTTGGTGAACATATAATGAATGAGCAACCTCGGCCAAGGGTGAGTGAGGTTTTGAGCTCCAGGGTTAGGGTAGAAGATAGGTATTTGTCTTCTTTCCTTACCTTCGTCTTCCCAAAGGCACTGAGACCTGAACAGGATGGAGGGTTTGCTTGATTGTTTTCATTGTTTAAAACCCCAAGTGTGGGGAGAAGTGGCAAATGAAGCTTTTCTTTCATAAAAGTTGGGAAAACAATAAGTATGAATACCCAAGCCTTAAATACTACCTAGGTCTATCAATATAGGAATTAATGATCCCCAAACAAAGGAGAAAAGGGAAGAGCCTAAGACCAACCTTAGGAATAAAGGAATGAATCCAATGAGGGCAAGGACAGTGAGATGACAAGATGTCAAGGCTACAGGGCTACGGAGAGCCTAGTACTAACCCTCTTCCTCTATGCTGGCCCTCCCAGAGGCCCTGAAGCTCGAGCGGGATACAAGTGCCTATACCTATCTGAACAAGGAAGTATCCACAGTGGGTGGCATGGATGATGCCTCCAACTTCCAAGATGTACAGGTGGGTGACCAATGTGGGGCAGGCTCAGACTCTTAGTCTGTCCCTTGAACCCAGGTTCTGGCTTTGAAAAAGATGGGATTGGACTGGTACCACTAGTTCAGCTTGAATTCTGCTTTCTCCCCAAGAGTGCAATGACAGTGATTGGGTTCTCAGAGGAGGAAATTCGACAAGTGCTAGAGGTGACAGCCCTGGTCCTGAAGCTGGGAAACGTGGAACTGACTGATGAATTCCAGGCCAGTGGAATCCCAGCAAGTGGCATTCGTGATGGGAAAGGTTTGTGCCTACCTGCTAGAGCCCCCATCCTGAATCTCCTACTTTGAGTCCTGTTTAACCATCTCCAGTATAATTGACTTCACCTGATGAATCTCACGCAGCCCACCCCTGAGTTCTGCTCCCAGAGACTCAATGAGAACTCCCAATGAGGTGGTAAAGTTTAATAGAACTGGGTCCAAGATTTCTCAGTCTCAGTTGCTTCTTTGCAAAATAGGGGTAATCACAACTATTTCAGGAGATATTCATATTAAAGTAGAGGTTGCACACAGAGTGCCTAGATCCCAACACCCACGGTGCCTCCCCCACCCCCATTCCTCCAGGGCCATGTTCTGAATTAGCTATAGTGACTTCCCCAGCAAGACCCAGGGCACCAGTCTCACAGACAGCTTCACTTATTATCCTCTCCCCAGAGGGAAGCCCCTTCTTTGGCCAGGTTCTATTTCCTCATCACTCCAGGTGTTCAGGAGATTGGGGAGATGGTGGGTTTGAATTCTGAGGAACTAGAGAGAGCTTTGTGCTCAAGGACCATGGAAACAGCCAAGGAAAAGGTGGTCACCGTACTGAATGTCATCCAGGTAAGGGCTTTCCTGAAAGGGGCTGCTTTTGAGTCTGTTTTTGTGGCTGCCACACTAACCAAGTTGCCCATGCTCCCTGCAGGCTCAGTATGCTCGTGATGCTCTGGCTAAGAACATCTATAACCGCCTCTTCAACTGGATAGTGAATCGAATCAATGAGAGCATCAAGGTGAGTGATGGGCCTCTTCCCTCAATGCCCTCTGCCTGCTGTGGCTTCTTACATTGGCTCCCATCTCCATTCCTTGGTTTCTGAGATGGATGGAAAGAGGATGGGGGAAGGGTACAGCTCCTTTCCATGTGTTGTGGCAACATCACTGGTGTTTGAGTTTGACAGTCTGATTCATCTACTTCCCAGCTATGTGTTCTTTCAATTTCACAAAGATCCTAAGCTATACCCCCAGCCCAAATAAAGCAGTTTTTAAGCAATTATCTATATGAAAGTACTATCTACTTAGAAGCTACTACTGAAAGGCAGCAGGTAAGATGAGACTTGAATTTAGGCTGGGGTAATTGCTTTTCCCTTTTGAAATTTGATTTTTTTGGTCTGAAAAATGGGAATAATCATACTTTATAAGGTTATGATAAGCTCATTAAATGAAATGGATTTTTTTTGGTAAATGCTCTATAAACACAAGGGATAGTTATTATCCTGAAAGGATTTTAATGTCTTTCTACCTCATATCATGGGAACATCATCCTGGAATCTATTTCTATCTTCCTTTTCCTCCTTCCTCCTCCTCTGCTTATCCTGCAGCTTATGGAGGGAGAAGGAGAATAAGATACCACAGTTCCTTTTCAGCTTGGTCAAACTCATTCTAGTCCTCTTTGCCCCCACTCTGACCCTGTCTGCTCCAGAAGGGCCTGTCCTTAGATTTATCTTTTCTCCTCTTCAGGTAGGCATTGGAGAGAAGAAGAAGGTAATGGGGGTCCTGGATATCTACGGTTTTGAGATATTAGAGGTGAGAGAGTCTCATCCAACCTCAGCAGCCTGCTTCCTGGTTACGGAGGGCAGGCTGATGGGGGGATGTGAGAGGATGGAGGTAGGGCTGCAAGGGAGGAAAGGTCTTGGGTGAGCTGATCTCTCTCTTTAACCCTCAGGATAATAGCTTTGAGCAATTTGTGATCAACTACTGCAATGAGAAGCTGCAGCAGGTATTCATAGAATTGACCCTGAAGGAGGAGCAAGAGGAATATAAGAGAGAGGTAAGCTAAGTCTTCTCCCTCCCCTTAATCTTTTTTTTTTTCCTCCCAGTACTGGGGATCAAACCCAGGACCTCATGACTGCTAGACAAGCACTCTACCACTGAGCTACATCCCCAGTGCCCCCTTACTCTTTTAATTATTTCCAGACATATGCCAGATCTTCCTTTCCTCTTGACCACAACTTCCTCTAAATTATCTCCAGATGGGAACACAAAGGATGAAAAGTTTCTCTTGCACAGCTGAGCATTCAGCATTCCTAAGTAGTCCTAATGCTCTGCTCCCATCCTCTGTGTTCCCAGCCTCCACTCCAGGCCAGGCCAAGCAGGGGACAGATTGATGTAAGGATGTGTCTGTGGAGAGTCCTGACATGAATGAAGTGACAGCTGTGCATGGCCTATGGCAGTCTGTGATCCAGATTTAGAAGGGACATTTCTTTTGGGCTTGGCATCCTCCCACATTCCTTTCTGTGCCTTTCTCCAACATCTCAGAATCCTTTGTTTCCTCTGGGCGCTTGCTGATGTTGCCATCCCCTCATAGCACTCTGGTTCCAGACTTCCTCACTGGAAGTGCCCCATGGCTCCAAATTTCCACACCCCTTCCCTGATTCAGTGCAAACTCCTGTTTTCTATGGCGAGGCATTAGAAAAGTTCTCTGATTGAGCTAATCCATCCCAAAGTGTGAATGGCTGTCTCACTCTTCAAAACCCTCCCAGGGATATTCCTTGTTAATTCTCAAGAATCTGTTGTGGCAGAATTTCAGGCAATGTGGTCACAATGTGCGAAAGAGTTTTTGAAGTTGTTTTGTGTATTTTTATTTTAACAATTTAAATTACCAAATAGATAATAATTCCCGTGCTTCAATTTTCAAAAAGCTTAAAAAGGTGTGTACACAAAGTCTCCCTGCCATCCTTGTCCCTGGCCTCCTAGTTTCCATCCCCAGCCAGAGGCAACCAAGATGGGCCTCCCTTCAGAGGTTTCTTGCATAGATACAAGCAAATATGTAAATGTTTTTTTCTACAAAAATTATATAAATGGCAGTAAATACAGTGTTATGCATCTTGCTATCATCACTTAGCAAGAGATTTTTCCACATAAAGATCTTTTTTATATCTACACAGGATTATAAGGTTATCATAATTCATTTAACCAGTTAGGGAAGATATTTTTAGGATGAAGTTGGAGAGAAACTTGATTTAATTTCCTTCTGCTTTCTCCAAAGACCTGGAAAAAAAGAAAGGGTTGTGCTCCCTAGCCACATTTGGGAGTGACCTCAGCCTGGGAGAGATTAGGAGCTATCCTGACTGTGGGCCTGAAGCTCAACAATTCCCTAAAGCAGAGAACAATTGTCTTTGAGTCTTTTGCTGTTGTGCCATTTTTGCTTTTTAAAGTTTTATATTTTCCCAAAGTATGGTCTAGATCAGTGGTTCTTAAACTGTGGTCCTAGACCAACAACGTTAGCATCACCTAGGAACATGTTGGGAATGTAAATTCCTGGGCACCATCTCAGACCTGCTGAATCTGAAACTTGGTTGGGGAGGACCCAGAAATCTGTGTTTAGCAAGTCCTTCAGGTGATTAGGATGAACTCTCAAGTCTGAAAATTACTGATGTAGATCTTAGAAAGTGTTATCAGTTGAGTTTTATTTTTGATGCTAAACTCTTGCTCAAGTGTTCCAGTCTTAGAGTTTATTGTCAGAGAAGAGTAGCCATTACTCTTTCACAGACACATGGATCCCTCCCCACTCCCATACTGGAGTAATCTCTGTCCTGTTCTCCACCCAAAATATTATACTTTCCTCCCATCCTGCACTACCTGCATTGTCTCACCTATTCTTTCAGGTGGCTCAGGTTCCTGCCATTTGTGTGTCCACTCACCCCTCAAATTCTCCACCAACTTGGAGGCTGGAATAGAACCATACTAAGGACTCTTGGAATTATAGGCTTTTCTGATGGTCCTTTGTAGGATAGGTAAAAGGAAGGTCTTTGGAGACTTGATTTGAATCTGCTCCTACAATTTCTCTCTCCCCTTACCAGGGTATACCATGGACAAAGGTGGAATACTTTGATAATGGCATCATCTGTAACCTCATTGAACATGTGAGTTATCTTTTTCTTACCTCTAGGACCTCCCTTTCCAGAACATCCTTCCCCTGTCTTTCTCTCCACTGTCCCCTTGGTGAGAATGGTAAAGGAGAGCAAAGGCTATGAAGGGCTAGAGCAGGCAATGATGAGAATGTGGACATCTTGAAGGATCAGGTCTAGGTTGCACTGATCTTGTTCCCTTGGCCCAGAATCAACGAGGCATCCTGGCCATGCTGGATGAGGAGTGCCTGCGGCCTGGGGTGGTCAGTGACTCTACTTTCCTAGCGAAGCTGAACCAGCTCTTCTCCAACCACAGTCACTACGAGAGCAAAGTCACCCAGAATGCCCAGCGCCTGTATGACCACAACATGGGTCTCAGCTGCTTTCGCATCTGCCACTATGCGGGCAAGGTGATATAGCAGGAATGTTGGGTAAAGACTAGGGCCTGGGCACAGGCTGAAGGCAGCTGGGGGCGGGGTTTGGGGTGAGATAAGAGCTGACAATACTTTACAACAAGACTGTGAGGACCCAGTGCTGGAACAGTGTGTGGAATTTTTAAACCGATAACTGCTTCTCTATAGGTAATGTACAATGTGACCAGCTTCATTGACAAGAATAATGACCTACTCTTCCGAGACTTGTCCCAGGCCATGTGGAAGGCCCAGCACCCTCTCCTTCGGTCCTTGTTCCCTGAGGGCAATCCCAAACAGGCATCCCTCAAACGCCCCCCAACTGCTGGGTCCCAGTTCAAGAATTCTGTGGCAATACTCATGAAGAACCTGTATTCCAAGAACCCCAATTACATCAGGTGACAAGTTGGGCACACAGGGGAACATGCTTCATAGGTGATGACATGTGCAGGCTCCATGCAGTGCAGAACATGTCTGTGGGGGATGTCTCTGGAACAGGGTGTCAGAGATCCTTTCTTCATGGAAGACAGAGCCAGATGAGAAGCTGAATGGCTTGTAGGTGGAGAGGATAGTATCAGAGTAGTGAGTGAAACTGGGAAGATGAGTGGTTCACTTTCACTGAAATTTTCAGCTAAGGAGACTGTGTGTGGAATAGATGTGTGGAGACCAGGACAGTCCCCACCAGCAGTTGTATCTGCTCCTGAATCCTGTACCTTACTCCATTTCCTACCAGGTGCATAAAGCCCAATGAGCATCAGCAGCAAGGTCGGTTCTCCTCAGAGCTGGTGGCAGTGCAGGCACGGTACCTGGGTCTGCTGGAGAATGTGCGGGTGCGAAGGGCAGGCTATGCCTACCGGCAGGGCTACAAGTCTTTCCTGGAAAGGTACCGACTGCTGAGCCGGAGCACCTGGCCTCACTGGAATGGAGGAGACAGGTAAGACACTGTGGGGAGACTAGGGAGCAGTGAAGGGCAGCACAGGGAACATCTCTGGGGAAGGCATCTGGAGGCGCCAGCCATATCTCCTGAAGCTGGTGGATGGATACTGGAGGAAACGAAAGATCTCTTCCTAGAGGCTGAAAGGATTAGAGGCAACATGGAAGAGGACTCTCTTCTGAGATGTCCCTCTACAGCTTTCCCTCATTTGCTTCTGTAGGGAGGGAGTTGAGAAGTTGCTGGGGGAATTGAGCATGTCCTCAGAGGAGCTGGCCTTTGGGAAGACAAAGATTTTCATCAGAAGCCCCAAGACTGTGAGTTAGAAAGTGCTGTTGCATTTGGTGGGGGTGGAAGGTGGAGGATTCAAAATCCCACTTAAGAAAGGCTGGAGGGAAGGTGGTACCCATAACCTGGAATGGACTGTGGCTCAGGAAGTCTGCAGGAGACCTATCCTTGGGAACTGAATCCTCATGAGTGTTACCCTGCCCTGAGTTTTGGGAGCTGGGTGTGCAGCCTGGCCTTCGCTGAAGGCCTCTGCCTGAAGCAGAGCTCCTTGAGGGCTGGGAAGCCTATGGTCCTGTGGGGTCCAGGAGGACAGCACTGTTCCCTAGGCCAGCCCCTCTGCCCCACCCTTTTCTTCCCCCACAGCTTTTCTATCTGGAAGAGCAGAGGCGCCTGAGGCTCCAGCAGCTGGCCACCCTCATACAGAAGACTTACCGGGGTTGGCGCTGCCGAACCCACTACCAGCTGATGCGGAAGAGTCAGATCCTCATATCAGCTTGGTTTCGGGGCAACAAGGTACAGTTTCTCCCCAAATCCCAACCCCTTCATTAGCGTGGGAGAGGTGATTCAGGATGTGGCTTTTGCTCACAGTGCTAATGTTTTCTACAGCAAAAGAAACACTATGGGAGGATGAAGGCATCGGCTTTGTTGATCCAGGCTTTTGTGAGAGGGTGGAAGGTAAGGGGGAGGTAGAAGGGATCCTCTCTGCACGTGGCTCCCCCTCCCCTGGATTAAGCCAGCTTCTGGGGAGAAGGAAACCCAAGGGCGGGTCTGTGGCACCCAGGCATTCCTCCCACGCTGGCCTGTGTGAGGGGGTGTCCAGGAGATCTGTACGTGTGTCAGAGCAGCAGAGCTCTGCCTTCTGCGGTAGGCGTCCCCCTCACCACCACCCATCTGACTTCACACCCATCCACCCCTACGGTTTCAGCTCTTTATCTTGCTCTCTTCCTTCATGGTTGAAAAAATAACCTCTTCCAGAATCTGTCTTCACTTTGGCTTCTTCCTTGTGTATCCCCACCAGGCTCGCAAGAATTACCGAAAATACTTCCGGTCAGGAGCTGCCCTCACCTTGTCAAATTTCATCTATAAGAGCATAGTAAGTGCTGCGTGTTAGGGTGGAAGTGGAGGGTGGAAGAGGTTGGGGCAGATTTGGAAGAGGAAGAGGTGACTCAAAGCTTTCCCCAAGAGCTTCCTCAGCTTGTGTGTACCTGAGTCCTAGAAGAAGACTGGATGGAGCAGCAACCTGGGGAGTGGCCCCAGCCTGCCTCAGGCCCAGAGCAGAATCAGACAGCATTTTGACTTGAGTGGATACTGCTGGAAGCCTGTAGCAGAAAGGGTCCCAGCATGTCTACCATCTGGTCCATGAGATAATGGGTTGGAAAAATGACTGGGATATCAGGACAGAGTGAGGACACACAGAGGGTTAACTGGCCCAACCTTCCAAGATCTACTTTGGGGTGAGGGTAAAGCAATTCTCATTTTCCTTCTATGCCCTCTGAATCCATATCAGGCAAGTCAGAAAATGAATCTTAGGAAGGATCTCTCTCAATTCTGGAGGACTTGGGTCAGGATGGCAGGAAAAAGCCAGGCCCGGGGTCACATTCAAACTGTGGGCAGTTTCCAGGGAGGAAAATGGGACAGAGAAGTGTGATTTCTGGAGTCACCTGTCAGATAGCAGTGGTGCTTCTGAAAGGTGTCTGAAAAGAAGCCAGGGAGAAAGCAGCACTTTAGTGAAGCCCTGGGAAAGGCCAGAGAGGGGAAGGAGGAGAGGAGATTGGCCAGAGGACTGCAGTAATTATAACTGACTTCCATCAGTGATATTTTGGACAGTTGTTAGGACCCTTACTACTCATTGGAGCCTCTCTTTGTTGTCAGAGAGGCTGGGACCCTCTGCTGAGGAGGGGAGTTGGCGTTCTGAGGCTCAGGGCCTCCTGGTTGTCCCCCCAGTCGTGATTCCTCCCACCTCCTGGGGAAATTCTTTCCTCCCTGGCCTTTTCCTCACCTGGCCTCCTCTCCTGCTGGCTCCAGTGTGTCTGCACCTCCAGAGTACGTGCTTTCTTGCTCCATACCTGAGACCTGTAATCTGATTTTGCTCCTATCTCCTGACTGGCCCTTGCACTTTCTTTCACCTGTATTTTATCAGGCAGCTGCTGAGTGTCAACCCAGGAGCTTCTGGGTTCAGATTTCAATAAATCACACCCCACCATAGAAGCATGTAGGGACTCTAGGCATTATCCCTCCAGTGTTTCCCACTATTCCATAGTTTGCCAAGGCCTTGATGATAACTAAGGCTAGTCTATGTGCCCATTATATTTTAAACACTTACTATGTGCTAAGCTCTTTACATGCTTAACTTCTTTTTTTTTTTTTTTTCCCTTTTTGGAGTTGGGGATTGAATCCATGGCCTCATGATAGGCAAGCTAGTTCTCTACCACTGAGCTATATCCCCAGCCCATATGCTTAACTTTTAAGGTTTTTCAGTAGTCCTATGAAGTAGTCTCTTTTCTTTCCTCCATTTTATAGGTTAAAAACAAAAACAAAACAAAAAACCCCTAAGACTCAGGGGTCTCATAGCTGGTGAATGATAGAGCTGGGATATAAACTATTTGACTCCAGGGCTTTTAACCACTGCCTAAGACTGTCTGACAATAACATAGGCCTGGGAAACTCATGGCCCTTGGCAGAAGAGGCAGGAGGACTGCATAGGGAAGGGCAGAACTCTCTAAATATAGACAAAACAAGCAATAAGAATAAAGTTCTCAGATGTTCCACACTGATTGGAACAAAGGAGATTATGAGAGATGCTTAGAAATGTTTCTTGAATTAAATCAAACCAGACCAAGGACTGGGTACTCCAGAGTAACTAGAGGCCTCACCAGGTTCAGGTCCTGTGGCCCAAGCCAGCTTCTGAGAGGAGACTTGGGCAGTTCTTGCAGAGTGACAGCAATACACCACGTGCTCTGCCTTTGTCTATTGTAATTTTTATAATTTTTAAACCTCATGTCTTAGTAAAACATTTTCATAAAATTCCAATCATTTTGCAGTACCCAAGATCAAGTTATTTTCCCTATCTTCAATAAGTCTATGCCATAAACAAACAGGGTGCTAGGTGTTCTCTGGGCAGTAAAAACTGAAGAGTCCTTGTTCTAAATTATAGAGGCTAAACAGTAAGATATCATGCATCAAATTTGATTGCATCTTAGAACAGGAAAAATAAAAATGGAGCTAAAAAGGACATGTTTAGAAGCTTATAAAGGACATATGGAGACATTTGAGCCTAGATGGCTGTTAGATGAGTGTTTCTAATGAATGTGGATTTTCTTAGGTGTGATGGAATTATGGTTATGCAAGAGTATCCCTGCTCTTTGGAGATGCATGATGAAGTTCTAGGGGGGAAATGTCATGATATCTGTAACCTACGAAGGATAGTGGGGTAGCAAGGATTTGTGTCTATGTGAGTATGTATGTGTGTGCTAGTATACATAAGAAAGAGCATATAGTGAAGGCAGAATGTTAACATTATTAGTTGGGGAATTAGGTAAGGGGGTACACAGTATAGATGTGTTCATAATAGATTTTTTTCCTAGCTTTTCTGCAAACATAAAAACTCAAAATAAAAAATAAGCCATATTAGGTATTAAAAAAAAAAAAAACACCTAAGTCAGATCATGTTACTCTTCTGCTTTAAGCCCTCTAATGGTAAAAGGCTGCCACACCCTCACCAAAACCTATGAGGTCCTTCAGGATCTGCCCCTAACCAAGGTTCTTCTTACCTCTTGCTCAATCTACTCCAGCCACACTGTCTTTCTTTGTGTTTCTGGAATGTGTCATATCTGCTGCAGGGCCTGCTTCTTTGCATCCTATCAGATAGCATTATCTGATATTGCATTTTGTATTCTTTTGCTTGTGGTCTGTCTCCTTCCCCACCCCCCTGTAGAATGTAAACCCAATGACAATCAAGACTTTATGCACTCTGTTCACTGCTGTGTCCTCATACCTAGAAGAGTGACAGGCAGAGAGACAATAAATGTTGAATGGTGAAAAAAAAAATTGGTACTATGAGATCTTTACTCCCAAAGACTCCCTATCTAGAAGGGGAAGATGTTTTCTATACAAATAACTGTAATGTAAACACAGAGGTCTAGACAAAGTATGAGGAGGCTTCAGAGTAAGGAGAGGCACTCTATTGCCTGGAGAATCAGGGAGGGCTTGAGCTGTATCTCAAAGGATGCAGCAGAATCTGGGTGGGCAGACCTAAGCTAAGGGAGGCTAGGCATGGAAGGAAAGTGTGTGGGCTGAGTAGAGGTGTGGTAAGGAGTCCTATCTGGTTGGTGTGGAAGGGAAGTGCAGAGGATCCTAAATGGGGTTCTAAATGGGGGAGTTTGAATGGCAGACTGAGGTGTTAGACCTGACTGATCAGAGGAGAGAGCAGATTTGCTACCCATTGAGTAGCCAACACAGACAGTGGCCACCAACTGTAGGCCACTGAGCTGAGAGGATAGGAAACATGGGAGTAATATGTTAAGACCAGCCTTTGTATTGGTTCCTCCCACTTCACTGCCCTGGGTAACTGGTCCCTGGTTGAAGCTAGTCTTTGTCTTCCTCCACTCTCCATTCATGCTCTCACCTCCTAGTCTCTATCTACACTTCATGTTAATAGATCTCCTTGTCTCTTTGACTCTGTTCTTGCTTCTCATAGGGGCAGCCTTCTTCCTGGTGAGTGGCAGGATCTGGGTGTGAGTCTGCCTGCCACGAAATGTTACTTATCATCATTCCACTCCCAATCCTCTGCTCCCAACCCAGGCACAGAAATTCTTGCTGGGCCTGAAGAACAATTTGCCATCTACCAAGGTCTTGGACAACACATGGCCAGCGGCCCCCTACAAGTGCTTCAACAGGGCTAATGAGGAGCTGCATCAGCTCTTCCACCAATGGAAGGTAAGGATAAGCTACCTTTGTGCTTTTCTTTTCTCCATCTTCTGCCTCCCTCTTCTACTCGCCCCACCCCCATTTTTGTTTATTGTAGTAAAATATGGATTACATAACATTTACCATTTTAGCTATTTTCATGTGTACAGTTCAGTGGTGTCCAGTACCTTCATGTTGTTGTACAATCATCACCATCCTGTATTTTTCTTCACCCCAAACTAAAATTCTGTACCCATTAAGCATTAACTCTTCATTACCTCCCCCCACATAACTTATAATCTACTTCCTGTTTCTATGAATTTGACTATCACAGATACCTCCTATTACTTGGAATCATATAGTATTTGTCTTTTTGTGTCTGGCTGATTTTACTCAGTGTGATGACATTTGTTCTTTTATTCAGGAAATACTTGTTGAGCCCCCGTCTGAGCTAAGCCTTGCCCTGTGTGCTGAGCCTATGCCTCATGATGCTCATACATGACAGTTTCCATTTCCCTCTCCAGCTTCTTCCCTTCTCTTCAGCAATCCTCAGGCCTGGACCTCTCCTGAAGTGCACACACTTCTGAAGCATCCAGTGCCTGTCCTTTTCCCTTTGTTCCTCTTCTCCTCTAATATGTGCTAGTCCATGTCTTACCTTTCTCCCCAGCTCTACCTGCCCTCACCTCCATGATCTTAGCTGCTGTTCCCCCTTCCTTACAGTGCAAGAAGTTCCGCGATCAGCTGTCCCCCAAGCAGGTGCAGATGCTGAGGGAGAAGCTCTGTGCCAGCCAACTGTTCAAGGGCAAGAAGGCCTCCTACCCCCAGAGGTGAGGGCTCAGAACCTGCACAGCTAGTTCCATCCAGAGGTGGTTCTCAAACTTGAGCCTGCATCAGCGTCACCTGGCAGGATTGTAGACACCCAGATGTTGTGCCCTTCCTGAGAGTTTCTGACTTACCAGGTCTGCCAGTGGTGCTGATATTGTTGGTCCTGGATAACATCTATGAACCACTGAGACAAAGGATATGATGAAGGGTGGGGGAACGGCCCATAGAACTAGGAGAGATACTCTGAGGGTGGGGAGGTGCAAGGTCTTATCCCCACTGTGTACCTTCCATGTGTCCTTAGTGTCCCCATTCCATTCCGTGGTGACTACATTGGGCTGCAAAGTAACCCCAAGCTACAGAAGCTGAAGGGCAGGGAGGAAGACCCGATTCTGATGGCAGAGACTGTGAAGAAGGTCAACCGTGGCAATGGCAAGGTGAAGGCCTGCATGCTGAACTCTTCCCCACAGCCCCGTCCAGATCTGGGGCCAGTGGGTGGCAGAGAACAGGGCTGTGTGTGCTCTGCTGAGTAGAACGGACTGGAGGCTGATCCTGCCCATCCTCACTCTCTCCTGTTCCATCCCTAGACTTCTGCCCGGATTCTCCTCCTAACCAGGGGGCATGTGATTCTCACAGACACCAAGAAGTCCCAGGCCAAAACTGTCATTGGGCTGGACAGTGTGGCTGGGGTGTCAGTCACGAGCCTCCAGGATGGACTCTTTGGTTTGCATCTGAATGAGGTATCTGAGCTGATGGGGCCAAAGAGGGTGGGCATCTGGGGCTGATGGGGGCCAGACCTCTCACTCTGGGTCTTTCATATCCCTTAATCTACTTCTGAGGAGAAAAAAATGAATCACTTTCCTGCTGTTTTTTCCTCTTATAAGATGTCAACAGTGGGATCCAAGGGTGACTTCCTGTTGGTCAGTGACCATGTGATAGAACTGCTGACAAAAATGTACCAGGCTGTGCTGGATGCCACGCAGAGGCAGCTTTCTGTCACTGTGACTGAGAGGTAAGGCCATGGAGCTGGTGGTGAGGGACAGCTTAAGACAGATGATTGGGCTGATGGTCATTGTGACCGGGGAAATTTGTGCAGTAAAAGTGAAGGATGCTATGTCAGGGCAGGTCTTGGCAGTGTTTCTTAGTCCCTCACCCAAGTTCTCTGGGACCTTGAGTCATCTGACAGAGGGTGGGGGATGTACCATGTGCTTGCTTCAGGGCCAGGAGTGGAAACCATCATGGATATGTAGGAGTAGGGCTAAGGAGATGGGGGCACTAGCTTTAGTTTTTCTGTCTGTTCCCCCTCCAGGTTCTCATTGAGGTTCAAGGAGAGCAGTGTGGCTGTCAAGGTCATCCAGGGCCCTGGGCGAGGTGAAAAGAGCAAGCTTATTTGCAAGAAGAAGGGGAGTGATAGCCTGGAGGTGACTGTGTAGTGAGGACAGGTTCCCGCAGAGACACAGCTTCTTTCTCTGGGAACAGCACTAACTCCCTCGGCCTGCCTCTTTGGGGCATCTTGTGTCTAGCCCCTCTGATCATGAGGTGGGCCTTGGAGACAGAAGAACTCTTGAAGAGGACTTTCCCAACCCTTCCAGAGCTCTCCTCTAAATGCTGCTCCCTCCTGCCCTGAGCCTCTTTGCCCACTAATAAAATGTGGTTCAGAAAGGTTTAGTCATTGTGGGTGAGTCCCTGTTCTCAATCTCCCTACACAGTTGCATTTAGATCCCTGTCCCCCATGCCCTTTCCCCTCCCTCTGGCTCCTCAGAGCCAGCTAGTACGGATAATAAGGGAAAAGAAGGGAAATTGTCTCTGAGCTCCTTGACCGGCTGAGCTCTGGGGGGAGGGGTTTGGAGAGAGGGGTGGGGGTGGGGCCTTCGGGGACAGTGCTTAGGTCTCAGGTGGCCGATGGGCTGATTCATTAAATGTGTCCCTGGAAGGGAAGAAGTGAGGATCCCTTCTTGGCAGAGACGGGATTGCTTTGAAGACTTAGCCTGACAAGAGGCCCAGGGCTGGAAGGCTCATGTAAGTTGAGGTGAGCTGGGTAATTCAGGGTCCCCTGCACCCAGGAGCTCCCATCACCCCTCCACCCCCAGGCTCAGCACTGGACTCATCACACCTGCCTGCCTTGTACCCACTACCTTTCCGCACATCTAGAATGCCAAGCTGCCGCCAACAGTTATCTTGCTAATCACTGTTCCACAGCTGGGGCCTGCGGCTGGTGGCACTTGACAAGAGGAGGTTCCCCTACCCCTATGATTTAACTCCTTTCCTCTTTATTTCTACTGTGTCATTGTCATTATCTTTTTCTTAGTCCCCAACTGTCTCATACCATCTCATTGTCCCTGTTCATGTGGGCTCTAATATCAATATATAATTATATTTTATAGAATGCTTTATATATTTTCCCACTCCCCTTAACATCTGTTTCCTCATAGATTCTGTCTTGTCCGACCTCTTACTTTCTGTTCTTTACCTTTGGGAAACATGCTGCCCATATACTCACAGTGAAATTTAGGTTTACCTTCTATAAGAGCTTAAAAAGCGCTGCCTTTATTACTGTCTCTGGAAGTCTCTTCCTCCTTCCATAACCTCCACCTTCCCTCTCTCTTCCTTGTCTCCTCCACTAAGCTCTGAGCTTGGTGTGCCTTGAGGCTGGGGTCTGCCTCACCTGGCTCCCATCAGCAGGCAGCTCACGGCTCCAGGTAATCATGCTGTCGGGGAGACCTGATTAACTTCTCTTCCTGCCTGCAGATTAATCTTGCTTTCTGAGCTGGAGCCCCATGCTTCTGCACATCCTGCTCTGAGCTGAGATAGGACCCAGGGTGTCAGTTCTTCCCAGGTGGGTGAGGGGCTGGGCCCAGATTGTGGGTGCTATGTCTAGATGAGGGGCAGCTCCAGCTCTGGCCAGCCTTCCTCTATCTGATGACTCCCCCATCCTTGACTTCTCAGAATCAGGCTGAAAAGATCCTGTCTGGCTGAGCAGGGGGTGGGAGGTGTGGGAGGGGTGATGACCTGATCCTGATCGCCCCCACTCTCTGCCTCATCTCCTGCTCCCAGGGCCCAAATTGTCGTCACTTTCCCAGTGAAGTGTCTGGTCATTTTCAGAAGCAATTTCAGGAGAAAATGCAGCTGCTGCTTCCTATCCTGCTTTTCTTTTCCCAGGGCTGAGGGAACTGTCAGCTCTCTGACCAGGGAAGGAGGGGGTGGGTGTAGGGGGAGGAATAGATCTCTGGCCTACCTGTGTCAGTCATGTGGGTAGATGATGGTTCAAGGATGGATGGGGCTCCTCTTCTCCTTTATTCTTCCTTATCTCCATTTTTCTCTTTCCTGGTGTTGCTTTTCTTTGCTTCTGAAGCCCGGGAATCTGAAAACTACAGGTCTCAGTTTTCCCCACCTGTGTTACAGGGTTTAGAATTGGCTTTCTCATCATGAAGAAGCAAGGGTTCTGCATCAGCCTTCTCTCCCAACCCTCCCCACTATCTGCTCAGCATCCTCAAAATCTAGACTGTTCCATCTTCTGAGAGGCACAGCCATCCTGGGTTCCCCTGACCACCATGAGGAGCCATTCTAACATATCACAGCTTAAACCAGCTCTGGCACAGTCCTGATTTTCTTTCTCTGGCTCTGCTGATTTTCTTCACAGGCTCTAAGAGGCCCTAAGGGGATCTTCCTGATCAACCTGCTCTGTGGGTTGTCTCCAGCTGTCTCCTGGCTGCAGGCATGGAAGGTCACAGATGCTGCTGATTTTCTATTCTTCCCTGGTATCTCCAACCAGTGTCTCATATGGCCCTAGCCCTACCCTCACACCCAGCACCTCTCCAGGATGTAGAGGAAGTCCACAAGTGGAGCATGAGGTGGTGGACAGGTGCAGGTCTTCATGTGTGCACAAGGTCTACCACCACCTCTAATCCCTAGAGAAAGACTGACAAACCTGTCTCAGCACATCTGTACACACCTTTTCCTTGCCTTGCCCTCAATAATGAGGGGGATCTGTTGGGGGGTGAGGTGGGATCTGCTGCTAGGGAGCCTGGACTCCAAGTACCATCTACTCTAGGCTGGTGACAGCATCTGAGATGTGGCTCACATAACGAGTAGATATTCAATGAAAAAATACCTAAATGCTCTATAGCTGCAAAAGGCAATTTACATGTCATTTGCATATGATTCATGGGCAAAACGAAGCTGCCTGCTACAGCTCTCCAATGCCTCCCTCCATCACCTTTCTAACTTAGGTTAACATCAGCTCTTTCAAGTCTTAGCTAATCCCAGAGATCAAGGGTGATCAGCTTTCCCTGCCATCCCTTTGCTCCCCACAGCCTTGGCTCTCGCTGTCCTCTGTGAGATGCCGCATCATCAAAGGACATTATTCATGGTGGACCTTTGCTGAAGCCCTGCTTCCCTGGTGCCAGGGCTTGGGGGCAGGGACACATGGGTTAGTTGGGGAGGGGTCGATATAGAGATGGGGCCCAGGAGGCTATTGGTCCAACACCTCCTTCTGCACACCCAGCTCCCTCCACCTGCCTAGGTTGGGCTTCTATCTCCAGACTGATGGGAGAGAAGGCGGAGAGATGACAGGTCAATTAGGAAGAGCACCTGGGCTTCTCAAAAGAATAAACCAGTCATGCCATTTGTATGTAAACTGCCACCCACTTCTGTTCTTCATCCCACTAAATGCTTCCAGCCCTGGGTTCTGGCCCATGTTCTTTGCCCACACACCCCTGCAATTAGCTGGGTAATGAGAAGCTTTCAATCAGGCCCCATTAGCCTCTCAGATAATAAAGAGGACTTGGTACCCAGCTGCTGCCCTCAGTCAGGGTGAACATGAGGCCATATGCAGCCAGGGTAACTTTTGTCAATGTAGCCCAAATCCTAGAGTGGGTAGAGTGGTGAGTAAGGATTTCAGGATCCCATCAACACTTGAGAGACTCCATGAAGGATCCATGATTTGGGCTGAGTCGACTCTGGCTTTCCTTTTCATTGTATTGAGCACCTATTGTATGCCAAATACTATAGGATATAATAGCAAACAAAACAGACAAAAGTGGGCTGGGGTTGTGGCTCAGAGGTAGAACACTTGCCTAGCACGTGCAAGGTGTTGGGTTCAATCCTCAGTACTACATAAAAATAAATAAATAATAAATAAATAAATAAATAAATGTATTGTGTTCAACTACAACTAAAAAGAATATTAAAAAAAACAGACAAAACTTCTTGACCTTGTGATGCTTATATTCTAGTGAAAGTAGTGTGTGGTAAAGAGACAATAATAAGTAATTAGCATAGTGGATGTAATGAATGTGCATGAAGAAATAAAAACAGGAGGGAGATGTAGGGAGTATTGGGGTGGTAATTATTTAAATAGGATGATTAGGGAAGACCTTGTTAAAAGAAGTCTTTGAGGTAAATGTGAGAGAGATACTGTTCTCATCCCAAGATGTAGAAAAGTAAATGGTCCCATATTTCAAAGTCTCAGAGAGGTGGGCCATCTGCCCCTTTGGGAGTGCCAACTGTTCTCTCACAGGTCAATGTTCATGACAATGCAATAAAAAGAGTGGAAGAGATGAAGTGAGAAGAACCTGAATTCGTGGTTGTTCTGTACCAACTGGTAGCTGTGTGTATGGGAGTGAATGACCGAACCTCTTGAGCCTCAGTTTCTTCATCTGAAAAAATAGACATCTTTCTTACCTACTTCCATGATGGAGTTGCTGAAAACCAAATGATTGCTCCATGCCAGAGTACTTTGTGAATGCTGAAACCCTGTGCCAGGGAGAATACTAAGGTTGATGCCTTGCTTGGAAGCTGGCTTTCACTACAGATCTCCCCCATCTCTTGGGAAACAACTTCTTGCTCTGAGTCTGGACTCTGTTCCTGACCTGACTCTGCCTCTCCTCTGGGACTCTCTCCCTTGGGTGGCAATAGGCAGATAAATCCTTTCATGGATGTGGGGTGTGAACAGAGGGTTGAAAGGTCAGAGGAGAAGATGCTCAAGCGGCAGGGAGGCAGATTAGGGCAGGGAAAAATGTAACTTTGAAGGAAAAGGGAAGCAATGAGATCAATGCTGGAGTACAGTGGAGCGGGAGAGGGATGGGGGACCGTTCAGTGGAGTGTTCATACCTCCTCCCTGGGGGATAGAAGGTAGAACTGTAAAAGATGTAGCTAAGTCTGACTATTTCAGGGTCAGGAAGGAGAGGGGAGGGAGGCAGACAGGGCTCTCTGCACTCAGCAACAGGAGAGCAGCATTGATACTTACTTGGGGTGAGGACTAATGTGATGGGGCATTCCCCCCTCGGAGGAGGACAGAGAGAATGCAGATGGGAAGGATGCCAGACTCACCCCCAATCCTCAGGTAGGGGGCCTACACCTGGTGATCCTGATGTGACAGGGACAGAGAGGCACTTGCTGTGCTGTTCCAGCCTGGCTGTCAAGCTTGAAGGCTTAAAGGGCAAGGAGCTAGGGGGTGAACATGGAGGAAAGGGGTCCAGGGTCCACACCTATTGAGCTAGACCTGATATGGTGATTTTATGACAAATCATACACAACAACATTCCTTAGAATGCCCACCTTCTGTGCCATTGGAAAGTGGGCTGCTGGACAGCTCCAGCTTACTGCCAGATCTGGTGTGTGTGTGTGTGTGTGTGTGTGTGTGTGTGTGTGTGTCTGGGTATGTGGCTGCAGTCTGCGTCCTCCCACCCCCACTATCTTCCCCCCTCCCCTCCAGCCACCCTGGGATTGGTGACTCTCAGCCCCTCCCCTTGGCTCCCCCAGACCCTCCCAGAGCCTTAATCGGGGAGCTGGGACTGAGTTCCTGCAACCTTCCAGATCCTGCCACCATTTCTCTCTTTGCCTCAGCATCAGCAGCACCGGCAGCACCAGCTTGTGGGGAGTGGGGAGTCTCCACTGATCAACTCCCTGATCTGCCAGTCCCCCCCAGCACCAGGCTCAGAGCTGCCCCACAGGTAGGCACAAGGGGAAGAGTGTTGGATAGTCTGAAGCTGGCACCAAGGGTCAGGGGCCAGAGTCAGGAGGGAATAAAGGAGATGGCATTCTGATAGGTGAGCAGAGTAGTGAGCAGAAAGTGTCCGTAGGGTAGCGAGCTGCTAATATTTGGAGCTTTAACAGACTGATTATTCCACAGCAGAAAGTTTTTGCATAAGTCTTGGGTTATCTAGTCCTGAAAAATAGCCTTCAGGACCTCTTTTTAAACTGATTAAGGAAACAGACTAGTTTACGTTGTATAAATCATCATCTTTGTTGGGAGCTAGAGGCCGGCAGCATTTACCACTGCTCATTGCCAAGGGCACATCCTGGGGTGATGTCTAATGAAGGAGCAGGAAAACTGAGCCCAAAGGATGAAACCCTGGCTCTGAGATGTGTTTTATTCTTTTCTGACTACGAGTAGGATGGGAGAATTGACGGCTGGGAAAGCAGGTTGAGTCGAGCTGCTGGTCACAAATGCCTCTTGTGTTTTCATGGATCTGTATTGTCTTCCCCTCCCTGCCTTGCCCAGGGCCTCTCTTTGCCCTCTAAAGCACCATGAGGAGTGCCCTGCTGTTCGCAGTCATCCTGGCCCTTGGTCTGGCTCGGACCTTTGGGGCTGTCTGTGAAGAGTCACAGGAACAGGTGGTGCCTGGCGGGAGCCACAGCAAGGTAAGGCAGCCATAGCAGAGTCCTGGGAACATCATGGACACCTGGGGTTCTGCCTGTCTGGAGTACGGAAGAAGGGAGGAGGGCAGGGTTGGGAGTTACGTGGGTTCTCTGTCCTAGGGTGTTTTGTCTTTTTTGGGGTTTCTGCCTCTCTGATCCTCTCACGTTCCCATTGTCTCAGGTCTTTAAGTATCTTTGTCTCTGCATGTCTTTGTGCATAAAATGTGCCCAACAAATATGTTGGTTGATTGTCAGGAGGCTTGGTGATTTGATAGTCCTGTGAGAGGTGAGCTAAGGTGGTCTAAGGTTCTGTAGGGTCTGGCTCAGATTCTATTCTTGGCAAGGGCAGATCTTATTTACTCCCTGGATAGTAGGAAATGCAGAATGTCTCTCCCAAATGATCATTCGCATACTATTTCACCTATCAGTTATGTGTATTATCTTATTTTTAAAATGAAAATAAATTGTCTTTTCCTCCACTTATCCACCTCTTATAATCTTGGGTACTTGTAAAATCTCAATCCGTCTCCTGCCCTCCTCTACCTTTGCTGCCTCTAGCTTCTGCTTAAATGGGATAACAAAACAAAAACAAACAGAACAAAATAAAACCCCAAAAGTCAGAATGAGCCCTGATTTCCAAAGTTCCTCTAAGAAAAAAAATAGGAACTGCCAGGGTTACGGTGCAGGGAGAGTGCAGGGAAGAAGTCTTTAGAAGGTTTTGAAATGACAGCAATTACACTGGTACAAATGCTTTTAAGATGATTATGGGTGGAGTTTATTACAAATTCAGTGTGCAAAGTCTAACCGCCTCTCCAGCTCCAATCTGTTTAACATCTCATTACAAGAGCTGGGCGGCAGAGTATTTGAACAATTTGGGGAAAGTGTCTGCTGGGCCAAGAAGAGAGAGAAAAAGAGATTGCAGGGCAGCCTTGCAGGTGGCAGCAGCTGCGCCAGATCCAAAAGCCCTGAACCCATTCAGAATCACCCAGGAGTGCCAGATATGGGCTGGACCCTGTGTTTGGTGCCCCAAAGTTCCAGTCTGGGGTAGTCAGAGTGTCTGGGTTATTAAGAGACAAACCTGCTGCTGGATTTTGGGTAATAAGATGTCCCTTCTGCTCTTCCTGGCAAATGAAAGACAAATGCCCTCTAGCCCTTTCTCCCCACAGGTTGTGAAGATGGGGAAATTGAGGCAGGAAGAGGGTAGAATATATGTGTGCCCTTAGTGTGCCCAGGCAACTAGGTTGGTATGTACTTGGGTAAATGCACTGCTGTGTGTGCATAGCAGCCTAAGGATGCCTGGGCTCTGGAGAGAGGTTCTGCTGAGTTTGAAGGTGAAAGTCTCCAAATACAATCATCGTCTTTGCAACTGCAATTAACTGGGTATATGGCATGTACCCACTACCCTGCTGTGCCCAAGTTGCTAGAAAAAAAATCATAAGAGCCCCTGCTGGGCAGCAGTTCCAGAATCTGGGTTCTGTTTGTGAGGAAGAGGAAGGGATATCATTCCAAGTATGTGGCCTTCCTGAAATTACAGATCCAGGACAGAAAGGAGAGAGGGAGCAAAAACCAGAGGCAAAAAGCCATGGAGAAGGGGAGTATGAGAGAATTCCCTCCCATAAAGAAACAGAGAGGGGAACGTCCATAGACATAGCCCAGAATGGGGGGATCTCATAGCTGGTGTGCCCTGGCTATCTATTGCCACCCCACCTCAGGACTGAGTTTTGTCTGTGACTCATTCATGGAGTATAGACCAGAGGACACCTGCTTTGTCTGATGGTGCTTTCTTGGGAATGGGGGCATTCGTGGCTCTCTCTTAGTAGAACAAACACATCCCTGGGCACACTGGTTCCTGATATGCCAGGGAGAAAAGAACCTATGGCCTTTGTCACTGAGAGATTGCAGGATTGGAATGGGGCCCCAGAGGACAGTCCTCGAGCTTAGGAGTTAGTGTGATCAACTGACCCATTTTGAGCACAGAATGTCCTTCATATCTGGAAGTCCTTAGTCCTAGGCAAACAGGACAGTTGACCAGCCTACAGGGATGCTTCATTAGGGTTTCTCAAACCTCACAGTAGATATGAATCACCTAGGGATCAGTCAGGTTCAAATGCAGATTCTGCTTCAGCAGGTCTGGCAAAAGATGGAGATTCTGCCTTTCTAACAAACTCCCCTCTGTGCTGGTGCTGCTGTTGGTCCATACATTATACTCTGAGTACTTGCTTCTCTTCCAGTGTAAACCAGAGGAAATCCTGAAAGAAAGATGTATTGGAATTCAGCTGTAATGGGTTCAGGCTGCTTTATATGGGAAGAGTGTGTGGACAGGGTATGAGCCTTCTCCTTCAGCCCTCCTTTTCTCTTCCCTAAAGGACTCGGATCTTTACCAGCTGCCCCCATCGTTGCTGCGGAAACTCTTTGACAGCCGCCCTGTCTCCCTGGAAGGATTGCTCAAAGTGCTGAGCAAGGCTAGCGTGGGTAGGAAGCAGCCCTCGGGGGAGAGGGTGTGAGAGGAATGACTCTGAAGATGAAATAGGCCTGGAAGACCCATTTAGGTGGGTTGGGAGGGTGGGAGACAGAGCATAGCTTAGTGAATCTGTAAGGGTTGTGATGCTAATCCCCCTTCATCATTACTTTCTTGGTCTGCTCCCCATTTACGCACATTTTCTTGGTTTCTCAGATCCTAAGGAATCATCACTTCCCCAAAAACGTGAGTAGCCTCTTCATCCTCCAAATACCTATGACATGGACTCTAAGATAATCTTGCTGCTGCTGGGAGGGAGACACAAGGAGGCTCTGCTTCCCTGGTCACTTACTCAGAGCTCCATGGACAGGGGCCTAGGGGCCATTTTGGCCAGCCCCATCTCAGCTGGTGCAGACACTATGTCAGCTACAACTGATGAGCCAGCTTTGTATGACTGGGAAAGACAACTAGGGAGCTAGGAGGACAGTTTTAGGAGTTGTCTCTCCCACTCATACATACTTCCTCAGCAGGTGTGAAGGCCAGGGCCCAGAGGGTGGGGTGGGGTGGTATCCTACTTCACTGGCTGGACATTAGGAACCAAAGGATCTCTTGGGGCCTATGAAGATGCTAAACAGGCACCTGCTGGGACAGAGAGTCCTTGAAATGTGGAGGAGGGAAAGGTGGTCATAAAGGATAGCTGTGAAGGGTCAGTATAAAGAAACAGACTAGAAACCCAACCTCAGAAGTCCTGACACATGTATGGGGAAAGCATCACTCCTTCTGTTGACAATTTTGGCTTTTTTCTGCAGGTGACATGCATGATTTCTTTGTTGGACTTATGGGCAAGAGAAACAGCCAGCCAGGTAGGAGTGTATGGAGGTATAGTAGAAGAATTTGGAGAACTGGTAAGGACATGACAGAAATTAAGTGTCTATTTGTCACCAGAGGAAAAGTAAGATTTTTTGGGGGGGTTGCAATGAGTGGGGGCCTTTTCTAAGATAGTCCTGCTACTGCTAGGAATGAGGCTCTGTTTCCTCCCCACTCTCCCATCTCTCTTCCAACACTCTCCTTTCTAGCTAGGATGTTGGGTCAGGGTAAAGGACACATTCAGAAAAATCCCTCCTGTCCTGCATGAAACCCTGGGTTCAGTCCCTAGTACTGGAGGGAAAAAAGAAAGAAAAAAGAAAAATCTTTTCTAATTATTCTAATTACACTGTTTACTTCATCCAGATAATCCTACTGATGTGAATCCAGAGAACATCCCCAGCTTTGGCACCCTCAAGTATCCCCCCAGTGCAGAATAAAGTAAGGACCGTTGGTGGAGAGTGGAGAGGGGACTGGTGTGATTGTGTGTGTTGGGGGAGGGGTTGCCAGTTGTACATTTCCTTGGATGCTAAAGACATTAATGCTCATTAATTTGCCCTAAAAGAAGCCTAACAGGCAGTTTCTGTTGTTTGGACCCTGTTTTCTTATGATGGAGAGGTCGTCATCTGATTACTATAGATATGGTGTCCAATTCACATTTGAAGCATTTGCCTCCTGGGCAGGCTGAATCTTTTGGTTCAAAGACTCAGGAAATAGGCATAGAGATAGTCAGACACAGGATGATTTAGGAAGAGATGCAAAGGACTCTAAAGTCTAACAGGAGTAGCTGGAAACCACATCTTAGCCTCTATGTGCCATGTAGGGATTAGAACATGGCCTAACTTTGAATCCTGGATCTGCCGTTTTCTAACTGTGACTCCATGGCCAAGTTACCTAATTCTCTGTGCCTCAGTTTACTCATCTGAAAAATGAGGGCAATGGTGGTACCTCCCAGCGTTGTGGTCTTGGGGATGGAGTAAAGAGAGGATGTTTAGAACAGTGCCTGGTGCCTGGTGGCCCAATGCTGTGTTAGCTGTATCATGGCTCTTTGGACCTGGGAGGTGGGAGGATGTCGTAGTGTTTCTCGTGGCTGGCTCTGAACTGCCTGTGAGAGCTGTCTGGGATGGACCTCAGGCCTGAGTTGGCTGGCAGATTCCTCACTTGTCTGTGAGTGTAAGCCCCCAGGGAAACTGTCTAGTCAAATCTCAGAACCTAATGCCTTGACACCATCTCCCCACACCCCAGCAATAGCGCACAACTAATAGCTTTCTTTTCACTAACTTCCATAAAAAGAGGGTGAGAAGAGGAGAGGAGAAAGATGCGTGAGCCCCAGTAATCACAGGGAGCCCCCTGCCTCTCTCCCTGTGCCCCTAGAACCCACACTTGCTGGCCTCAAGGTGGCCAGCCAGAGACCCAAGGGGCTGGCTGGTGATGATACTGCCTGTGCATGACTCCCTGGACCAGAGACTGGGTCTGGCCCCCCATTTACTATTGGGTGAGAGGGCACAAAGAGCTGTAATAACTGTAACTCGCTGATTACATGGTGCTTACCGTATCATTTTGCTCTCATTAGATGGTTATTTCAGTCCTGCCGTCGGCCAGATAATTATATGGGCAGCTATATCTGGATGACATACTCTCCTCCAGCGTTATGCACCGGCCATAAAGATAATTACAGTGCAATTTTGCCATAGTATTTTATACAAATGGCAAAAACAAGTGCATTGTGGAAATCTACTTTTAATGTTTGCTGGTGAATCCAGGCTCTTTCAGAGGGACCAGGCCCATAATTGCAGCCTTCATAATCTCAGCACTGATGAAGCATTCTCAACCTGTTAGGTGCCAGGCAGAATAGGACAGAAGGTCCCTGAAGGCTGGTGTTTAGAGGAGATTAGATGAGATGGATCAACACAGATCATTGTATCATCTTCTTCATTCACCTGAAACTGTTGGAAAAGGAAGTAATCTGTGGGCCATCCTTTCTCTGGGATGTTTCTGGGAAAAGGAAGGACTAAATAAGGCAGGGGGAGCACTAGCACCTGGTACCTTGGATGGGCAGCAGGGAAGGGGCAGGCACCTGATATTAAGAGGTCCAGTCTTTCTGTCTAAAGGTTGCAGTGAAACTGAGGTGTAAAACTTCCCGTCTCTTCTCCTTTACAAATACCCGTTCCCTGTCCCCTGCTTCCCCAGCAGGTGGTCAGTGGGAGTTTCACAGAACATAGATGTGATTTGTCTTTTTGTTTTTTTGTCCTTAGCACTCCACTTTTGGACCCCTGGGCTGCATCATGAAGACACTGTCCCCTATCGTGATGCCAGGTGCACATTCTCCTTTTTCCCTTTTTTTCCCCATCCTTGTAACTTTCTTGTGCTTTGACACCCTCCCCAACTCTTCTACCCCAGCCTGATGTGGAAACTGCAAAGAAACTACACCAGTCCCAATGGTCATTGATTGTAGATTCTGTAGATTGAATATTGTTTCTGTAGCATCCTACATTAAAAATATAATGTCTCTCTCTACTCCCCAATAATAAAGAATTTTTACGTATGAGTGATGTGATGTATTCTTTTCCTTTTCTCCAGCTACATTATAAATACATATATACCTATGTATGATACATATATTTAAATGGAAGTATTTTTATTTTGTACACATATCAATTGCCCTAATAGTGCCTTTGATAGTGCTTTACACAATTACTATTAGATTTATTTAATGGTTAAAAAATAAATATATGAATTTAGAATATAATTTTTAACACTCAGAGGCTTTCACAGACCAGCTTCAGATAAGGAAAAAACCAAATATTCTGATTTTGTGTATATTTCTTTTTTTTTTAATTTATTTTTTAGTTGTAGTTGGACACATCACCTTTATTTCACTTGTTTATTTTTATATGTGGTGCTGAGGATCGAACCCAGGGTCTTGCATGTGCGAGGTAAGCGCTCTACCGCTGAGCCACACCCCCAGCCCTTTGTGTATATTTCTAAGATGAACCTGGGAGACCTTAGTCCCTGAATTGACACTGTTTAATTAGAGAGGGAGGTAGGATCGAGGCTGTGCAAAGCACACTGCTACAGAAGAAGATGTGTCCATAGTACTGCACCATCTTAATATCTGTAAACATGAAGCACAGGTTCTGTGACAGACCATGGAGATGAGATGGTGATCTGTACACAGATTTTATAGACTAGCAGGGTTGTGGAAGAGCAAACAGAGCCAGGCATAGTGATACATGCCTGTAATCCAGTGGTTCAGGAGGCTGAGGCAGGAGGATCTCAAGTTCCAAGCCAGCCTCAGCAAGTTAGCAAGGCCCTAAGCAACTCAGTGAGACCCTGTCTCTTAATAAAATACAAAGTAGGGATGGGGATGTGGCTCAGTGGTTAAGTGCCCCTGAGTTCAATACCCAGTACAAAAAGAAAAAAGAAAAACAAACAGAACTTGATCTGGCTGGAATGGAGGGTGGACAGAGAAGTGACTACCGAGGCCCAGAAAGAGAGGAGCAGAAATCTTTAGCATTAATGGGGAAAACATTTGTTTCATATTCCTCTATAATGTGCCTGTTATTAGCCCCTGCAGCACTGGCCTAGTAGTTCAGAATGTGTAAAGGCACTTAATGTGGAGGGTGTGGGTATCTTTCATTAATCTGATATGCCAGTGCTCACAGCCTACTGATCCCAGGGGGTCTCTGTACCCATGAAACATCCTGGGAAATTCTCAGGCTCCCCAATCTTAACGTGGTTCAGGTGCCTTGGTTGTGCCCCCCAACTGCATTAATATAAAGCTGACATTCAGCTCTCCCAAGGTGGCATCAGGACAAGATCTTGGAGTCAGAGGCCATTTCTGGTAGTTCTTTCAAACTAGTGAATGTTTTGTCTTCCAAGAACCTGACTGGAGTCACCTTAGATTGACAGTTGTTGCGTGATGTGGATGGGGAAAGGAGAGAGAGAACCCTCTTCATAGCAGAGGTCAAAGGATGCCCCCCACTCTAGATCCTAGAGCCTTTCTCCTGTGAGGCACCTCTCACTTTTCAAAGGGGATATTTTCATGGAATATGGAGAATTCCTTTGGGTTATGGAAACTTTGACAGTTGATTCTGCTTAGACTTGGAGTCAGGCATATATGCTGAGGTGAGATAATTGCTTGCCAAGTACGAGTATAAATGCAGAAAGATTGCTCTCTGGTGGGGCTGACAAAAATTGCAATACTGGGGATTGCAGGAAAAATGAAGACAAATTTTAAATCAAGTTTCTCTTTTTAAATTTAGAGAATGTGTGAAGGGATTTTGACCCTCCTTTTGCTGTTAGTTGTGAAGAGGTTGATACTAGAGTAGACCTGTTCAAGAAGACCTTGGCTAAGTTCCTGGTTCTTTCTTCTCCATTTAGCATTCTGTATGAGTGGTGTTGTGACTGTGTGGTGCTTTACTTTAAAAAGAATATTCAACAGGGCATGGTGGTGCAAGCCTGTAATCCCAGTGGCTTAAGAGGATGAGGCAGGAGGATCATGAGTTCAAAGTCAGCCCAGCAACTTAACGAGGCCCTAAGCAATGAGAACTTGTCTCAAAAAAAAAAAAAAAAAAGGCTAGGGAATGTGGCAAAGTGCCTCTGGGTTCAATCCCTGGTACCAATAAATAAATAAATTAAATAAAAATACTTGAGTATAAACAGCATAAACTTTCACCTGCATCCTTCGGGTGGTTGCTAGTTCATGAAGTTTACTGGAGTCAACACTCCAGAGATGGCCTAAGCAGATGGTTAGGAAGATTGAACCATGGCCCTTGCAAGTCATTCACCTAGCATCTCTAGAATTGTACTGGAGGTCTGGAATCTTCTGACCAGTGTGAGTTCTTTCACCTGCCTAGTCATGGGGGCTGGGCTTTCCATTAGAACATCGACTGCATCAGTCTCTAAGTGACCCTTTTACTAGAGGGCAAAATAGAATTCCTCAGCCCCAAACCATAAGATCAGGTTGCATGGCTGTTTTTGTGCCCTCTAGCTAATAAATGCTACATTTTTGGGGTACAGTGCCTCCTTCAATACTATCAACCATCAGTTAGTGAGGTTGTGGAAATGAAGACATATGATCTTCCAAATTCATCAAGAGAACATGCCATCACCAAATGGCCAAACTTGGCTTAGATTAGTTGGCAAGATCCTGTGTTCCCTCCTTCTAATTTATTCATCAGGGAATTTAGAACCCTACCATATGACTGTCCTGAGGGGTTGTGCCTGACTGAGGGTTATCTTTAGGCAGTGGACAGGAGGAAACCAGAAAGAGGATGAAACAGAAGGGTCCTGGAGCCAGGACCTTTCTTCCTTGTTGGGAGACAGAGTGGGGTAACCAAGACCTCCAAAGTCTCGGAGGCGGTTGTGGGGAGGGCAGGCAGGGTAGGTTGTTTTGTTTTGATGGCTACTTTTGGACAGGCACATCTGAGGAGAGTATTTAGAATGCTGAGAAGGCAGAGTGATGGAGTTCTATAAAGACTCTGGAAGTACAGGCTTCAAGGACTGGCCTGGGTTTCCAGGGTGCAATGGATTCTGTGACTTCCTTCATCTAGCTAAGTGGAAGTGTTATAGTTAAAGCTTCGTCCCAGGGTTTCATAAACTGACTTCCAGACCACTCACGTATAATTGAATCAAGCCTTTATTGAAGCACACAGGTGGCAGCTGACCAGAACATAAAGCTGTTCCCCTGACCAGCCCTGAACAATTCCAAGGGCGCTCCTTATAAGCCTGAAAACCGCAAAAGTGATTTTGGGGGGGGTCTAGCCAATGCAAGCAAGCCATGTTACAGAAGCAGGACAGTGCAGTCAAGCGGAGGGAAGCCTAACCAATCAGTTAGCCCAATCACCCCAGTTACAGAAACAGAGCCCCATTACCCTAGTTACAGAAACAATACCCCATTAGGTAGTTTTATGTTCTTAAAGGTTTCTATAGCAAAAGGAAAAGAAGATCTTGCCCCAGTCATGACTCTTCTACTTGGCATGGTTGTTTTACAGGATGAAGTCACAAAACAAAATGGAGTCATATTTGCTCCTATTATCACAGAAGGAGGGACAGTAGTGGGTCATCAGTGGAATGAGGGACACCAGTGGTCCAGCCCTCAAGTGCTCCTTCATTCATTCATTCCTTGAATCATTCACACAGGCTTTGTTAAGCATCTACCAGGGAGTGTGGTTAAGAGCGGAGATGAAGTCAGGAGCTGTCTTCAGAAAGCATTCAATGTTTTGTAAAACTGCAACAGGGGACATTCTGAGAAGCTTTTGGACTACCAGATCCAAAATGAGTTTTGATCGGGCTTTTCACTCCCCAGCCGCTAAGGCGAAGAGTAGGTGATCTTCCAGTCTTGGATCTGCTCTTGGAAAGGCCAGGCCTGGGGTCTTGGCGCGGAGGCAGGCTCCCGGCCCCGCCGTGAGGGGGCGCTACTTCCTCCCGGGCGGCTGGGGGCGCTGCGGCCTTGCGGCGGGGGGCGCTGCCTCCTCCGGGACGGCGGGGGGCGCTGCGGGCCGGGCGGCGGGGGCGGCCCGGGCCGGCGCGGCGAGTGGCGCGGCGGATGGAGAGTCTGGCCGCGGCCGGCGGCGCCGCCTCCTCGTCGGGCCGGGTACGGCGGGCCGGGGCCTTTGTGTGAGCCGGTGGCGGCGATGGTGCTCGGGCCCCGCGGAGCCGGGTAAGCGCGGCCGGGCTAGGGCTGCCCCTGGCCGAGCCCGACCCCGGCCCTGCCTTTCTGTCGCTCTCCTTGGGCTCCTCTTGCCCGCTCTCCTGGCCGGCCCCATCCTTCCGCCGCGCGCCTCCGCGCCGGCCCGGCAGCCGTTCTGTGGCCCCTTTCGGCTCCGCGCCCACCCCGCCTCCCACTCAGGGTCGCCGGGGTGGACCCCGCGCTGTTTGTGGGGGGACGCTGGCGCTCGGGTCCTTCAGGTGGAGTGCCCCTGTCCAGTCCAATGCCCTGCCCGCGCGGATTCTATCGTCCGTGGGGGAGACCGCGGTGCCACCGTTTGTTGGGGCGTCCTCCCCTGAAGTTCCGAATCTCCCACTCTGGTCTCGGCTCAGGCTGCCCAGTGCCCTGACCTGTCCACCGTGGATGAGTGGCCGCCAAGGCCTGAGAGATGCGTGGCTGGTACCCAACAATACTCAGAAGCTTGCTGGGCCCGGAAAAAGTTGGGAGTTATTGGTGGAATCTGTGAAATGGAGAAAGGGGTTTTACTGCGCAGGGCGAGTCTTGAGACTGAACAAGCATGCAACTTAGGTGTGCAGGAGCTGAAAAGGGAAAAAGTGATATTGAACTAGCCTGCAGGAGTCTTACCTACGTAATTAGATGCCTCTCTTAAAGGCATTGAGTAAATCTGTTAGTATAGTGTCAACATAAGCATAAACCTGGTAAATGTTGGTAAAAAGAAATGAAACGTATGGAAGTAATATTTACCACAGTTGTGTTCTAATTCGCTTTCCTCTTTGGTTTAGTATTTAAACTTCATCCACAGAATAAGTACAGAGAATGTGGTAGACCAGCATCTGTAATAACTCTGGGTTATAGGGCTAGAGAGTAGGCATGTAGTGTAGGTAGTGAAAGATGGGAATTCATGAGTGTGAGACATATATAGAGTCTGAAAGAACACGGAAATGACAGAAGAGAACACCCTTATCTCTTCCTCAGCAGCTAATGGAGCTTTGATAATTATATTTAAGTATATGCATGGCATTTAGCATCAAGAGGAAATAGAATTACTGAGATAGCACAGTGTATTTAAGAGGAAATTAATGTGAGAAAACTTTGAGCTAGTTGCTGTGGTAATGAAATATAAGATTATGTTCAAAGGAATGCCTTCTGTCTAGCTGTAAGGCACTAACTTGAGGCCTACAACCTCTCTGACTTTTAAGATGGAGTGAATCAGCTTTTTTTCTGATTTAGGTTTTATTATCATGATTCTGTGTTTGGGTGTTTATGCAGGGGGACAGGTCATTGTCTTACCATTTTGCTGTCCTTGCCCCCAGAAGAATAGAACAGCTGTCCATGTCCATTTATCCTCTTCCTTGGGACTTAGGTGCATTCAATATGGTGGTATTTTGGGGCTGGGGTGGTGGCTCAATGGTACCGCGCTTGCCTAGCCTGTGTGAGGTACTGGGTTCAGTTCTCAGCACCACATATAAATAAATAAAATAAAGGTCCATTGACAACTAAAAAATATTTTTAAAAAATATGATGGGATTTTCTCCTGCAGAGCCCCCTCTCATGCAGGGATGTGTTTGGCCATCCATCTTTTTTTCTTCCTGTCTACAGATTAACTGTGCTGATAAGGAGGCAACTTCCTAGGAGCTGCTAAGATGGGCATGAGGATCAAACTGCAAAGCACCAACCACCCTAATAACCTGCTGAAGGAACTCAACAAGTGTCGGCTCTCAGAGACCATGTGCGATGTCACCATTGTGGTAGGGAGCCGCTCCTTCCCGGCCCACAAGGCCGTACTGGCCTGTGCAGCTGGCTACTTCCAGAACCTCTTCCTGAATACTGGACTTGATGCTGCCAGGACCTATGTGGTCGACTTCATTACTCCTGCCAACTTTGAGAAGATTCTGAGCTTTGTCTATACATCAGAGCTCTTCACAGACCTGATTAACGTTGGTGTTATCTATGAGGTGGCTGAGCGTCTGGGCATGGAAGACCTCCTCCAGGCCTGTCATTCCACCTTTCCTGACCTCGAGAGCACTGCTGTGACAAAGCCTCTGACTAGTACCAGTGACAACCAGTCCACCACCCTGAGTTGTCCCTCAGCAGATCCTGCCCATTCCCTTGGAGAACTCCGGGGTGGTGGGGAGCACTTAGGTCCTGATAGAAACTATGTGTTGTCCAGTGATGTGGGAGGAAGCTATAAAGAGGAAGAAAGAAATGTTGCTAGTGATGCTAATCATGGCTTGCCTCTGCCGCAACCATCATTGCCACCAAAGACAGAAGACCATGATGTCTGTACTCCTTTCACATCTGTTTCTAGTATCGTGACCCAGCCAGTCCTAGGCACTGTTAGCACAGGTATCCAGACTAACACGAGCTCTTGCCAGCCATACAAAGTTCAAAGCAATGGAGATTTCAGTAAAAACAGCTTCTTCACCCCTGACAATGCAATAGACATTACCACTGGGACCAACTCCTGTATGAGCAATAGTGAACACTCCAAAGATCCAGGCTTTGGGCAGATGGATGAGCTCCAGCTAGAGGACCTGGGAGATGATGACTTGCAGTTTGAAGACACTGCTGAGGAGATTGGGACAGCTGAGGAGGTGATCGAACTGAGTGATGACAGTGAGGATGAACTTTTTGGAGAGAATGACAACCGAGAGAATAAAGCTATGCCCTGCCAGGTGTGCAAGAAAGTTCTAGAGCCCAACATTCAGCTGATCCGGCAACATGCTCGGGACCATGTGGACCTGCTGACAGGTAACTGCAAGGTCTGTGAGACCCACTTCCAGGACCGAAACTCTCGGGTGACCCACGTCCTGTCCCACATTGGTATTTTCCTCTTCTCTTGTGACATGTGTGAAACAAAGTTCTTCACCCAGTGGCAGCTAACTCTTCACCGACGGGATGGAATATTTGAGAACAACATCATTGTTCATCCCAATGAGCCCCTGCCTGGGAAGCTGGGTCTCTTTTCAGGGACAGCCTCACCAGATTTGAAATGTGCTGCCTGTGGGAAAGTATTGGCCAAAGATTTCCATGTGGTCCGAGGACATATCCTCGACCATCTGAACTTGAAGGGACAGGTCTGCAGTGTCTGTGACCAGCGCCACCTCAATCTTTGCAGCCTCATGTGGCACACACTCTCCCATTTGGGCATTTCGGTCTTCTCCTGCTCTGTCTGTGCCAGCAGCTTTGTGGACTGGCACCTCCTAGAGAAGCACATGGCTGTGCACCAAAGCCTAGAAGATGCCCTTTTCCGCTGCCATTTATGCAGCCAGAGCTTCAGGTCTGAGGCTGCCTATCGCTACCATGTCAGCCAGCACAAGTGCAACAGCAGTCTTGACATAAGGCCTGGCTTGGGGCTACAGCACTCAGCCCTCCAGAAACGGAAGCTGCCAGCAGAGGAGTTCCTGAGTGAGGATCTGGCTCTGCAGGGCCAACCTGGGAATAGTAAGTACAGCTGCAAGGTCTGTGGCAAAAGGTTTGCCCATACAAGTGAGTTCAACTACCACCGTCGGATCCACACAGGCGAGAAGCCATACCAGTGTAAGGTGTGCCACAAGTTCTTCCGAGGCCGTTCGACCATCAAATGCCACCTCAAGACACACTCGGGGGCACTCATGTACCGCTGCACTGTGTGTGGCCACTACAGTTCTACCCTTAACCTCATGAGCAAACATGTTGGTGTGCACAAAGGCAGCCTGCCACCTGACTTCACCATCGAGCAAACCTTCATGTACATTATCCATTCCAAAGAGGCCGAAAAGACCCCAGATAGCTGACTGGTCCCAGTAGAGCCAGTGGGGAGCTTCCAGGTGGCAGCCAGGGTAGTGATTTTCTAATGGCTGTTGGTCCCTCCTCAGTGGGTGCTACAGTTTTGCCTTGCTAGGAATTCTATTCTGTGTTGTGTTTAAAGGAGAAAAAAAAAGAAATAGCACATAAGCTGTGACTGTTTTTGAGAAGCAATGGCCCTATTGCATTTACCTCCATACCTGTTCTTGCCCACACAGGGCTGTTTTTGATTCTTTTGAGGCTGGTTTTGGGATCTAGTCAAGCACTTATGGCAGCTAGATCCCTTTCCCCAGCCTGTCTAGTTTTAGTTTACTGTTAGGTTTCATGCTGCTAAGAATCCAACCAACAGCCTCACTGGAGAGGATGTGGAGAGAGGTTTTCACTGTGGTTATTATAGCCAGACCTCCAACTGGGATGACCAGCTATGAGAAAGATTTGGGGAATGTGGTCATTTGGAAGGGACTGGTTAGCAGGGGGGCTGCTCACCTCAGGTTCCAGGGCTAGCCCTTAGCAGGGGAAAGTTGTCAGAGATGGAGGTACCTGCCTGCTCCATAGCTCTAATCTGCTGACTGGACAGTGAAAATCTTTTGACAACTAGATCCAAAATGGGGACAAAGCTTTCTATTTATGTTGGAAAGCTTTGGGATGACTCTTTGCCAGCAGAAGGGGTGTCCTGTAGTGCTGTTAGCAGTGGCAACCTGGATGGACAGGAGAGGAGGCTTCTCTTTTCTCCTCATTTCCAAAGAAGCACAACATGGAATGATGGCCGAGATGTCAGGCCTTCCCTGTGGAGCAGAGAGTAAGGGAATATAATCATCTGTTATTCTGGTAGCCTCTAGTGACCTTGAGTTTCCTGGTGGAGAGGAGAGGGAGGTCTGACAGCAGCAACCTTGCCTTAATTTACATCGGTTTCCCACCCAGAAGGGTTTGGCCTATAGGATAGATGGGAAGACCCAGGAGGTGTGCAGTGGTGGTATATTGTGATCCCTTCAGGATTAAAGGGACCTGAGTAACTGGTGGTATGTAGCAGGGTGTGCATTCTGACTGTCCCAGTCGGGTAACCTGTTGTTTACTTCTGTTCTAACAGTGCTGGAGCTTTGGCAGCTCACCTTTGACCTGCTGGAATTGATCTTGATCTGTTTTTGCATCACCTTCAGGGGGCGCTGTTGGGTGGAGCTGGTTCAGGCCCTCCTGGGTGACCCAGTCCATGTAGCTGTTTGGCTTCATTTTTAGTTGGTCTTTGAAGGGGTCTTGCCCAAAGAAGGCTGGAGGGAGAGGGCCCTCAGTCTTGCATACTCAACGAGGTGGCACCTCAGTAGCTCATACTACCTCACCCTGTTTAGGCGAGCTCTGGGAGTTCCTGGCCTCGCCTGACACTGCCCCTGGTGGGACTTAGCAACACCCGGGTTGTTTCACAAGCAAGCTAATTAACTCACAAAGCCTTTTTGGATGTTAATATTTATTTATTTTTTGTTTTTGTATGCATATTACCCAGCATCTCTTTTGGATAAGAGAGTTCAGGAAAATGAGTTTCTCCCCAGCAAGTAGCCATATTCCAGGGAATAGTCCTGGTCAGAGATTTGGGGAATAGGAGTATAATCAGGGAGAATGTGTCCAAGCCTTTTAAACAAGTCAGTTTTCTTGTCTCCACATGTCTGTAGCAGAATAAATACACAGAGCCCTTTAGGTAAGTTGTAGAAAGTTTGGGCCAGTTAAATTTCCAGACTTTTCATTCCCCTTCCATCCTGAGATGGTGTAGATTGGGGATTGAGTTGAGAGGATCAAGTCACAGGAAGGACCTTTTTACAGTTTCTTATCCTTTCTAAACATAGAGACCCTCCTGTCTTTGTTTGTATTAAGAAACATGGCCAAACCAAAGCTCTGTCTCTAATAGGCCTGCTGCCTCTCTCCCTGGCTTGGAATTGAGGAAGCCTCAGAATGGAGCACAGGAATCTCCAGTCCTTCACTAGATGACAGGAGACTTTTATGTGCCACTTCAAGGCACACTGTCCAGTTAAAGGCTCACCTTTAAACCCAACTTGGGACATTTTACCATCTAAACCCAACTTGGGACATTCTCAGGAGAGAAGTTCTGAGACTTCATTCCTGACTGTCTTCTCACTTTCTTATGCTGACCATTAGGAATTTGAGAAGGGGACACGTAATAGGCCACAGTCAATCATCTGCCAAGCTTTTCAAGCATGATGGTTACTCCCAGACTGTTGGTGAGGACTGAGTTTTGAGGGGTCAGTTTGAGAGAAATAGTACTTACAGGTCAGATAGCTAAAAGTAGATAAACATGCTGGAGAAATCCTTTAAAAAAAAAAAAAACAGGCATGGTGGATGCTGGGTGGTCTGTATACTTAACCTGAAACTGTGAAGTTTTCCTTTTTTGCCAATGAACCAAAAAACAGATTCTTGAAACTTTGCCCTTGAAACACTAAACAAAAAAACTGTACCCTCTGATGCCCCTAAGGCTAAATGGTTGATCAGGGAGGCCTAGTTGGTCCCAGTCAGATATGTAGCAACAGGATCAGTAGATCATGAGTCTCATTGACCAAACCCTACCCTGCTGGGTGTCCCCTGTATTCACATTGAACTCCCCTTCTGTGTGAAGTCACACTGAAGTCCCCTTCTGTGCTTCCTCTGCCTCTAGCTCACCCTTTTCTGAGTTTTACTTGAAACACTATATTGTGACAAAGGGCACTGTAAGATACCTACCCAGTGAAAGGGATTCATTTTATTTTGCCTTTTTTATTTTTCAACCTAATGCTTATTTGATTGTGTTGCCCCCTCTCTCCAGGAACCCAGTTTAGCACTGTCCCTTCTGTAATGCTCTGAAATTCTATTTGACCCTTGAATGTTCTCTCTTTACCTGTTTTCCCTTTTTCTTGATCTGTACTCAGGACCAGCTACATAATTTGCAAAGCCCTCTGGTTCACAAATTGTTAGGAATTTCAAGATGGCAGTTGTACAGCATTAAACCAAATCTGAGGCCATTGCTGATTTGTTTCCTCCAGGGAAACAGCAATCCTTGTATGGCATGCTGGGATGAACTGTGGAGTCTGCTTGTGGCCAGAACAGGGGATCTGTACCCTGGCATCCAGTGACTTGATGGCTCATTGATGCCACAGCATCCACTGGGAGCTCTGCTGAACAGTATTTGGTCCTCAATTTTAAGACTCCAGGGAGTCCCTTTAGTTCACGGCTAGTTGGAAAAAAAGGAGGTAAGGTGGGTGTTGGGCCCAAACAACCCCTAAAAACTAAGAAATGGGTAAAAATTCTTTTTCACTTATTTTCTCCTCTATTAGCACCCCTTTATCTCCAGGACAAATCTTTGGCTTCAATGCCTTTTTTCCCAGTCAGGCTTTTGCTACTGATTATTCCTGCCCCCCTCTTTCTGGCCTCCTGCTGTGCTCTTTTTCCCCAGACCACTCAACTTTGAAAGTGAAATTAAATCCCTTTGTAGACAGACACTGAATTTTTTGGCATGGGAGTGGACTGTGTGGAGCAGTCTGTGCCCATCTGGGAGTCCCCACATGTCCTTTTCCCTAAATCCTGTACCAAATGAGACAGGAAGCAGGGTGCATAGCATTAGTTTCAGTGTGATTATGCATCATAAACTTAACATCTGAATTAAAATGAAATATTTGATTTTGATGTTTCTTTAACACCCCCCCCTGTCCAACCCTTCCAATTCCCTCCATCTCTAATAGCTAAAGTCTCTTAAGAAACGGAAAAAAGTTGTTGACATCTAACTCCTTCCATTAAATTAATAAGTACTGACCTCCTAATATTTAAGTGTTTACTATCTATTGCTGTAAAGTTTTGTATATTTTGTAAACTTTTTTTCCCAAATAGTAGATGTTTAAAATCGTTGTACATCTGATTCTTTTATATTCCATTGTTCAGCACAAAGTGTGGTTTTTATTTAGAATAATAAAAAGAAGAAATTTAAAATGAGAGTTTGCTTCCTGTGTACTACAAACATGCTCATACCTTGAGTTCAGAACATCTGAGCTCATCACTCTTTCAGTAACACATGTTGGCTCAGTACACACCAGAATTCTTTCAGGTAGCACATTTTCCTTTCCTGTAGTTGGAATTCCCCAGGATTAGCTTGTTGACCAGTTTTGAGTGGGAACTTAAGTCAAAAACTCAACCTCTTCAGGGGGACGTCCCTGAGGGCCTCTTCTGTCAAACTGAGAGAGAGCAGTGAGACTATGGATGTCTAGTTGGACTAACCTTACTAAGTAAGTGATTCAGTTGTAAATTGTCTTACCATGGCCACTTATTTCTTGGTGAAGCAGTATGTCTTTGAGTGGAGAGAGGCAGATGGAAAGTGGGAGGGGGAAGGAAGATTTGAATAGGGAGGAGGGAAAGGTTTGGCATAATTTGTTGAGGTTGATGCAAATAAGTTAACACAGAAGAAACAGACCCCTAGCAGGTAGGGAGTGATGTGGTACTGTTGGTCCCAGAGCACATGGCCCAGGCTCAACTGTCATTGTTGCTCAGTAAATGTTTGCTGAGCACAACAGTCTTGTCACAGTCAGCATAGTCAGTTCCTAGCCTTCCCTTCAATGGGTGAAAAGATTCTAAGGAAGTATTCCTACTGCCAGGGTGATAACAAGTTTGGGGGAAGTGGCCTCTGTGGTGACTTGGGATGTGACACGTGTAAAATTGGATTTCCTTCAGAAAGGTCCTGGAGCCCAAGACAAAGCAGTTAGTGATAAGGTCATCAGATCTTGGCTTGCTTTCTAAGTGGGAATAAGGGAAGAAAGTCTTTATATTGCCATTTCTGCATTGTTAGGTTAAGCCCTTATCGCATCCCCAAGAACAACCCAGAAACCTTGTTCAGAAAGTCTTCTCTCTATGTGTAGCTTAAGATCCTCTCCAGTTTGGGCCAAGTGATCAGGGAATGGCAGATACAGGTTTCCCTCTGTGCACCTGACAGACCTGGGCTGCATCCGCCATTGCAGCACATGTTTAATGCATCTGCTGAATATGAGTTGAGATTTCCAAAAGTAGAGTATTTGGCCTCCAGGTAATGGGTAGTTAATCCAAGTTAAACATTCCTGGCACAGTGAGCTCTGGAGCAGAACAGAGGAAACAGAAGATCAGCAATTGTATCCATAGCTCCCTAGCTCTCCACGCAGGATTGAGAGGCCAAAGATGTGACTCGTGATTGAAAGGCGGAAACCAGAGCCTGTTCTTAGACTTTTACGTCAGTGTTCTTGAAGTTCCTGGGCCTAGTTTCCCAAACTGATAGTGAGCCTTTTCCAGAAGACCTACTTGTTAACAAGAGGACTTCTTTCCCCATCTATACAACAAGTGTTAATAAGTGTAAATTGTCAGGCAGGAAAATTATGAAAAGACTTGGCCAGGGAGAACTGACTTTGTGCTAGAGCTCTACTCTGTCACAGAACTGGGAAATTTCCACTTTGGCCTTTCCCATCCCTGTAGGGGGGCAAAGGCTGAGGGATGGAGCAACTGTCAGCACCTGCTGCTAACTGTCACCATGTTTGCTTCAGAATGAATGTCTCTGGATATTTTCCTATTAATTGGAGAGAAAGCCAGAGATGGGGATGGTGGTGGGATTTTTGGTAGCTCTGTGTCTCCATGAAAGATAGATTGTCCAAAATCAAAAGCTACAAGGAGCATTGACTCTGGAACAGTGCCTCTGCTTTCGGGGAGGAGGAGCAGGATGGACAAGGGGGAGGGGAGGGTATCAGTAAGGAAATGGAACTCCGTTTCCTGGATGGTGGAGGGTGGAGAGACTATCCTGCTGACCCAGCTGCAGGGTGCCTGTCTCAGACCCAGGCCCCACCCCTGTAGACCCCATCCCCCTCCACTTATCATTGCACTGACATGCACAGATAGGGAATGTCCTGCTGAGGCCTCCTGATTCCTTGACCTCTGGCCTCATGTCCCCACAACCTGCATAGTGAGCTGGAAGATCAACAAGCACACAAACAAAAGGAAAGTTTTGTGAAGTTCCTGTGGAGCTCATTCTTTCTAGCTAGGATGATTTATGAAATGCATGTGTCTAGTTTCCTATGCAGGGCATCCCCTTAGCCTCAGCTTCCTTCCCAAGCCCAGCTGGAAGTGCAGAGTTCTCAGAGATCCAGACCATGGCTATCTCTATTATTTATTTCACTTTTTTTTTTTTTTTTCTGCATTGCTCCCTTAGACACAAGGGCCAAAACAAATAATACAACACCAAGGAAGGACCTGTTCTCTATTCCTCCCCATCCCTTCTCCCTCTCCCATATTTCAGATATACCATGAGTATTCTGATGCTCTCCCTCCCCCCTCCCTCCAAATGTCTCACCTCCCTCTTCAGCCTTCTACTCGACTCCTGGAAGAGCCTGGAATCTACCTCAGCTGCCTATGGGATTGCCAAACAGAGATGAGAAATTTGGAAGCAGAGGGCGGCTGGAAGTTCAGGCTTAGGTGGGACTGGGGGAGGCAGCTGCAGTGGGCAGGCTGCCCTCCTTGGTGATGATGATGGAGTGCTGAGTGGAAGAGGAAGAAGAGGAAGCCCGTGCACCTGCCCTGGCCTGGTCCTTTGGAAGGTAGTGGACAACAGCACTCAGCAGCCGGTCCCGGAAGCTTGGACTGAAAAAGTTGTAGAGGATGGGGTTGGCAACACAGTGCAACATGGAGAAGCAGTCAATGATGTCATAGAAGAAATAGAGCAGGTGGGCCAGGTAGCAGTGGACGGATATGTGGCTCCCATGCAGAGTGAGCAGCAGCAGAGTCACATGGTAGGGCAGCCAGCAGATGACAAAAACAGCTATGTAGGCACACACCAGGAGGCAGTGCTGCCGGCCCTGGGGCTGTCCCTGGCTCCGAAGTCGGCAGGCTGTCAGCACGTTGAAGACTGCAATGAGAGGGAAGGGCAGCAGGAAGCCCAGGACAGTGGTAGACAGGGCCACCACCAGGGCCCATGTGCTATATGTTTCAAAAGGTGCCACAAAGAGGCACATGGGCTCTGACCCCTCCACCAATTGAATGTGGACCACCTCGGGCAGTGGGATGATGGCTGAGAGGACCCAGACGCCTGCACATATAGCCCGCCGCACTCGGTGCTGGCGATGCTGCCAGGAGGAAGAGGCATTGGTGAAGGTGATGTAGCGGTCAACACTGAGGCACACCAGGAAGAAGATGCTGCTGTACATGTTAGCAAGGTAGAAGTAATGAGTGAAGCGGCAGGAGAAGTCTCCCCAGAGCCAGGTGTAGTCCAGCATGACCTCCAGCATCCAAACAGGCAGGGACAGGATGATGCCCAAGTCCGCGATGGCCATGTTGAGGATATAGAGGTTCAGCAGCCCAGCCCGGCCTGAGCGACGCCAGTTGACACATACCACCAGGAGGTTCTCCACCAGCCCAACCACAAAGATGGCCAGGTAGAGGACAAAGAGGACCACTCTCTTGGTGTCCTCACTGAGCTCCAGGTGGCACTCGGACAAAGTGTGATTGAAGAAGTAGAGCAATTCCTCCCAATTGTGGAACTCTTCACTGTCAGGCGCTGCGGTGGGCCCTTCAGAGGGGCCTGGCCCCGAGCTGGGTCTGACTGACATGAGGACCTGCAAGCACCTGTTGGGAAGAAGAGAGGGTGGGAAGAGAAAGGAAATCTTGAAAGCAGCCTTGTGCCTCCCAGGTAGAAGGCATAGGGGCTGGGGGCCCTTGGGGAAAGATTCTGGGACAGAAGGAATAAGAAAGGGGTATTTAGCATTCAAACCTTGAGTTGCCAGCTTTGGCCCAAGAGCACAGACATTTTGCTAAGGGATTTCAGGGATAGTAGAGACCAGGATGGTTTGCCCAACAAGGTTTCTTCCCAGCCCCAGCCAGTCCCATCCCACCTCCAGCCCTAGAGCGTCTCCAACCTCCACTTCTCTCCACTTTGTCATGCGTCTTCACTAAGGGTTCCACACTGTCTAGCCATTCAGGCATTAGGTGTGAGAGGACACGCATGTGTGCACACACAACACCCCTCCCCTCTGATTTACCCCTGGGAAATCTGTCTTCAAGCCCTGGCTTTCCATCTTCCCTGGGAGGGGACAACACTCACCTGGATTTCCCGTGTATGTACCTCTAGTCCTGGAGGTCTTGCAGGTCTGGGCTGTTAGGGAGTTGCAAGGAGACTGAAGGGACCCTGGCTGTGGGGCTGCTGGCTTCAGGGACGCCCTTTGCTACTGGCTTCAGGGCTGCCCTTCATCCGGGAAATAGCTGTCACTGGCTAAAGCTCTGTGGGAGAGGGCTGGGGTTTTTCCTGCATTCCCCCAATCCAGTTAGAGGGGACGTCCCAGCAAAAAGCAAGTAGGGAGGTCAGGATGCAAGCATTAAAATCCAGCTGCTTCACTTACTAGCTCTATGAATTGACTTCTATAAGCTTCAGTTCTTCTCTGCAAAATGGAAACAACAGTACCTACTAAGAGGGATGATGTGAGAATTAAATGAGCCACCAAAATAAAGGGCTCAGGGCAGGGCACACAAAAAAAGATTATTTTCCTCTCTGAGCTGGCTTAGAGTCCCACTTTTCCCATCTGTCTTGATTTCTACTAGAGCAGAACTGTGGGGTGGGGGTGGGGGCTAAAACAAATCTGAAAATCAGTCAGGCTTTTAATGGCTCTGGTGTCCCTACGAGTTCACCCCCCCCCCAGTCTCCCTGTACCCACCCCAACTCCACCCACAAGGGTTTCCAGTTCCCTGTCTTCATTCTGTGATCTGAAGTGAGAATCTGGGGAGAGAAAAGTCTGAACGTGGAGTGGAGACTCAAGGATGGGGAGGGAGGAGAAGGGCATAGTCTTCTCCAAGACTCCACACTTCACCATGGGAAGGAAAGGGAAGGGCACAGTGTGTGACTGGGGCAAGGTGGGCAAAGGGGTATGAGGGAGGGACCAGACTTCTCTTCTCCTTCCCTGAAAGCTATAGAGTAAGGGGCTTGTGTTGGTGAGATCCTGTGTCAGCAGACCTGCCTTCCTCTCAGAGCACTCTCACCTTAGCCATTTCCAGAGACCCAGGATGTACTTCTATGGGGCGGGAAATGGGCTTCTCCATCCTCTGTAGGGCCAAGAGAGTTGCCTATCTCATTGTGTATGTGGTAGAGCCACCTGAACCTGGGCCCTTGTTTTGTAGGATGTAGGGTCAAGGGTATGTTGGCTGGAAGGGATTAAAGAGATAAAGGTAAAATTCTCATAAAATTAGTCATTTTAAAATGTACAATTCAGTGGCATTTGGTACATTCACATTGTGCAACTTCCATTTCAATTTAGGTCCTCAACATTTCCATCACCCCAAATTAAAAACCCTGTACCCACTAAGCAGTCACCCACTATTCCTTGTTCTCCTCCTTCATGGTCTTGGTTCCACGGAGACACTGGTCTGGCAGCAAGACCAACTTTGTGGCCAGCAGGGACTTCTCTGTGGACAGAAGAGGGTTTTCCCATGTACTGGTTACCACCTCAGAAGGGATGGTCCATAGGGTCATGGTCATATCCTACATGGGTAGCCAGCAGTTCTTCTTTGCCTTATTACTTGTGGTAAGCTCATTAGCCTGCAGGATCGGTTTGTCATTTTGGCCACCTATGGCACGGGAGATGACCCTCATAGAGCCAAAGGGAAACTTCATGCTTGGCATCTTGGTCTCCAGGTTGTGGTAAATAATTGGTACTGTTCCAGAGGCTCAGGCCAGCTAGCTGTGATCCTCAGGCTTTTCCAGGTAGCACATGATGGTCCCCTCAGGTTTGGGGCCCCTGGCAGGAACATTGGCAGTGTTGAGCTGGGCCTTTTTGATGCAGGACATGAATTAACCCATGTGGATGCCCTTGGTTGTGATGAATAGCATCTTCTGTTTCTTAAACTGGTAGTCCTTCACAATGTCCTTGATGTATCTATGCAGCTTGGAGAAATCCCGGGCACAAGAGCAATGCCCTTGTGGTGCTTCCTATATACACAGAACTTGGTGACATCCTTCCTTTCCATAGATCCCAAGGCTGGTACAGAGGGGGCATTCTCAAGCATGGCCAAGAAAACATGCAGACCCCAGCCTGCTCTCCACCTCTATGGATTTATCTAGTGTGGATATATACTACACATGGACTCATACAGCAGGTGACATTTTGTATCTGGTGTTTTTCACTTAGCATAATATTTTCAAGGTTCATTCTCAATATAACCTGTGTCTGCCTCATTCCCTTCTGTGCTGAGCTATATTCTACTATATATACATACAATATTTTATCTACTCAAGGAGGGGATTTTGTTAAGTTTGCTACTTGATTTTTTATTGTTTGTATATATGTGTATATCTTTAATATTAACATTTACACTATAAGCAACTTGTAGGTGCACAGTTCAGTGGCATCAAGTGCTTTCACATTGCTATGCCATTATCACCCCATCCTTTTCCATGGAGGGGATCGTTTTTTGCTTTGAGATTTTCTTGAGTCCTCTCTATTTATTAGACCACTTCTGGATCAAGAAATTTGTCATAGCTATGGTTTACTTTAATTTTTCAGACATTTCCACATATTATCTTTCTCTCTCCTTTTTTAATATTTATTTTTTAGTTTTTAGTTGGACACAATACCTTTGTTTTATTTATTTATTTTTATGTGGTGCTGAGGATTGAACCCAGGGCCTCACACTTGCTAGGCGAGTGCTCTACCGTTGAGCCACAACCTCAGCCCTCTTCTTAATTTCTATCCCATTGGTAGCCTTTTTTCAATAAGGAAGCTTCTGAAAATTTTCACTTCCATCTTCATGTCTTTGAGCCATGCAGACGGAGCTTCTGCTAGACTAAAATCCCTCCAGGGAAGCCCTTGTTCTCCAAGTGGACTGTGCCTATGGCCATTTCCATTCCTTTCAAGATTGCATTTTAGTGGCTCTTGTCACTTAGGTTTTCAAATCTTCCTGGCATATGAAGATGCACCTCTGCAGCCTCACCTCCACCTGCTCCCAGTCTTTTCCTATGCCCAACAAGAGGAAGTCATGGTGGTTCCTTTGAGCAGAGGCTAAGAGGGAAAGCTGTTCCCTCAGGAAGAAATAAGTGAGAGCTCTACAGTTTTCATGTGAAGGTATTTTTTGGGGGGAGGGGGGCAGCTGAAAAGAGAGAGGCTGGGAGGAAGGGAAAAAGGGAGGGGCAGGAGACTAGGCTCTTTGCCAACCTGGGCAGGAGGGGGCACAAGGCTTTGCTCTAAGCAGTAGGAGCAGCAGTCCTGAAACAATTCCTGGAAATTACTCTTTCCCCCTCCCCTAAGCTCACTTTTTTTTTTTTTCCAAAAAATGTAGACAAGACATTGGGATCAACAATGAAAAAGGAAGGAAGGTAGGGGAAGAGGTATTGACAGACACAGATAAAGGCAGGCAGCTTCCTGGGGCTGGGCAGGGCAAAGGGCTTGTGCTTGGGCCCTGGAGAAAGGGAGAGGCAGGCTGTCCCAGGAGATCCATGTTTCCTGGCCTGTATGGCAGGGGCAAGTAGAGAGTGGGAAGATCAAGTCTGAGGAGTTTGGTGACAATTGGCACTCCTGTCCCCTTCCAGAAAGTCACTGAGTGAAGAAGTCAAATTAGGCTGAAAGTTACTCTGTTTGGCCAGCAGCCCTGGAAAAGGGACTCCCCAGGTTTCCCAAAGAAGGATGTTCCCTGCCCTGGGCTTTCTCTGTTTAGTCAAGAGACACGGTAGAGACTGTAAGGAAAGAACAGAGTGAAGGAGATAAAGGCAGAGGACAGGCAGCTCAACGCTAACACAGGTTTATTCAGGACAAACCTGCAGAGTGGGGCCCACTTGAGACTGAGACACATCTTTACTCAGAACCTGAGGTAGTCATAGGGGAATGAGGGAGGGGGGAGATTTTGCAATTAGGCCTTTCCTAGGAGTTTTCAGGGAAGGGTCCTTGGGGTGTCACCCTCATATTTCGAACCAGGTGTTTTTTAGGATTTCAGTCCCAGATAACAATTTCCTTTCCTTTGCATGATGATTGTCTGAGGTTTAGGTCAGGCTGAGTCACTGTGAGGTGACTGTGAGGGACTCTTGTTCTAAGATGGAGGATATGTTTCAAACTGTGTCAAGTTCTTCCTAAAAGGTTTGGGGATCACCACTGAGTAGCTGTGTGACTTTGGGTTATAGTCAATTAGCTTTTCTGAATATCAATTTCTTTATATGTAAAGTGAGGATATGATGCTCCTGTCACTGAGATCATGGGATAAATACATGGAAAGTGCTTGGCATGAGCATGCCGTTTCCCACTTTTGAGCATAAGGAAGAAGACGTCACCTTCTGTGTAATTAACATTGAAATATCTCTCTCTATATTCTCACTACCACCAATCACTTTTTATCTGAATTAGGTCAATACCAATTTCCTTTTTTATTTATTTCTCTGGGGTTGTATTTCTTACATTAAATGGTGAGACCGCTCCCAAATGCCACCATGAATTACCACAGAAGAGATGTAGTAATAGTAATAACTAATGTTAATTAAATATTTGCCAGTTGTCAGACATAGTTCTAAGGTGTTTTACACGTATTATCTCATTTAATCCTCATGACCACTTATGAGGTGGATTCTATCATAGGATGAGGAAACTAAAGTGCAGAGAGGTTAAATAAGTTCCCCAGGCCACACTGTAATAGTGGTCCACTTTATGCTTTGAATATAGCCCTTGCTGCTCTGCCACTATTTTTTTTTTTTAATGGATATGTTTCTTTCACTTTCTCTCTCCCTGTTCCTCCCTTATTTCTCCCCCTCCCTAATCTCAGGGGAAACAGGATGACCTTTCTTTCCCATTTTAGGCAGATTTTTCTCTCCCTGAGTACACACCCAGAACAAAGTAATCCAGACTTTGGGGATGGTACCAGAAGATCTCAGAAATAACTATCTCCCAAATTAACAAGTGAATCTCAACTCCAATGAAGAACACTCCAAAGGTAGCCTTTGAATTACCTCTTTAAAAGCCCCTTGTTCCTGCTGATGGGGAGAATCACAGGCTCTAGGACATAAATCCCCTGTTTTTCTTCTTTGCTAGCAAAGCAATAAAATCTCTTTTTTCCTTCTTCTCAAAACTGTGTCCTTGTTATTGGATTGGCATCGGGGATAAGGACTGAGCTTTTGGTAACAACACTGTTAGTGGTTCAGTAAACTTCTTCAACTGACAAGAATTCCTAGCTCCACTGGCTTTGGATGGGATCTCCCTGTAAAGTACTGTATATGTAAGATTTTGTTTTGTATGTGCATTTTCAGGGGACTTAGAACTTTCCTTAGATTCTCAAAGGGGTCTGTGATGTCCTCAAAGGTTAAAAATCACCCTTGAAGAGTTTCTCCTGCAAGGAGCTAGGAAGACAAAGAGTTGGGCATCCACTTCTGGGAATCCTGGGAAATTTCTTGAGTGAGGGAGGAGGCGAATCCCTCATGAATTGTGACCTATAATGGGATGGTCTGAGGAGGGATTTGAAAGGGACTTGTCTTTAGCTCCCCCCCCCACCCCATTCCATGAGAAGGACAACTGTTCTGTGAGTTCTCAAGGGTGGAGGAGGGGAGTGAGCAACATCACTCTAAGGAAGAGGAAGCTTGGAAAGAGTGATAAGAGATGGACAGGACCCCAGATCCCTTCCCCACAGGACATTACCCAGAAACCTCTCAGCATGCCTCTGCCTTGCCCCCTCCTTCCATTTCCCACCTCTCTTCTAGCTTCACACAGAAGCTGGGTGGCTCTTCCTCAGATCTATACTCTCCAAACCCCTCACCTCCCCCAGCCTCTCCTTGGATGTGGTGACAGTCCTTTGCTGATTCCAGATTTATTTCAGTTTCTGCCAACTCTGGTTGAGCACCTAATGTATGTTGGACAGAAGTTCCCCTTGAATTCTCCAGTGCTTCCTGAGGCTCTGACTTTCTAAGTTTTTACCATTTTGGTAAAGACATATGGATTCTTAGACTTCCCCAAACTTGGAGTTGGGAGGACTTGCCAGAGTCATCTTGATTCTCTTTCTTTATTATAAAGATGAAGAGAATAGAGGCCTTAGGAAGTCTCATACTTTCAAGACAACATAAGAAATACAGATGGAGGGGTTGGGGCTGTAGCTCAGTGGTAAAGCGCTTGCCTCACATGTGTGAGGCCCTGGGTTCAATCCTCAGCACCACATAAAAATAGATAAAGATGCTGTGTGTTCATCTACAACTAAAAAATATTTAAAAAGAAAAGAAATACAGATGGAAATGGAAAGTGCGGCCAGACTTTGCAGTGTCATCTCCCTCAGCAGTCATTCTGCTCTGGGAAGAGCTAGACACTACCAGGTGCCAGAAACAAAAAATGGTGGGAGTCAGTCCCTGCCCTCAGGGGTCTCTGAGTCCACCAGAGGTCTAGTGTTAAGTACACTCAAGCCACCAGCCATGTTTCTTTATTTAAATGAAACTATTGCTTCAGGCTTAAACTGGAGTTTCTAGATTTCTATTATTATTCTTCTCTGAAAAATACAGTGATTGTTGATCCATTATGTAACTCCTAGGGGAAGGTGTTTAAGAATATTAGAGAATGGACTGTTAGGTCTCTGGTTTCCGCTAGCACCTCCGGATTCAGGGCTTTACCTGGGGCTGTAGCTCAAGGGCTTGACACAGTGGAAGGAAAGGCGTGTGGACAAAAGTTCGAGGCACTTGGATCTCAAAGTCTCCTTAGACCCTCAGCATGCACCACCTCCTCTCAGGCCTCTTTTCCTTGGAAGGGAGCCAGATCCCGCGTGGGGGATCTGGTCATAGCCCAATCCAGTCATAGTGTACCACTGCCATGAGGAAAACCCCCTCATCCCTTCCCTTTTCTATTCTGACTCTTCTGAGATGCAGAGGGCCAGTGATACTCCACTTGTGCCTCCCAGATATTTGACTCCGAGTTACACTCCAGGAAGGAGTGTCTCTTTTTAGGTTTGGGTTTCTGTCCCTGGCTTAGAAGAATGCTACATGCCCTCTAGGGCTTGGAACAGGTTTGAGTAATTAACACGCGATTCAGGCCTTTACCTGTCAACGATCTTGTTTTCCTTCCTGGAAAACTCATGTAGGATGCCAGCTGGAGCGGCACCTGGAGAGAGTGGCCATTACAGGGATGGGCTGAAGAATCCATGGTGGCAGATCCCAAGCCAACACCTGCGTTTAGCCTGCAGTACCACAGTGGAACCACCAGGGGGGAGCAGCTCTTCTCCAGCCCAGGTTTCTGCAGGAAACTTCTTTCCCTACTTGTCTATCTCCTCCTCCTCCCTTCCTTCAGGGACAGAAATTCATGTAAATGTGGACTGTCTATAGCAGCTCAGAACTATGAAACCCTTGTTTCTTCTGCCCACTACTCTGCCACCCTATCCCCTTTCCCCCAAGCCCCGATGAGAAATGACATCCTTTTCCTCCCCCTGGGAGCCCCTCCATGGACAGTGGTTATGTGGTCCAGGCTCTAGCTGTCTTTGGTCTCCTGGGGGGAAGTTCTGTTCTATCAGCCATACTGGATACACACTGAACAAACACTTTTCCAGTGGTTAGAGCTCAGGGCCTTCCATGCCTGGCTGAGGCTCAAGAAACCCTGTCATCTCTGTGGGGCATGTTCTTTTTATTATTATTATTTTTATTAGTTACACATGACAGTACAATATCATACATTTGACATATCATACATTTGAATCAAATGGGGTATAATTTCTCATTTTTCTGAGTGTACAGGTTGCAGAATCACATTGGTCATACAGTCACGTATACACATTCAGCAATACTAGTGTCTATTTTATTCTGCTGTTCCACTAAGTCTTTTCTGCTTTTAGACACTCAGCATGTGACCAGGCAGGAGAAGCCCCAGAGGAGGAGGGGCAGGAAAATGTGACAGGCACTCAGGGCTGGTAGTCTAGAACAACTCATCTGAGTGTATGAGGACTGGCTCCAAGGTGCCATGAGACTGAAGAAAGAGACAGATAGATCTAGGATTGCAGTAGGGGACTTACTGAAGGAAGTGTGGCCCTGCCTGGCAACAAGACCAGTTGGATCCCTGCCATTTGGGTCGAAAGAAGGGTGTGTGAATGGGTTAGGACAAAATGTGATTTCATCCTAGTTGGCATGTATCTAGCTTATTTTAATCTTGTATCAAGAATTCAGGTATAGCCCCAATTCCAGGGTCTGATTGTAAAACCCCACATCCTACTTGAATTGTTCCCATCTAACAGGAAACTATGCAAAAGAAAAGAAAGCTGGCTGGGGTTTATTCTGGGGCAGTCATGTAGTTATGATTCAAGATGGCTGTAGTCATATCAAGCTGAATCCATATAGCTGAAGAAAGGACATCTTCAGGGGGTGTTGATTTCTATAGTTATACTTGCTTTGTGCAAGTCCTTCTATTCCTTCCTCCCAGCAACTTTGGGAATATTGGTGCTGGGGTTCCCGTCCCCATTCCCTTTCTTCCCCCTGACCTCTGAGGTCAGACTCCTTGTTTGGGGTCCCTCACTCCCTTTTTCCAGACAACTGCTATACCAGGAGGACACTTCTTCCTGTTCACTCTTTCTGCCTATTCCTGTAGTCCTAGAGAGAATGAACACGACTTTGTTTTCTGAGGAATGATTCTGGGTGCTGAGCCTGATAAGGAAACTCACATTCAAAGAGGAATTTCATTGTAAATGTGTCTCAGCTCAAAGAGTAGGTTCTCAATAACCACGCAGCTGGACATGCAAGGCTTGAGGGTGCTGGCTGCATGTGCAGAAAGTCCACAGTGCAGGGGTGTTGTTGTGTGAGATAAACAGAGACAGTTCTAACCCTGGAACTTAGATTAGAATGGCATGTGTGTTAGGTGTGTGTGTGTGTGTGTGTATTCCTGTGTGGACGCTGGGAAGGAGAGAAGAATCCAGGTGAGGGAAGTGTTGCTGAGTAGAAATGTTTTCTTTGAGACAGGACTCTGGATATCCAAAGGCATCTACATATCAGCATCAGCAAAAGCAGTTCAAAGAGCACAGAGGTGGGGCAGGATCAGGGAGAAAAGGAAAGCCTCTCTGCCAAAGCACCTGGAGGCTGTCCTGCCTACCACAGCTCTGTGTTCTACTTCTTCCCATCCTCTGCCTGAACAGAAGCCAGACTTATTTTACCCAGCATCTGTGCCTGTCCTCTACAAAACGATGTGGCTCTCCCTGGTGGTCCTTGTAGGCCTGTACTACCTTCTGCGCTGGTACAGGGAGAGGCAGGTGGTGAGCCACCTCCAAGATAAGTATGTCTTCATCACAGGCTGTGACACGGGCTTCGGGAATCTGCTGGCCAGGCAGCTGGACATGAAAGGCATGAGGGTGCTGGCTGCATGTCTGACAGAGAAGGGGGCCAAACAGCTGAGGGTGCGGACATCAGAGAGGCTGGAGACGGTGACCCTGGATGTTACCAACACAGAGAGCATTGCTGCAGCCACCCAGTGGGTGAAGGAGCATGTGGGGGAGAGAGGTACCACCCAGATTCCTGATGTTTCTGCTGGTTTCTTTTCTCTGTGTAGGGACATTTCCTGGGTGCTCCCTGGCGAGGCTCCACAAGTGTTTTAGGGACTTGAAGTTATATCTACTTCCTTTCCCTCCCCAGCATGCCTGCTTGAGCCATTCTATCTCCGGTCTCTGCCTCTTATCCCATCCTTGGAATTCTCTAGACTTGGTGAGAGGATTTGAAGAGAATTTGCCCTTGAGAATTTCTCTGTCCTCTGTCTTCCTGTCTAAGTCGAGGGGCTGCATGGCTAGATATGGATTGGCGATGGTACCTTTCTATAGGAATGCTGGAGGCTGGAGCCCTGTGCAGGAAGAGCCAGGCTCATGTATCAGCACTGTATTTTGTTCTTATCAGCTATCCATCCTCCTCCACCTAGAGAGCTGAGGACATTCCTGTGTTCAGAGCAGGATGTGAGGAAAAGGACAGGCTCAGAAAAGTCATGAACTAGGAAGGGGTAACTTTTTCTTTCTTTTACTACATTCTTTTGTCTGTATTATTAGGGAGAAGAAAGCAATGTTGATTTCCTTTTTTTTCTAAGGGTCAGTGCAAAATAAAATATTGCCGGAAGTACTAGAATGCATAAAACCACAACAAAATTAATCTATAATCTCACCACCTAGAGATAAATACTTTCGACATTTTTAAACATATGAGATTGTATTTTTCACTTAAAAAAGATGAGTAGTTTACCACTTACTGAAAAATTTCTTCAAATGGTTATATTTAATGATTTGAAACATGGTATCCTTTGACACCGCCCCACTTATTGGAACATAGCTCAGGGTGGTATGTTGAAATTGCTTTGTCATAAATGCTGTCAGTAAATTTTTTAAAATTTATATCCTTGGGTTCTTAGGAATGAAATATCTTGATAAAAGATTATGCATTCCCACAAGGGCAAGGAAGGATTGAGGAGGGACACGGCTCCCCCGCCAAGTTTTCCAGATCAACAGGCACCACCACTTGCCCTAAATTGACAGATTCCTGCTCATGCTGCAGGCGATCTGTAGTAAATGCCGTTTGATCCTAGAGATGAGGTTGGGGTCTTTGGGAGTAGTTAACCTGAAGAGTAGTGAACTGGGGACTGGGGAGGAGTGAGGGTGGCCTTCTGGGTGAGTGGGAAGAGAGGGTGTGATTTTTCTGGGGCAGAGGGTGGGACTTGGGTGCTGTAGGTAGGGTGGGGCAGCCTCATCTCCTCCCAAAGCTGCCCTGTGGGTTTCACAAGCATTTCCCCAGGAAAGTTGCTCAATATCAATGCAGGAGGGTTCAAAGTCAGCTTCCTGAGAACAAACACACCAACTGTTTTCCAAATTATCCCCCAACTAGGACTTCAATTCTTTGTTTCTCAACCAAATTCTACCAAGTTATTAGTTTTGCATTTTCTTCCTTTTCCCTTTCACCTTTTCCTCTGCATCCTCTCTTCCCATTTCTCCCCTCCCTCTCCTTTCCTGTCTTTCTTGACCCATAGATCCTGGGGGAGCATTTAATTTAAGCTGCCCAGAAGATAGAAAATGTAGGTAAGAGAATAAAATGTCTGTAAGGATGCCAATAATTTTAAGAGGTCAGATGTAGTTTCTGTGTTTCCAGAGTGATGGATGCACGGGACTTCTTCCACATCCCTTTTTGCAATCATCAAATAGGAAGCAACTGCAGGGAGCTGGGGAAGAATCACAGAAGGAGGAGGAAGGGCATCAGTTCTATCGCCTAGTGGCTCCTAGCTTCTGCAGCCCCACCCCAGCAGTTGTGGCTTGCCCCACCTCTCCCTGACCACGCCTGTCAGAGCTCTCTGTCTGCTACAGTGTGAACTTGAGCCACAACTGTGTCTGCACCACACAGGGAAAATACAGTGTGGTTCTCTCGTCTTCCCGCTATCCCCAGGGCTCTGGGGCCTGGTGAATAATGCCGGCATCATCATACCCACTGCTGCCAATGAGTGGCTGACCAAACAGGACTTTGTGAGAGTAATGGAGGTGAACCTGTTGGGAGTGATCGAGGTGACTTTGAGCCTGCTACCCTTAGTGAGGAAAGCGAGGGGCCGCGTGGTCAATGTCGCCAGTATCCTGGGCCGGTTGTCACTCTGTGGTGGCGGCTACTGCATCTCCAAATACGGCGTAGAGGCCTTCTCTGACAGCCTCAGGTATTGGAGTCCCCATCTTGGAGAACCCTCCCTCTCTGGTTTTTGTGACTCTCTCACTTTCTGCCTTCTGAATTTAGGCCATCTGAACTGGGAGACACCATTCCATGTCTTGGGTAAAGGGCAAGGCTTTAGGCCTCAGTGAAGTTAAACACATCTTACCATGGAGGAGGGTCCACAGGCAGAAAGTCTCTGAGGCAGAATTGGAACTAGGATAATTTGGTCTATAGCGCAGACATGACCACTATTATATTCAATATCAGGGAGTTCTTATAGTGAGGTGGGTCAGCATCTTAGTCTATTCAAGGGGTATTTGTGGGGGCTCTTGTCCAAGTGCATAATAACTGAATCCTACCACAACAGTAAGGTTTTTTTCCTGACCTAGAATCTCTGATAGCTGGGACAGAGGGGGAGAGAAGATACTCCATCATTACCATCCCTCAGAGCAGTTGTGACTAAATCAGCCACACTAACCATGGCCGCCACCAGATTTGTGGAGGTTCCTATAGAAGGGGTCTTAGCTGAGGGTTGAAGATCCATAATGAAGAGTAGGAGGGCTTCCCAGGTGGGAAAACCTCATCAGACAGGCCCAGTGTGAGCATTAGCTGACTCCTTCTAAGTGAAGGGGTCCTCCTGGGGAAGAAAGACAAGACTGGGTCTGGCATTAGCACGGCTAGGCAGGGAAGCACAGTGGGTTTATAGAGGACCTGGGGGTCTGGACAGGTGTGTACTGTGGGCAATGCAACACCTTGGAGGGATTACAGTAGGGGAGCCACTTGGGCCAGTCGGCATCCAGGGACCCTGCTGACTGCAGTGTGAAGGGTGGCCCCAAGTGGGGGGAGCTGAGACTGAAGGCAGAGATGCTCCCTAGAAGACAGTTGCAAGGTTCCAGGTGGGAGATGGCTGGGAAGCTTCCAGGGGTAGGAGAGGGGAGAAGAGGGGTCTGAGGAGTACAGAAGAGATGACAAGGGGGACAAAGACTTATAATTCATTGGATGTGAGGGAACTGGCAGGAGATTACTCTTAATTGTTGCCTTAAAACAGAATAGGCAGTATTTAGAGCAATAAAGCTGGTATATGCAAAAGTCTTGAATAATATTCAAATATAGGAAGGCAATGCCAACATCACAATTTTTAGCCTCAGGTGTTATATATACTATATACCAAGTTTTTAAATTTCTTTCACCCAATCTTACATTGGAGTATAATTATTTATTGTTTGAGTTTTGTCTTGTGAGGCCTCTGACATCCTTGCCCTCTGATTTTCTTCCTTGCAGGAGAGACCTCTTTTATTTTGGGGTGAAGGTAGCTATAATTGAGCCTGGTTTCTTCAGAACCAACATTTTACCTCTTGAGAGATTCTCACAGACCCTAAAGAATCAATGGAACCAGGCCAGCTCAGAGGTCAAAGAGACCTATGGAGAGAAGTTTCTGGCATCCTGTGAGTAAGCTCTGTACTCATTAATAGGTGGGGAGAGACGCAAACCCTCTTCTTGAATCCTTAGTCTACTACCATCAGTGCCTCCCATGTATCAGGTCTGTCTCCAAGCAAAGTGAGATGGTTAATCCCATACCATTGGTGCTGCATGGGCAACTGGTCACTTTAGGAGGGGCCCTGGCTTATTAAAACGTGGGACACTGTTTCATCTAAAAGCCTCATTTTCACAAGGACAAAAGTAAAACCAGAGAGAAAAGACACTATTGTACTCATGGTCAGCTGGCATGAGAGACAGCTGCCTTCCACATGCTTGGATTTATTTCTAGTTTTGGGAGAGACCTTCAGTTAATGTGCCCAGATATTCCCAGAAACAGAGGTAGGGGTGGTTTAGTGGGGAGCAGCTGTTCCTTGAGGCTAGGTTGTATGGCACCTCCTAGGACCTGGGACAGATTAGATTTGGGGCATGGCTGCTGTAGATGGACAGCAGGAATTCCTTTGCCCCGCCACCCCCGCTATTATTTGCATTTATTTTATGTTGAATTTATTCCAATGCCATACTTTTTGTTTCTTCAGTTTCTTCTGGGATATCTTTTTTCTTTCATTCAACCTCTCCTCCTGGTTTAGGAACAATGTGTTCCTTTTCAGTAAGTGTTATCTCAATGTGGCAGGAGAACTCATTTGAGCTAATTTGACTATGAACTCCGAAACAGTGATGCATCTTGGATGTTTCATTCACCTGAATGTGTTCAATAACCAGAGAATCTACATCTAAGCCTTTAAATTCAGCATCCTCTCTGCATTTTGAAGCATGTGCAACAAAAATTCAGCACTCTTTTTGGGCCACCAACCCTGTATCCAGCCCAACTCTTTGGTGGAGGCACACTTCCAATGTCACCGTTGTAATGCTGGAATGGCACACCTTGCTGCTGCTGCTGCTGCTGCTTCCTCCTCTTTTTCTTCTTCTCCTCCTCCTCCTTCTCCCTCCTCTTCTCCTTCTCCTTCTTTTTCTTCATTTATTCTTTTTAGATGTTCATGACATAGAGCATATTTGACATATTATACATACATGGAGTATAACTTCCCATTCTTGGGGTTGTACATGATGCGGAGTTACACTGGTTGTGAAGTCACACCTCGCTTCTTTGAAGTGACATTTTTCAGATGCTTAGTGGCTTTTCAGATATGCATACCCTTGATGGCTTGGATAGTTTTATGGATGTTCTTAAAGTGAACACAAAGATTGAACCTCTTGATTTGCATGATTTTGTGGGGTTTCCTGAGTCAAGAGAGTAGAGCACCATTTTCATAGGTCAACTCAGGCTGCTTACAGGAAAAGGGAGGGCATGAATTCTTAGAGATGCTTTCCTCCCTAACTTGATCCCAGAGCAGGAGTATTGGGAGGTAGAAATACATTTGGATCATTTCTCGTTCTGAACAGACATGAAAAAAATTAAATCATTGGATAACATGTACTCAGAGGACTTGTCCTTGGTGACAAACTGCATGGAGCATGCACTGACTGCCTGTTACCCCCGCACACGGTATTCAGCTGGCTGGGATGCCAAGTTCTTCTACATCCCCATGAGCTACCTGCCGACCTTCCTAGTGGACGCCATAATCTCCTGGAATGCTCCAAAGCCTGAAAAGACCCTGTGAAGTCAACGTTGGAGTGCATGGGTTGTGGGAAGTTGGGTACTGTGTGAGGGAGTGGATGCTTCAAGGGAAGGAAACTAGGGCGGAGGGAGGGAGCTGTCGTGTCACTACGTTATCTATCCTACTTTCTTCATTCAAAGGATTCTGCTAAGATATCGCTCACAACTGGTAAATTAGGAGAAAAGACTCAAGGAATTCTGCTAAGGAATAGGAACTTCATAGCACTCATTGATGTCCAATTGATTTTGGTATCTGTTCAAGTTTCTAAGCCTTTTGACCAACCATGAGGAATCTACACAGGTGGGAAAGTTGTAAACAGGTGAGAGGATGCTCAGCTCACACCTGCTGTGCCTTCTGTCCTCCTGTCCTTCTCCTCAGGCTATGCATTATCCCTAGCTAGTTTATATCCTCACATAGTATGCAAATGGCCTGGAGAAAGCAGGGGCACTCATCCTCTGATATCATCTGTGCACCTCATGAGGGGTTAGGAGGGCAACAAGCAGCCAACCTATACCCTCAAGTCTTAGGAGCCAAGTCTGTAGGCATTGGTGGGGAGGAGGTGTCCTCAATACAGATCCTGGCAGAGGACTCAGAAATCAATTTTTTATTTGTCTTGAAACCATGGCTTTCTTTTGATTAGTTTTGTTTTAGAATAAAATTCAAAAATTTCACCAATGCCCAGTGATTTGAACTAAGGGCATGAGGAAAAATGTGGTGTGGACCACTGGGAGGAAGAGTCAGTTGCCTTCATGGAGAATAGGGGGTGAAAGGAATGACCTGAGGTGGGATCAGAAGAGGGAAGTGATATAATCCCTGCCCTCTCTATCCTCTCTGCCACAGAGGTGAGAGGGACTTGTTTCCCTTCTGAGACTTCCAAATACCTTGATTCACAAGATCAGATAGCAGATGGGTCAGTGTGGAGATGTTCAGAGGATCTGGCATGTCTCAGATCCCTTTCCTGGGTAGCTGAAACTTCCCTCCCCTCACCAGTCACCTCTCTGTGACCCTCAGTGACCTACATTGATTTTAAACTCACTGCAATTCTGTCCTGTCATTTCTCAGGTCTGTCACTGCTGTTCTACTCCCTCTCCCTTCTGGTGGCATGGAGTGAGAGTCACTTCTGGACCCTGGTCTTTCCTTTTCTACTCAACATTTGCTGAGCACCTCGCACCTCCTGTATGCTGGACAAGAAAGCCTTGAATTATCCCCAACTTCTTAAGACCCGGCTCTATGTGTTGTCCGTATAGTGATGGTCCTCTGGAGTTGGGGCTGAATAGAGAGAGCATTTGCAGAAAGTGATGGAGAGTCCTGGGAGGAGTCGTTGGAGTTGGATAGTATCACCCCAGGTGTCTTGGTTTTCTTGCCTTAGAGGATTTGGAACCTTTAGAGAACCTTGTGTAATTGGTTCACACAAGGACACAGTGTAAATGGATACATGACCAGTGTCCATTGTGAAAACAGTGATATCTAACATTGCAGGGCTATTCATTTTTACTTTCAACAGATACACAAAAATATTAAAATTCTGCATACTAATGGATGCCATGTGATGTTTTGAGTGCCGTTCATTTAAAAAATTTGTCGTGTGGGTCCAGCATCTGAATGTTGAAGAAACAAAGATGAACAAACAAGAAGCCTCCTCAAGGATCTTTGAGTTTCTGAACCCCCTTATGTCAGCTCACTCATGGTCAATCCATGTTGTCCCCTCAATGGCAGAGCAAGAGCTCACTCTTTCGTCTGAAGCATCCTAAATTTTGTAACCCTCTCCATATGTGTACACATACAGATAGCACCTGTTTTAGTCAGTTTTTGCATTACCAAAATACCCCAAAAGAACAACTTAAAGGATGAAAAGTTATTTTGGCTCAGGGCATCAGAGGTTTCAGTCCATAGATAGCTGATTCCATTGCTCTGGGCTTATGGTGAGGGAAGAGCAGGGTAGAGGGAAGCTGCTCCCTCATGGCAGTAAGGAAGTAGAGAGAGGGAGGCAGAAGGGGCCACGGGGAAGATGAAGCCTTCCAGGGCAGGACCCAGTGGCCCATCTCCTCCAACTGTGGTCCATCTCCTCCAGCCATGTCCCATCTGCCTACAGTTAGTACCCAGTCAGTCCGTCCAAATTAGGATGGACTGATTAGGTCATAATTAGTTCTCACAATTCAATCACTTGACTTCCAAACATCCTGCATTGCCACAGGAACTCTATAACAAACCATATCCTTATATCCAAACCATAACAGCACCCCTTCTACACATGAAGCACATTCAATGCACAGGACACACTAAACTAAAAGATAACTGATTCACATTTTCTCCTGGTGGGGCTGATGATCAGGATGTTTAGATTCACTCTTAGGAGTCCTCTTCAGGGGGTGAAGGAAGTGTAAAGAAGTCCCTGACTCCCATGCTGAGCTCCACTGGGATTCTGGCTACACAACGGTCAGACCTATGGCCCCAAGCATGGACTGTGACTCAAAGGTATCAAGGAAAGCAGTCCAAGTCTTCATTCCAGACCCTCAGCAGAGCTTTCCTCTCTCCTCCTTCCCGAATTATTTCCTGGATGAGGGTCTGGGTCCACTTGGATGGATCTGTGAAGGGACATGAACCCACCTCACCAGAATGCACAGGATGGCACCAGAGGCTACCTCACTCCTTTCCCTTTGCTGTGCTGGCCTTCTGTGAGGACAGGCCTTTGAGACCCCACTTCAAGTCTTCAACCCTAAGATCTTTGGTCCTATCAGGAAATGTGTGTCCCTTCATTTCTGGGGGCCCCCAACCCACACCAAGTAGGGCTGGGGATGGGTTTGCACAATGAGCCTCATTTCCTGTCCTATCCAGTTCTGCTTTTCCTCTGGCGCGCCTCCCCTTCAGCAGAAGCTCCATTCTGCATGGAGGAAGGGGTGTGGGTGGGGTTGGCCTGATGCCAGAGAAAGTGGTTTCCTTGTAGCTCAGCTGAATTCCATGACAGCTCTGCCTAGATGCTGTCAGTACCCTGATGACAAGGAGTGCTTAGCCCTTGGGGAGAAGCCCCAGGATCCATACAGGACTGTTCTTCATATAGCTGAGCCTTTGGTTTCTGCAGGAAGCTTTCTTACTTTAAACTCACCTCCTCCTATTCTTTGTCCATCAGAGACATGATAAATGTGGACTGTTGGGAGATGCTAAGAGCTATGAAACTCTAGTTTCTTTTGCCCCTACCCACCTCTCTGCCTCCCTGCCCTGCTTCCCCCAAGCCTTGTTGAGAAATGGCATCTTCCCCCTCATGCTGAGGGCTCCTCCATGGACAGTGGTTATGGGGTCCAGGCTCTAGCTGTCTTTGGTCTCCTGAGGGGAAGTTCTCTCGTATCAGCTATACTGGATATACACCGAACAAACACTTTTCCAGTGGTTAGGGCTCAGGGCCGTCCATGGCTGGCTGAGGCTCAGGAAACCCTGCTGTCTCAGTGGTGTGTGTTCAACTGAGTCTTTTCTGCTTTCAGTCACTCAGTGTCTGAAGGGCTTGGATTCTGGATGTGTGACCAGGCAGGGGCGGCCCCACGGGAGGAGGAAGAAAATGTGATGGGTAACCAGGGCTGCTGTTCAGGATGTGAAGTGTAAAAACTGTTACGCCTGCCTTGTGCAAGTCATTTCTTCTTCCCTTTCAGTAGCTCTGGGAGTGTCATTCCTGTATGTGGTTTCCCAGCCCCCATTACCTTATCTTCCCCCTTTCAGATGGAAGAATTGGATGATGCAAATGATCCAATCCCTCCCTAGAGGGTCCAATTTCTCAATTATTTTAAACCTTGCAATTCAAATTTCATGTTTTCTTTTACATTTTTTAAAATATTTTTATTTGAAGATGGACACAATACCTTTATTTCATTTTTTTTTTATGCTGAGGACCAGCACCTCACACATGCTAGGCAAACACTCTACCATTGAGCTACAGCCCAGCCCTCTGTGGTTTATTTTTGAGAAAAAAATTCATTTCATTTGTCAATGGATAGACATTTATCACAAGACAGTGCAGCCTAGCATTGTCCCCCACCCAAACCTATCTTCCACTGACTTTTTGGACAAATATAATTTGTTGTCCTTGGCTTCTCAGTGTTCCTTATGTCACTCATGCTTAGGGTGGACTGGAAGACATGCTGCAAGAACAGCTGTTTGTGGAAATGTGCTCACCTTGTTGGTCTCTCTTTGAAAGAAAGATTTTTCACAAAACCCAAAACCCAACATTTCTCTGAAAATGTGACTGCCACTGCCTATTCCTCTTCCTCCTCCTCCTCCTCCTCCTTCTTCTTTTCTTTTTCTTTTATTCCTGGGGACTTTTCCACCGAGCCACATCCTCAGCCCTTGCTAAGCCACTTAGGGCCTTGCTAAGTTGCTGAGGCTGGCCTTGCTTGTCTCAGCCTCCCAAGCTTCTTGGACTACAGGCGAGCACCACTGCACCTGGCTCCTCTTCTATTTTTATGCTCTAAGGAAGTCACAGAGAATGCAGTTGCTGCTATAGCTGGCATTTGGGCCTACACTAGGGTGGGTAACTTCAATTTCTGTAGAGAATTATTTTGTCCTGGTTGAACAAATTTAAAGTGAAGAGCAAGAAAGGAAGACAAATTGTTGTGAAATGTTAGACTCATATTTGACTAAATTTATGTGGTTTTATCAACTTGGAAACAATGCTCTCAATTTCCCTTTACAGTGTGTATCACAAAAATGTCCTGTCAACTAAAATGATGTTTCCTCTTACTGCACAAATCACAACTATTTCCTGTTGAGTAACGTGATGTTTTGACTTTTATTTCAATATATCTTAGAATGAATATTCAAGGATAAATTCTTCATTGAGTACATCTGAGAGACAGTTATTCATTTGATCCCCCTTTACTTTACTTCTGATGTCAGATTTCTCCCTGGGAATCTCACATTTCCTTTTCCCAGGGAAAAGAGGGACCTATTCTTATCTACTCTTTTGGTCTTTTTCTTGTAGTCCTAGAGAGAATAACGATCATTTGATTTTCTAAGGAGTGATTCTGGATGCTGAGCTAAGCTCAAGGAGCTTAGAAAACTATCCAAGTTGGTAGCTAGTTGGTAATAGAGGTGGGTTTGGAACCCATGTGTGTCCTAATTTAAAATGTATCCTTCTATTAAAATTTTTCTGCTGCCCAGGAAGATCCAGAACTAGGACTCGAGCAGGCAAAAAAAAAAAAAAGAAAAAAAAACAGTTGTCATGCAGGAGACTCTGAATGAAGGGTTCCAATGTGTGTGAGTGTGGTGGAGATGGGGGATTTGGGGATCACTAAGGAGTGGGAAGATCAGGAGAAGTGGTTAGGAAGAAAGTCCTTATATCAAGACATTCTTTGGAAATCCAATGGTCTCTATTGGAACTGATCCATGTAGATCAACAGTAAGAAACTTGAGGAGTTCATGCCAGAGTACCTGGTATTGGCCTGCCTACTACAACCCTCTGGTCTATGTCCTCCTCTATGTCAGAAGTAGGATCTATTTCATCCCAGCATATCTGCATCTGTCCCCTGTAAAGCCACGTGGTTCACCTGACAATTTTGTTGGGTCTCTGCTGCCCTCTTTGCTAGTACCAGGAGATGCAGATGGTGAGCCACCTCTAAGACAAGTATGTCTTCATCATGAACTGTAACTTGGGCTTTGGGAGCCTGCTGGTCAGGCAGTTGGGCATGTGAGGCTTGAGGATATTGCCTTCATTTCTGATGGAAGAGGCAGTTGAGCAGTTGAGGGACCAGACATCAGACAGGATGGAAATGGTGACCTCTCTGGATGTCACCAAGACAGACCACATCACTGGAGCCATCCAGTGGGTGAAGAAATGTGTGGGAGACAGAAGTATCACCCAAATTCCTGATGTGTCTGCTGGTTTCTTTTCTCTATGAAGGGGATGCCTCCTGGGTGCTTGCTGGAAAAAATCCACAGCTGTTTGGGGGACTTAAAGTAATAACTGCTTCCTTTCCCTCCCCATGCCAACTTGAGACAGGCTGGAGAAAGGCTGGGCAGGTAGGCATGAAGGGTTTATGGAGGGAGGGCCTGAGGGGCAGTATGTGCTTTATGCTGTGGGCAGTGCAACCCCTGAGAGGGAATTGGAGCAGGGGAGCCACTTGAGCCAGTCAGAATCCAGGGACCCTGCTGACTGCAGGGTGGAGGGTGGCCCTGCGTGTGAGGAAGCTAAGACTGAAGCCAGAGATGTTCCCAAGATGACAGTTGCAGGATCCCAGCTGAGAGAAGGCTGGGGAACTTTCTGGGGCAGGAGAGGAGAAGAAGAAGACTGAGGAGTACAGAGGACAAAGTCTTATAATTCATTGGATGTAAGGGAACTGGAAGAAGATAGCTCTTAATTGGCGCCTTGAAGCAGAACAGGTAGTATTTAGAGAGGTAAACTAGCATATACAAAATACTTGGAACATCATTCAAACATACAGAAGTGCTGGGTTGTGGTGACACATGCTGTAATCCCAGAGATTTGGGAGATGAAAGCAGGAGTGTTGCAAGTTTGAGGCCAGCTATAGCAACTAAGTGAAAACCTGTCTCAAAATA